TCCGTTTTTATAATTAATTTTTAATTAATTTTTTTATAATTAAAAAATAATTTATTTTCCTCGTGCAAAGAATAAATTTTATTTTCTGTAGAAAAAGCATAAAATAATAACAAAATATTTTGATAATCTTGAAAGATTTTACTAAAAATCTTTTTATTTCATTCATTCATCGTTCGTGAACGACCCATTCCGTTCGTTTCTTTTCAATCTCAAAATTGTCGTTCATCTATTTTGTTCGCTTTCTTAATGAACGATCATTTAGTAAAATCGTTCGTTCAAAAAAATCGTTCTTTTAGTAAAAATCTGATTGGCTTTAAGAAGTTCACGAAAATTTCGAAAATTTTCGTCCACACTTAAAATTTTGCTATAGACAGGTTGGTTGTTTACATCTAAGGGAATTATGAGACAAGCTTTAACTTTTCGTTTCCTTCCTTTATTATGCGCATTGCTCACACACCACACACCCCTCTTCCGTAAATTTATTTTTGCTTTTTTCCTAAATCCCAGATACGAAGGTAATCTTTTCCGTCAGATCCTACAAAATAAATAGATTTTATTTTTATGGTTTCTTCACTTTTAAAGCTTGACTTTATTCCATTATGTAAGTTTTTTTTGTGCCAAAAAATTCGCTTATCGAAGCCTTAAACCAATTCGCTTTTTTAAATACAATTTATTGAAACGATTTTACTAAACGTTATGAAAATTTCTTTGGGCTAAAACTTTCGGTCAGAGTAAAAATGTTACATGATAAAAACAAAAATGAATCAATTTTGAAATAGGATATGTATGTCAGACAGATTCGTTTTCAGGTGGGGAGACTATCGGGGCTATGATTTTCAGGAGGTCTTCCGATCCCAACNATGTAAGCCCCTCCCACTTACAAATTCCTGAATATGCTCCTAAATTTTAAGATATAACGGACCTAAAAACTAAAAACGATGCCTATCAATAGTCACATGTACCAAGCTTGTACTGTACATTTAGAAAGCAAAATTATTTGGAAGAAAAATGCAAACTCTTAAATATTAAAAGAACTCTCTGAGAAAAGTAAATATTAAAATATTGGAAAGGAGGAAAACAAAATATATTTTCTTCTTCAATCACCAAATTATAAGATTTTACGCTTCAAGGGTTTCTTCAACAATTTATGCTAGAATAATAAAGAAATAATGCAAAAATAATAAAATAATTTTAAAACAAAATATCAGAGAAAATTTATACAGGAAAATCGGAAAAGGGAATGAACTGGGTAGGATGAGATGGGAATGAAATGGGTAGGATGAGATGGGAATGAACTGGGAGGTTGAAGTGGGAATGAACTGGGTAGGATGAGATGGGAATGAACTGCAGGGTAGGATGAGATGGGAATGAGCTGGGTAGGATGAAGTGGGAATAAACTGGGTAGGATGAGATGAGAATGAACTGAGTAGGATGAGGTGGGAATGAACTGGGTAGGATAAAGTGGGAATGAACTGGGTAGGATGAGATGGGAATGAACTGGGTAGGATGAGATGGCAATGAACTGGGTAGGATGAGATGGGAATGAACTGGGTAGGATGAGGTGGGAATGAACTGGGTAGGATGAGATGGGAATGAACTGGGTAGGATGAGATGGGAATGAACTGGGTAGGATGAGATGGGAATGAACTCGGTAGGATAAAGTGGGAATGAACTGGGTAGGATGGAGTGGCAATGAACAGGGTAGGATGAGATGGGAATGAACTGGGTAGGATGAGATGGGAATGAACTGGGTAGGATGAAGTGGGAATAAACTGGGTAGGATGAGATTGGAATAAACTGGGTAGGATGAGATGGGAATAAACTGGGTAGGATGAAGTGGGAATAAACTGGGTAGGATGTGATGGGAATACACTGGGTAGGATGACGTGGGAATAAACTGGGTAGGATGAGATGGCAATGAACTGGGTAGGATGAGATGGGAATGAACTGGGTAGGATGAGATGGGAATGAACTGGGTAGGATGAGATGGGAATGAACAGGGTAGGATGAGATGGGAATAAACTGGGTAGGATGAGGTGAGAATGAACTGGATAGGATGAGATGGGAATGAACAGGGTAGGATGAAGTGAGAATGAACTGGGTAGGATGAGACGGTAATAAACTGGGTAGGATTAAGTGGGAATAAACAGGGTAGGATGAAGTGGGAATGAACTGGGAAGGATAAGCTGGGGATAACTGTGATGGGAATAACAGTGCAGCATGTGGACCAATATAAAGATTAATATGAATATAATAGTGTGTAAACTGAATTACCTGCAATACCGAATACATTATTTGTAGAAAAAAAGATAAATATGACTAAAATTAATCTCTTTAGCATTTTCACTTATTCTTCTGTTCTCTACGAAAACTGCACAGAAACAGATTTTGGGGAACACATTTCATATTTTCTCTTGTATCATTCTTCTACGCCACAAACTGGGAAATATCATTCTTCTACGCCACAAACTGGGAAATATCATTCTTCTACGCCACAAACTGGGAAATATCATTCTTCTACGCCACAAACTGGGAAATATCGGGATGACGTGAGATCAGAGTTTAGTGAAAGAATAGATAGGAAAATAAAGGTTTTGAGCTAGAAGATCAATAAAAAAAAAGTAAATTAGAATCAAACTCTAATTTTCTTATACATTTTTATATCCTATCTTTGCAACATTATTGTTTAAAACTTTATGCTAGTTTGTGTTTTAAAAAAATTATTCCATAATTTGTTATTTCATCTTTATTAAGAAGTTTCACATTATTATTATTTGTCAAAAATAAAAATAAATATTCCATAGTTTTCTTGTTCTCACTGTGTATGCTAAGGCACCTTATGCTGATGGAACGGAAGCCTGGATCAAGGTTTTAAGTTTGAGAACTCACGAATTGGACAAACAAACCCGAGGAAGGAAGGATGGATGACAACAATGACAAACAAATATTCAAATGTCATCATAAAACTTTTTCTTGTTATTAAACACTTAAATATTAGAAAGTTTATTCAGAGTTCTGATTCTGTATTTTATCCATAGAATACATTATTATTAATTTTGCTACTATCGGTTTATCCGTGTACCTAGAAAAACGCTACACTCATAAAACGCTACATAGATAAAAAGGTACCTCATAAACGCTACACTCATAAAACACTACTTGCAGATAAAACGTTAATAAAGAAAAAACGCTGATCTTATTATTTCTATATTTTCATGTTTAAAAGTTTAAGATAAAATATGTTAACATTTTTAAAGATTTTTATCTTCTTATGTTATGTTACTTTTCTTGTTAATCGTTCTTTTGTACATTTTTTTCTTTTCTTCCATCCCTTTCTTCTCTTTCTACTTCTTACTTCGTCCTTCATACTTCTCCTTTTCTTTATTCTTTAATTTACTTCATCCTTCTTTTTCTTCTTCCTTCTTCGATCCCTCTTCTTTTCTTCCGCTTCTCTTAATTCTTCTCCTTCTTTTACTTCTTCGATCCTCCTTTCCTTAGAATTATCTCCTCGCTTACTCTCTCTTCTTCCTTCATATTCCTTTATCCCTCTTCTTCTTTTCCTTCTTCCTCCCTACCTCCTTACAACATTCTCCGTCTCTTTCTTCTTCTTCTTTTCTTCATCTTCCATCTTCTCTTTCTTCCTTATCCTACCTCTCTTAATCCCTCATATAATATAATCCTTCTTTTATCCCTTCCATTTTCATTCTTTTCACTTTCTTTTTCATATTCTTAAATTTCATTTTTTCTTCTTTCTTCCTTCATTTATCTTCTTCTTTTCTGTTCTCCTTTCTTTATTCCTTTCCATTTCTATCTTTTTTTTTCTTTCAGCCTTCTTGTTCTCTTTCTTCTTGTCTTCTCAATCCTCTCCACCTTCTCTTTCTTCTTCAATCTCTATTCTGTTCTTTCTTCTTCCTCCATTCTTCTCCTTATCTTTCTTCTTCCTTCCTTTATACTTATTCTTTTCTTTCTTCTTCTTTTCTTATTTTTATTTTTGTCTTTCTTTTTGACTTCTTCTCCTACATTTACTTCAGCCTCACTTGAGTCACTTCCTTAGTTATTTCCTCTTTTACTCTTTCTTATTCCTCCTATATTACTCTTCTTCTCTTTCTTCTTCCCTTTTTATCCTTCTTCTTGCATTTCTTTATTTTTTCTTCATTTGTCTTTTTCATTTTCTTCTTCTTTTCTTTATCCCTCTCATTTTCGTTCTCAATCTGTTTCCCTTCTTCATCCTCCGCTTATTCTTTCTTCTTCCCCTTTTCATCCCTCTTATGCTTTGCCTTCTTTTTCTCTTTCTTCTTCCCTTTTTCATCATTTTCCTTTCTTGTTTCCTTCACCATTTGTCGCCCTCTTTTTCTTATTCTTTCTTTAATCCCATTCTCATCATCTTTGTTCCTTCCTTTTCTTTACTTTTCTTCCTTTCCTCTTCCTTCCCTTCATTCTCCTTCCGCTTAATTTTCTTCCTTTCTTCCTCCCTCCCTCTACTTTTCTTCCTTTTCTCCTACCTCCCTCTACTTTTCTTCACTTCCACCTCCCTCTACTTTTCTTCCTTTCTAGTTTCTTTCTCCCTCCCTCAGGTTTCTTCCTTTCTTCTTCCCCCCCCTTTTCCCTCCCTCCTCATCTCTCCCCTTTATGATAAAAATTACTGTAAATTATTTAATCAAAGTCCTCTCTTAGTTTTATTCGTCTTATTCCTCTTATAATTGACAGGCCTTCTTTAATTCCTCTTCATAACTCCAACCAGATAAAAGACGATTGTTGATAAAGACTAGATGATTCTCCGCGGCATTATAGTAATACTTCGCATTTAAAACTCCGTCTTGAATATACCGTGATATGATGAATTAATAATTTAATCAGCGATAATTATTACTTCAAATAATTCAGTGAAATGAAATCATATGCTTATTTCTATAATTTTGAAATTTTATCATTGCATTTCCCATTATTTCTAAGCTCATTTAAACAAAGAAGATTGACAAAGAGAGTTTTTTTTTTTCAGATTACTTCACCATGGCGTGGAAGCCAATTCACTTTGCTCTGGCTGCCATGATGGTTGCATTTGGTAAGATACATTTTTGTAGAGAGGGGTTCACAGAGTAGAGTTTTTCAACATTTGTAGAGGGGGGGGGGGCTCCTGTTCTAGGGTCTGTCCAAGAGACGATTTTTTGGACCCCTCCCCCCCTCCTTTCAATTTTTTACATTTCCAATTAATTATAAGCTAAATTAGTATTTATTTTATATTTGTTCAGAGTTATATAATAGGGTATAATAGTGCATGTTCGGGGCCGAGCGCTGCGGCTTGGACAGATTAGGGGACCGAGCGCCGCGGCGAGGTCAGGCTATGGGACTTGGTGCTGCGGCCACATGTTCATTGTCCAATTATATCCATGTGTTTTATATGAGATGCATTTATAAACTGATAGGAGAGGGGGGCGGGGGAGGGGGCAGGTCTACAAATTGCCCAAAAGTGTTCTCTTGACAGTTCCTATCAACTTTTTATTCAGGTACATTTAATACCCTGTCTGTGAAATGGGCGGATAAAATGACATCGGAAAGTTCAGATGGAACTCTTAGAAGCTTTGATCATCCATTCTTACAGGTAACAGTTTCTTAAAGGATTTTGGTTTCAACGCTCTGGATAATAAAATCGTACTCAAACTAGTCAGAATTATTGTAGGCAGTTGTATGAAAAAAGTTGAAAAGAATGAGACGGATTAAACTGAGCATTACTGTGTGTGTATGTAATTTCGGATATTTTAACATTCATCACAGCGCTTGGGAGTATTTTATAATAATTTTTAAGCAACACATGGCTTCTGAACTATTACTTTTAGGGTTGTATATTTTATTCCCCCCCTCCCCCCTTATGTTAGGTATTATTGCGCGAAGTGGAATATTTTATTCGCTAAATTGAATAAAAAACTCAAAACTTGGGGGAAAAAATTATCAAAAATGGTGGAAAAAACTATCCTTTGATGTTCAATATTTAGATTTTTTCCTTTTAGTATCAAAATCATTCAAGTGAATTCTTGAAAATATACTTTTTTAACTTTTCCTGTAAATTATTTTTTAATGTTTGAGGAAAGGAGCACATTTTCAATATCATTATTATTATTATGTTCTATGATTCGTCAACATATACATTAGGCCTGTGGTATGTTCTTGGGAGAGATGCTGTGTATGGTTGCTTTCTGGATTTTAAGGTGGGAATAAATTATTAAAATAAAAAAAAGAACTATTAAACTATTTAATTTGGGGCGTTGCCAGAACCCGTTCTCTCCCTAATAATGGATGAACAGTGATCGAACTTTAGAGTACGATAGTTTGGCCGCTAGATGTCTCACGCTAAATTCTTATCTGATAGATAGATAATTCATTCGACGACAGTATGCCCACTATTGAGAGACGTCATGTGGTCGACCTCTGTAATATTGAAAGGAATTGCCTTAGGTCTAACGCAGTCTTGACTTACGTAGACTGAGGCGTCTATTATTATCTATTTTTATCCCCTCATTTCTTTTTAACATCTAATTTACTCTTATCTTCCTTTTGCTCAAGTTATCTTATTTCTTTCGCTATTTTTTCATCAGATTTATTTAATTTTCTAATTTTTCTTCCCCATTTATTTTATTTTTTTATAGTTATATTGTTCATTTCATCAATCTTTAAGAAAAAAATATTAACCTTTTTAAAACTGATTTTCTAATCTAACAATTATCAGGTGGCGTTCCAAGCGGCAGCCCCAGAGTACGTTTCCTCCAATAGGCAATAACATGGCTTAATATATTTTTTTCTTATATCAAAATAAATCTTTCAGTACCCCTTTATAAGGTTTGAGCCAAAGCAAATAAACTTAACTTCATTTTGATAACAAATAAACTTAATTTTGTTCCTGATTTGAGCATTGTTTTTCAAGATGATGGAACAGCTCCTAAAAAGTTCAACCCCCTTATTTTCCTTCCTCCTGCTCTCTGTGACATGACTGCTACAAGTATCCAGGTTCATAACTTCTTTCTCAGATTTTAGATTTTTATAGGAACCGGCGTTATGAATTATTTTAAGGGTGGTAAGAAAGAAAATTTTTTGTATAAAAAGTATCATAATGAATAAGAAACTTGCCTTTTGAAGTTCAATTTTTCATTTTTTCATCAGATCGTCAAAATCATTCATTCTTAAAAATAGGCATCTTGGAGAAATCATCCTCCTTCTCTGTCCCAAATCAAATTATTTCTTCATTTAGATTTTGGTGGTCTAGGGGGTCATTTGCAATGTCCCGATTCACGAGGTTACCTTATAAGCTTTATCTGATGAATTATGAATTATTTTTAATTTTTTAAACAGATTATATTAAATTGTGAGTTCTCCACAACAGTGACATTTTTAAACCGAGAAAAACGAAAATATCGTTCACATTATCGGTCAGATTCAGGTTTCTAGGTACCGTTGTAAACTGGGCATTGGCATCTTTGCATGGAGGGTTACTTGAAATTACGCTATATTTATATTTCAGTATATTGGATTGACTCTCACCTATGCTTCTTCATTCCAAATGCTGAGAGGAGCAGTTATAATATTCACAGGTTGGTCTTATTAATAAGAAGGATATTTATCTTGTTGAAGAAGTAGGATAGTAGCGCAAAACCTTTTTTTTTTCTATAAATAAATTTCTTTTTCGGTACAAACCTTTCCAGTTAATATCTGATTTTTTATTCCCCCTATACAGTTGAACAGATTTAACCTTTCTTTAATTTCACAGGTCTATATCTTTAAAGGAACTGATAATTCGACTCTAACACTTTATTTTTGCATGTCTGATGGTTCAAACCTTAGATATACCAGATTTTTTATTAGAATGTTTTTTATCATAGGTCTACGACATTAGATGTAAAGATATATTGATTTGAAGATTAGAGTCTGTAAGTTCCTTAAACCTTCAAAATTTGTTTAGGAATATTATCAACCATCTTTCTCCGACGGAAGTTGCAGTGGTTCAAGTGGTTGGGGATGGTCTTCGTTATCGGTGGTCTGGTTACTGTAGGAGTTAACGATCTGATGGCACAGGTAATACAAGGAGATACAGGTGTATACATTTATATTTTTTATCCTCTTAAAATTTGTTCAGAACATTTCTATTGTTTTTATTAACAAAGTTTATTGCTGGACACTGTGTTTTATCTTATATTTTTATATATGCATGTAAATATATAAATGTTCCAAAATTAGATTAATTTCTAAAAAAAACAATATACATATATATTTACATAAATATATATGTGTTCCAAAATTTGATTAATTTCTTAATAAACAGTTTCTTATTTTTAATTAATTTTTATAAATTTTATTAATATTACCTAGATTTTATAATTTCAGTCTGCTGGTAACTCTACGAGTACTAACGTAACAGAGCACACACTATGGTCCTCTCCTATTGTAACAGCTGTATATGGGAACGACACGAAGACTAATTCTGATCTTATCCTCGGAGATGCGCTTATTTTCTGCTCTCAGGTATTTCATTGGTATCAAATGCAAGCTGTGTGTACTAGTGTAGTGAGTACCAATAAACATGAGAATCTTCTGGCGAATTCGTAAGTGTCTTTTTTAAGAATTAAAGGATTTTTTTGATCAGTTGACTTGATCACTGATCAGTTGACTTGATCACTGATCAGTTGACTTGATCACTGATCAGTTGATTTGATCACTGATTAGTGCACTTGATCACTGATCATTTGACTTGATCTCTAATCAGTCTAAAGTTGATTTGACTTGATTTTTACTTGATCAGTTGACTTGATCAGGTTCATGTGACTAGAGCAGGTGACTTGATCAAATGACTAGATCAATTTGCTTTTTATCAATTGATTAGATTAGATTTATTTTATTAGGCTGTTGGATGGGAAGGCACATTTGGTTTTACAACATTAGCTGTTCTTCTTATACCATTTAACTATATTTATGTTGGGCCAAAGTTTGGAGCTAATCCAAGGTAAGCTTTGAATCGAAAAGATGTGACTAGTAGTATGTCTTATTCGTGCAAATGTAGGGGTATATATTTTCTTGAAATATCACCCCCACCCTCTTTCTCGCCGATTAGTTATTGAATATGTTTTTTGGAGTCTTTTTATTTTATTTTTAAGCGGTTTAATTTATGTTGCCGGAAACAGTCCCACTTTCTTAAATAATTTCTAATTTCTATCTTAGTTAATCTTCGTAGATCTAAAAAACCTGTTTTTTTTTATAAACTTATTATTTATTCTGAAAATGTTTTTTTCTAGAATGGTTCTAGAGGATGCGTACGACGGTGTTTATCAGCTTGCTCATAATCCTCTACTTGCACTAGCATTCTCAGGTACACATGAAAGTGATCTATAAGCCACCTTAAAATAAGTTCTTCGTATATGAACAAGGTCCGTCTCCTAATTACATACTTTGGGGGATGATTGTTTGGCCATTGGATGTCGCAAGATACTGTGATGCCGGGTGGTTAAAGAGATAAACCAAAATTGGAGAGGAATATGGCATCTAGTCTCTCCTTTCATAAAAAAGGGTAATTCCTTTCTGGTATTTATTTGCTGTATCGCTGATACTAAAAAATATATATATATAATAAAAAAATCAACAAACAATAGCATAACAGGTTTTTTTAGAAGTTTTATACTTTTTTTATATGGCCGAAACCATCTTAACTTTTTCTATTTAACTTGTATAACTTTCAATGAGGAAATTGAACACTTATTAATCTGTCTTTGTCCATCTATCAATCCTCATTGTCTATTTCATTTAAGTCCTCTTTTTATGTCAGGGTAACAGTAATTGGTAACAAATTAAAATAGTATACCTAGCATTGATAAACTCAGATTAGGCAAATTTATGAAATTTTGGCCTTTATAATTTCTGAAAATATTAAGCTTAGAGAATGCAAATTTAAGCAGCTAAACTATAACATTTCTGGAGTCTCTGAACAACTTCAAGAACTTCCAGGAATGTCATACATATTTACATTGGATCAAAACAATTTTTGAACCAATAATAAACATGTTTAACCAAAACAGCCAACATTCTCAAAGCCTAAACATGGTTTTTGTCAACAAAGTAAATTGCGAAACAGATACTTATCTGATAAATAGATAATTAAAACGGACAAAGTCGGATACGTCATCTGGTCGACTATTTCAGTGCTATAAAGAAACGTACTCAGTTAGGGATGCTAAGACCACCAACGGGAAAACACGTTATATGCCATAGTTTGAGCCTTACTTTTATGGCAATGTAATTGACATATTCGGAAATAATTGTATATTTTAGGCAATATATTTGATATTTTAGGAAATAATTATATATTTTAGGCAATATTTTTCATATTTTAGGAAATAATTATATATTTTAGGCAATATATTTGATATTTTAGGAACTGTGATATCTATCGCGTTCTTCAACTTTGCCGGTATCTCAGTAACTAAGGAGCTCTCTGCTACCACAAGGTACACTCAACAAACTCGTGAAGTATTTTAATCCTATTTTATAAAATTACGATATTCGTATGGATTTACTATGAATGTCATTGAATATTTGTTTCAATGTTGTGTTCACAATAATGCGTCCGTAATTCCTTTATTATATATGCGTCTTCACTCTTCAGTCAGAATACAAGCTTATTCAATCTTGATACGTGGGTCTTCAATCTGGATGTGTGCGTCCTCAATCTAGAGTAGTCCGTCCTAAATCTGGATGTCTGTGTCCTCATTCTGGATGTGTGCGTCCTCAATCTGGATGTTTGCGTCCTCAATCTGTATGTGTGTGTCCTCAATCTGGATGTGTGCGTTCTATATCTAGATAAGTGCGTTATTAATCTGAACGCTTTCGTCCTAAATCTTAATGTGTGTCCTCAATCTGGATGTGTATGTCTGAAATCTGAATGTGTACGTCTGAAATCTGGATGTGTGTGTTCTCAATCTGGATGTGTACGTCTGAAATCTGGTTGTGTGTGTCTAAATCTAGATGCTTGCGTCCTAACTCATAATGTGTGCGTCCTCAATAAAGATGTGCGACTCTTAAATCTAGATGGTGCGTCCCTGGATATCTGGATATTCTCTATATCCTATCTTAGGATGGTACTGAACAGTATCCGTACCCTGGATATCTGGATATTCTCTATATCCTATCTAGGATGGTACTGAACAGTATCCGTACCCTGGATATCTGGATATTCTCTATATCCTATCTAAGGATGGTACTGAACAGTATCCGTACCCTGGATATCTGGATATTCTCTATATCCTACTTAGGATGGTACTGAACAGTATTCGTACCCTGGATACCCTGGATATCTGGATATTCTCCATATCCTATCTTAGGATGGTACTGAACAGTATCCGTACCCTGGATATCTGGATATTCTATAATAATTTTATTTAATAATGGTACTGGATAGTATCCGTACCCTGGATATCTGGATATTATATAATAATTTAATTTAAGAATGGTACTGGATAGTATTCGTACCCTGGATATCTGGATATTACATAATAATTTTATTTAAGAATGGTACTGGATAGTATCCGTACCCTGGATATCTAGATATTATATAATAATTTTATTTAAGAATGGTATTGGATAGTATCCGTACCCTGGATATCTGGATATTATATTTAATTTTATTTAAGAATGGTACTGGATAGTATCCGTACTCTGGATATCTGGATATTTTATAATAATTTTATTTAAGAATGGTACTGGATAGTATCCGTACACTGGATATTTGGATATTATATTTAATTTATTTAAGAATGGTACTGGATAGTATCCGTACTCTAGATATCTGGATATTATATTTAATTTTATTTAAGAATGGTACTGGATAGTATTCGTACCCTGGATATCTGGATATTATATAATAATTTTATTTAAGAATGGTACTGGATAGTATCCGTACCCTGGATATCTGGATATTCTCTATATCCTATCTTAGGATGGTACTGAACAGTATCCGTACCCTGGATATCTGGATATTATATGATAATTTTATTTAAGAATGGTACTGGATAGTATCCGTACCCTAACAATCTGGATGTTTTCTATCGCAGTTGGCTGGCAGAGCTTCTATCCTCTACAGTTACTTGGTGATACATTTTACCGCCTTTTTATCAATATTACCGCCCCTTGATTACTTTTAACGTCCCTTGGAACAATTAAGAAAAATAACCACCCGCTTTGCGAAGTTTTCATTAAAAAATTGTGAATTTTCATCTCAAAAGACGATAAATTTGTGCAAAACAATTTTTTCGAGAAAATAAAAATTATATCAACGCGCTACGCTGTTGATTTTAACGGGGTTTCCATCAGCTCAAAAATACTGTTGTTCTGAACTAACTCTCCGGAGTCCTGTTAAAAAATATCCAATTTGCCCTGGGGGTACGATAAAAATGTCTGCATAGAATAAGGACATTTTTATTGGTATTGTTATTAACTGCAAGGATATTCTGTAATCATAAGGCTTGCTTTTACAATATGGATTTTTTCTAGGATTTGCTATACTGCTGAGTGGAATGTGTTTCTACAATGATATTCTTATTATTCCAGGGATAAAGAAGATAGCAAGGTAATGCAAGAGTATATATTTTATTTAAAAACTGTTAACCCCCTATGATTTGATGATTTGATTTGTTTCTACTATATGTTAGGTATGTTTGAGAATATATTTTTGGGATTTTTTTCGCGATATTTTGGAAAATTAATGATATAAAGGGGGGTCGTGAATTTTTCGATAAAAGGTCAACAAAAAAGAGAAAGAATTTTTCAGGTAATTTTCCATTAGCCCTTCGAAAATGATCTGTGGAATGACAGGTCAAATAATGAGTTTTGGGGGGGATTTTTCTTGTCTGGTTCGTTGGATCCATAATTTATTAGATTCTTAATTCAATAAAGAACTGGGATGTATATGTATAGCAGTAACCCGTCCATAGGCTGATGATGATGGATTCTGCTAAGGCCTGCTACGAAAGTAGAACCTAACCATTTCAAAAAAGATGTGGCGGTTTTGATTGCTTCCCATTTATACAGTTGTTTATTGTTATTGTTTTTTCATACTGCACCTTCAAATACTCAAGCACTTAAATATTATATAGAGTCACATTTTACATAGTTGCTAGCTTGGGAACCCAGCGCTGCCCAGAGTCCGAATTTAATGAATTTGAGCTGCGTCTAAAATCCGCCAAAGTCCGTTTTCAATTGAGGGCCGGCTTAAATCTTGAAACTTTGAGTTCCATTTTAGGTGGAATCAACTATATTTGAACCGCGGCCTAAATTTAAGCTGCTGCTCAAATTCTTTAAATTCGGCCTCAGGTTACACATAGTTACCTCCACCGTTTACCGGTACTTGAACGATTTTACTGGGAAACTAAATTTTTCTTAAAACCAAGAACATTCACGTGGGTCTACTGAGTTACCCAAAATTTTTTTTTGAGTTTTGAGGCAATTCGGTCCAGGGGTTCCTGAGTTATGATCGAAAAAAACAGACAAACGAAGATTACAACTTTATATATATAGATATAGTGAAGTATATTAACCCCAGTGTACATATTTAGTAAGTTTGGGTTGTGTATTGAGCCTGTACCGTACAACAACGTGGAAGATGAGGATGAAGAGGAGCAGGAGGACGTGGAGAACAGGGAACCTGTCTTCTCCACCAGGGGCCAGGAGTAGGCTGATCTCGGGGCCGTTCTTGACCTCAACATGGCGGGTGTTATTTAACCTCTGTGGTTAAGATGTAAAAATTGTGTTGTTTACTTCATTTCTCAAGGAGCATGTACAAAACATTGGCTTATTTATTACCTTGAGCGAGCTTTACTTTATTGATTGAGTAAATTAAAGTTTTCTCATATCGGAGAAAACAATATCAAACAAAATATAAATAATCTTGTATGCATCCATGTCATTGTAAAATTTTACATATTATTCAAACTTATTTTTGAAATATTTTTGTTAAAATTGTCCTCAAACTTAGAATAAAGATAATATGTATTTAATAAACCTAGTACTTTCTGTGACACCTGGATTTTAATTTGAAAATTTTAAAAAATATGATTATTTGAATCTTGACAATGTTTTTGAATATGATTACAAAGTGTGTTGTCTTTTATTTAGTTCAGTTCCGCAATTACGATGTCGTCATAAACTAGATTTTACGATTTATATAAAAATATTATTAATGATTACTCGTTACAGCGAAGTAACTGATTGAACGGTATTTTCAAATTAGTAATTAAACATCTGTTAGACTGATACGAAACTTCATTTTGTCCAAATTAAAATCTAATAAATTGATAGATCTGTATTCTCTACTCAGTAATAAGTAAATAATATATTTAACTAAACATTGATTCTGTGATTCTAAATTAAAAACTATTAATAGAAATTATGTATTTACAGATTTCTAAGATTTATTTAAAATGTGCGGACGTGGATGTACTAAATTTTTCAACATTGGTAAGTTATGGCATAACGACTTTTTAAGATAAGATATTGTCGTTACTATGGGAGGGGGGGGGGGGGGGGGTAACAGGTCAGATGCTCCCCCGTACCGTTTATCAAAATATCTTTTTTTTTCAAAGTTCGTTTTATGAGTGTATTTGTAGTTCGCTAAAAGAAAAAAATATTTACTATAACTTTGTGAGCTAAAGATACAGGGTTACCCACAAAGGATTAAACCTTAAAGACGACTTGAAACTCTGAAGACATGAAGACAAGGTTAAATTAAGTCTAGTTTTCTTGGATTTCTACCCTCAAGGTTTATTAAAAGATTTGGCAAAGAAAGACAAGTTTACAGTTGCAGGGAATAATGAATGTAAGGAAACCAACCGTGTAATCAAAAAGATAAGAAACATAAATATCACCCAACCGTTCTTATATTTTTTTTTGGCACCCAGGAAATGAGTCCATTAGAATAAACAAAAAAATAGTTCTCAATGTTGGCCCGTTGGGTTGATGTTAACAAGGTTTTAAACAAATCATAATGATAATCGATTAGGCTCATTTTCATTTGCCATAATTACACTTGCCATAATTACACTTGCCATGATACCTTTGCCATCAGTAACACTTGCCATAAGTTAAACTTGCCATAAGTCACACTTTCCATAAGTTACACGTGCCATAATGGTTACACTTGCTACTTTTGTCATAATTTTCTAATTTTTAAAAAGATATAAATCTGTCTTTTTTATTGTAAATGCGGGAAATTGTCCCATGAAAATTCACACCTTTAGTTTTCTCATTGCTTTAAAACAGAACAGTTGACACTAGTTGAGCTCCATATTTTCACACAATAGAAGACCCTTTGATGACCTTTGAGACCACAAGTAAGGGTAAACCAATGGTTCGAGACAGCTACTCCTACACCTATGTAGCCAATACCTCGTTTACAGAAATGAAATATTGGAAATGTTCGGTTAAAATGTGCTCAGCGAGAATTCGAACCCGAATTCAAACTGTCTCTAAATTAGATTTGTAATTTGTATTTAATTTGTAATTAAAAAAATTTTTTTTTTTAATTCTAACCAAATTTATTTTAATTATGGCAAGTGTAATTATAGCAATTGTAACCATTATGGTAATTGTAACCATTATGGTAAGTGTAATTTATGGCAAGTGTTACTTATGGCAAATGTATTATGGCAAATGTAAATAAGGAAAATGTAATTAAGGCAAAAGTATTTATGGCAAAAGTATTATGGCAAATGAAACTGAGCCAATCGATTATGATAATCGATTTAAGGACCAGTTCCTTAATTCCCAGTTATTTAATTCCAGTAATTTTTTGTACACTTACATTCATTTGATATAAATTAGTTTTTATATTTTTGATGCACACTTCCGTTTTATTATATAACACTCCCTTTATTTTAAAATTAATAGTTTTCATGAACACTCTCTTTAATTTGATATTTATAGTTTTGAGTTTGACTGGTCTCGGTCTCTCCATATACACATTCTACGTGGAAACCAAGGTGTGTCTTGTTTAAAATATAATCCTGTCCTGCTCCTGCAAGTAAAAAAGCCCGATTCTGTTTTGATCTTGACTTGATCTCTGCAAATGTTAAAACCGGTTCTAAACTGGCCCTAAAAATTACTCGCAGAACTTGGAATTTGAAAAAGCTCTGAAACTACATATTTTATTATATTCCAGCTCCAAAGCACGAAAATGTAAAAAATATTGTCTATTTTATATATGTGCTCATTCCAAGACTTCAGTTTAGTTCTGGAAGTGGAGAAATGTTCGCTTCAAGTTATTATATACATTATACAACCATCAAAGTTGCAAAACGTTCATGATTTGTAACTGCCAGTGCTATGTCTCAAATATCTTTGTAAATTTTAAAGCTTAATTTCAGTAATAAGCAGTTTGAAATTAATTACATTAAAGCAGCGTGTCTTGTTTTAAAATTTAAAAGACGACTTTCATTCCTATTTGTATGACAGAATGCTTAATGCTTAGTTGAAATACTTAAAAAAGATTATACAGTGAGAGTCAGAAAACTGTGGAGTAGACAGACAACATGGAAACTATAATCAAGTGTGTTTGATGTTGTTACAAAGCAAATAGTTTTACTAGTATCATATTATACTACTTATTAAGTAAAATGGGTCCACAGCGAAATTGTTGTGACTATTAAAAACTATTATTGGACCAAATTGGCTGAATTTTTTTAAAGTGAACCAATGGGTAGTGGGTACCCTTTTGATAATAAAGGCTAAAAAATTTCGATTTTTTTTTTCTAAGATCGATTATTTTTACTTCACAGGCAACGCCGGGCACCTCAGCTGGTTTTTTTTCTATAATGAAATGGGTCTGTTTACACTGAACAATTGCTGTGTCTCATGTTCATTGGATTAATTAAAATTACACTTGAGTCTAAAAGTCGTCTTTCTATTCCATAGTTTTATGGTTTTTATTGTATAATTCTTAATTTTTTTTCTATAATTATATATTTAGGCCAAGTCTGATGAAGAATATAGTCCCTTGTGTGATATTGATTCCTATATTTCCTGTTCTAAAGTTTTTAAAACTAAATTCGCAAAAGGATTTGGAATGGTAAGTTGGAAGAAGAAATAAAAATTGCAAAAATAAAATAGAAATTAATTTCATTGAAATCTGCAAGAAACGTATAAAACGGGCTTTTGTCTGTTACTCAAGTAATCTTGTATTTAATCAAGGAAAACGTGTATTTAGACATTTAAAATTTAAATTAAAATAAAATTCAATATCAATAAATCTGATGGGATGTTTATTAAAACCTAGATTCTATAGCTAAAAAATCTTGGTATGTTTTTGTGAAAATAATAGATCCGGTGCTAAAATTTGTGAATATTTTTAAAGTTTTATTCTCAATTCTTTTTATTAATAACAAATTTACAAAATGTGTCTTTTTGTGCTACTGAAAAAACTTCATTTAATGATTGGTTGAATGGTAAAATTTTAATGATCTCTCATTAGTTGACTTTTAAAATGTGGCGTTTCAGAGCAAGAAGTTCTTCCGATGGCAAGGGTTTATATTTTCCTGAAAAAATTATTTAGTCCCACCGGCCCTACTCTTACAATTTTTTCCCCTTAGAAGTAACTATGTTTGCGCGGAGCGGAAATATTTTTTTATGATTCTTTTCGTCGAATTGGGGAAAATAAATGATTTTTAGGGGAAAATAAATACATGTTTGTGTAAAAAGTGTGAAAAAATATGAAAAAAAACTTACCTTTCTAATCTAATTTTAATTTTCCCCCCAGATTTTCTAAACTCATTTCCTTAAAAATTGAATTTGGTCGTAGGTTGGTGATCTGGTGGGTGAAGAGCACCCCTTAAACCAACCTAACTGTGTGTATGGGATCATCTTCTACTTGATCTTCCTCCTCCTCTCCTTCATCAACAGGAGATTCATCGCAACATTCCAGGTTCATTTAATTTCTTCATTTGTAGAGTGGCCGATTCACAACAGTACCCTGCACAACTTTTGTCTGATCATCGACGGCTAAGATATTCTATTTATTTTAATAAAAAAGGCTTTTATTTCTAGTCAAGTTTTCGGATGTGACAAAAAAAATATTTTCATCATTGTATACACTTGAATTTTTTACTGAGTATTTTTAGTAGAAGTTGATTAGGCTTTGGTGTCGCTTTGGACGGGTGGAGTATTGTTAATGAAAATTATTAGAGATTTGTGGTTCCTCGGGGCGTGTGGAGTATTGTATTGTCAATGAAAATTATTGAGGTTTTGGTGTCGCTTGGGGCGTGTAAAGTATCTTGAATGAAAATTATTTATGTTTTTTTTTGTCCTTTGGGGCGTATAAAGTATCTTTACTGAAAATTATTTAGGTTTTGTTGTCCCTCGGGGCGTGTGGAGTATCTCTTTACCTGGGATACCTCCTTTACTTCGTCATTCAGGTATTGTGGATAAATAAGAGAAGGGTGTGGGGGGGATAGATTTATATCGACATAGATATTTCAAACTAGAATTCTGTTAACTCTAACATAAACATTTGAAAAAATGCAAGGTTTATACTATCAGGTTGCATTGGGATTTGGTATTGGGATTGGAAAATTTGAGTTTATGGCAAAGACTCAATTCGTTTAGTTTTTTTTTATATAAAATGGCTAAGATTTGATGAAAAATTTGATTTTTTAATTATTTTCAAGTTTTCCACACTACATAATAAGTTTGAAAAACAAAGTTTTGAATAAAATGATCTTCTAAAATATTTGTATTTTAATTATATTTGTATCTGCAGGCAGCTTGTGTTGTATGTATAGCAAGCTACGCGGTCAATCTACTCTTACTTCTCTTCAGGTAGTAATATAAAATATAAAATATAATTAACTTGTCAGTTTGTCTAACTGTTGGGTTGTTTATATCCTTAAAACAGCTGAACCGATAGGGTGCAATTTTCTTTGGTATCTCACTTGAACCCAAAAGTTTTATGACCGGGCAAAATTAAAAAAAATGCTTCCTGAAAATTTTGGTTTTTATATAAACTCTACGTATGAAAACAGGAAAACATATGAAATTTCGTCAGCTGAAATGATTATTTGAAAGAGGGACCCTGAAAGCACAAAGAAAAACGCTACACTACAAAATGAGACTGAGATAAAACGCTACTTCACAAATAATTTTTTCGGGTGTAGCGATTTTCTAGTATGATTATTTTTTTTTACTTTTCCCAAGATTAATTTAAAAGACAAAATATTTATTAATCTTACAATAATTTTAGTTTCTGCAAAAGGAGAGCATTAGCACCTCAACCTCTAAAAGCAGATAAGGTAACTAGCAAAAAAATATGATGTTATTTTTTCCCCAGAAAAATTTTGTGTATTTTCTTGATAAATGAATTTATTATCTAAATCTGGTTTCTTAACTCCTGTTTGATTGCAGTACGGCTACTATATACCAACAACTCACATGCCAACCAACAACAACTTCAAGAAGTTTATCTAAACATGGATTCTAAACCAAATGCTGATGAAATATGAACGCCTGCTTTTTTTATTCTGCTTACAACTCGCGCTATCATCGGCGTTGAATCTCAACCTTGTCGTTCTACACTCTAGAGACAAATATTGTATCTTATATGTGATATTTTACTTCTGTGATCTTCCTATACACTCAAATAATTATTTCTAAAATGTTATGCAAGACAAATTTTGAATTATATTTTTTTATGTGAAGACGATATTGGCCTCATTTTATGCACTTTGCACTCCTATTTTATGAATTTCAGATCAAAAATGTTGCAACGATTTCGACCGTTTGTTCGCACTAACAATCTTCTGAGAATGCACAGAACGGAAGTTTTACACGTTGAAAACTGCGCTAAATGTGCTCGAACATTATTTCAATCTTCCTTCAGTCCTGGACCCATGAGGAATAGTAAAATTGGGAAAAAGAAATTTGAGATTGAAAAAAGCCAAGTTGAGGTCGATGATGGAGATGTTTTCGGAGATATACAAAAAGATGTTACTGAGAAGATTGCCAGTGATTTTATGTTTGAAGAGGTATATAGGCCGATAGTAACTCAAATAATAATGATTGATTAATTATTTTATTCTTTTTTCAAAAGTTGAGGACAATTCTATTTATTTGATGAAGTTAACTGATCTAATTTGTAGTAATATTTTGATTGTTTAAAAGGTGTAAATGTGTTTCACGTAGTTGAGGATTGTTTTATCAAGTTTACTAAAAATGGTCTTCAGGTGCACCGTGCTAGGAACGATTAAGACCAAGTTAAAGATTTAAAAAATCTTATACTAGGACGGACCCAAGATTTTTGCAAAAGTTTGAAATCCTCGTTGATTTATTTTTTAAATCAAGTTAGTTAAAAAATGTTTAATTGCTTGAATGTTAGTGTAACTGTAGGAAAGTTAATAGATTTATAGATACTAGAAACTCAGGGCGCTTCGCGCCCATCTTCTATTTAAACTTTTAATTGTGGCTTTATCTGTGAGCATTTTCTCTTTGTACAGTATAAAACAAAAACAAAAAAAGTTTGCGGATTTCATAATATTTTTTCGGGCATTTTCAAAATTTTACAAAAATAAAAAACTTTTAACCACAAAGGGGGGGGGGCCACAAAACGTATTACTCTCCGGAAAATTTAAACAGTGTTTAAACATAACTTAGAATTGTCGTAGGAGGCTGATTTTTTGCATGCAAACTCAGAATTATGTATATTACGTGCATTTTTTGATTTTGAAGGAATCTGAGCAAAAGTGCGCGCGCGCGCGCGTTTTTTGCCGGTCAGAATGCTCTAATATTTATTTTGACCTCAGAAATGAATTCCTCATGCCAAATTACGTATAAATCGACATACAACATGTAAAAAATGTACTAAGATGACCCATAATGTAATGGTTGGCTACTAGCGCGCCGGTCAGAATGCTCCAATGTTCAATTTGACCTCGGAAATGAATTCCTTGTCCCAATTTTGCTATAGTTTGATGTATCACATGCAACTGTTATTCTAACTTGGGCCAAACTTAGCACATTAGTATACAAAGATATTTTCTTTTATTGCGCGCGCGCGGACATTTAAGCCTTTGGGTTGAATTTTTTTAGCGCAGATTTGTTTCAAGAGTGTCAGGAAAAATTTTCAAGTGCAATTAATGAAGTTAACATTGATTTACTGTCAAAAAGTCGCATTTTTTCACAAAAAACGCGCGCGCGCACGCACTTTTGCTCAGATTCCTTCAAAACCAAAAAATGCACGTAATATACATAATTCTGAGTTTGCATGCAAAAAATCAGCCTCCTACGACAATTCTAAGTTATGTTTAAACACTGTTTAAATTTTCCGGAGAGTAATACGTTTTGTGGCCCCCCCCCCTTTTTAAAACTTCAATCATTCATAAACCTTCCCTGGGGTCCCTAGATATCCCACAAAAAAGTTGGGCCCGATCGGTTCAGCCGGTCCAGCTAAAAGTAGGGTCAATTAATTTATTTATTTATTTATTTATAATCGGTTGTTAGATTTATTGATAGATTGATGAGCTAATTCATGGATTGATAGTTCAATTGGTATAATGATGGGTTGATTGATCGATTGAGAATGAAATTGATAAATTGAACGTGTAATTGATTGTAGGTTGATGGATTGATGGTTCGATTGATAATGTAAATAATTGATTGAAAATGTAAATAATAGATAGAAACTAATTGTCGGCCGGTTTATTGCTAAATTGATCGATTGATTTGTTGATTGATCGATTTGTTAATTGATTAATTTATTCATGAATTGAATAGTTATTCAATTGATTTATCTATTTAACAATATTTGCCCCAGGACGATGACGATGAGCAGGATCGACATGAATCCAAAGTCAGTGATATTTACAGACCAGGGAAACAGGTCAGCTGAACTACGTCAAAGACGTCTCTATGGAATTTTTACTGTTTCCTTACATATATGTTTCTCTGAAACTATAAACTTCTTTCTATCTTTACCAAATCTTTAAATAAGCCATTTAAAGACTACATTGAAGGTAGTAGACTGTTTAAACTTGGATCGTAATATTTGACGAATTTATGTCGTCTTTACAGTCTCATCCTTTGTGGGTAAACCTGTACATTACCTCAACCATGATAATTTTTATTATTGATTCAAAGAGACTGTAAGCTTAATTTCAAGTGATGCTCTAAGCCAAGATGGGAATGTCTGATTTACATCTGCACCCTTAAAAGCATTTTCTAATCAAGCATGAATAAGATATTCATTATTTTGTGTTTTGAAATGTATTTTTCCCCTCTGCAAAAGTTTGGAAAACGGCCTCTGAAATTGACCCTGGAAACTGAACCAAGAAATTGACCTCTGAAATTGACCTCTGAAATTGACCTCTGAAATTGATCTCGGAAATTGACCTTTGAAGTTAAAACCCTGGAAAGTAACCTAGGAATGAATTTAGTTCTACCTGCGCCGGATGAACGAGCTCTTGAATGAGAGGAATGACTTAAAGGGAGCTCTGGACGTTTTAGAGATTGAGATGAAAGAAGAACTGGTTCAGCCTGAACAGGTTTCATAAGCTTTTAGATTACACTTGTAGATGTGGTTCAACCATGCCTCTTTAGCTTTAATCGGCATACAATAGAAGTGATTGAACTTTATCTGTGCGACTTCTCGCTATATATTAAATCTGGTCCCAGAACACAATATGTACAGTTTATGTACAAGGTACATGCGTACAATGTACATGTACTGCCTGTTTCACTCTAAATCATTCATTCATTCATTTATTCATTTAGTTAATTATAGCTAATATTAATAGTTTTAGTGATACATTTTTTATTCATTTAAGTGTTAATTTAATTTTGACGGTATTTTTTTTATGTTGTAGCCGCACTACCGAGTTCTTATCCATGCTTGTGCTAAGGCCGGTCATCTTTTAAAAGCTTTGAGCTTACACAGGAAACTTAACAGTGGTCAATCAGAAGAGATTTTATTATTATCTTTTTTGTTTCATTATTTCTTTCGAAAATAAAACTTAAGAAATTATTAGCAAAAAAAATACTTAATTGATGAATCTATTTACTGTTATTTTACATCCTTTTAAAGTCTGAAATATCTTTATCACCTTGGACCGCAAAAGCAAATAGCTCTCCGTCATAGCTAGCTAGTAATTCTAGTCTAATTATTTCGAGTCTGTGTTAATCGTTCATAGAATATTGGCTGTTCAAGCTGTTTTTCTAATTATAAAAAGGCGACGTTTTTTGGCTTATATTTTAGACTCACTGGTGGTCATTAAGGGAGTTCAAAGAACGAGGTTTAAAGTTTCATATTGGCATCTACACAGATCTATTCCTAGCCTGTACTAACTCATATTCTAGGTAAGTATATTGGAATATTATACACAGATCTATTCTTAGCCTGTACTAACTCACATTCTAGGTCATTATATTACAATATTATACACAGATCTATTCCTAGCCTGTACTAACTGATATTCTAGTTCATTGTATTGGAATATTATACACAGATCTATTCCTAGCCTGTACTAACTGATATTCTAGTTCATTGTATTGGAATATTATACACAGATCTATTCCTAGCCTGTACTAACTCACATTCTAGGTCAGTATATTGGAATATTATACACAGATCTATCGTTCTCAACAGTAAGTTCTCATAAAATTGTCCTCAGTATAAGTTCTTCTTAAATCGTTCTCAATAGTAAGCTCTCATTAAATCGTTCTCAATAGTAAGCTCTCATTAAATCGTCCTCAATAGTAAGCTCTCTTTAAATCGTCCTCAATAATAAGCTCTCATTAAATCATCCTCAATAGTAAGTTTTCATTAAATCATCCTCAATAGTAAGTTCTCATTTATCTTCCTTAAAAGTAAGTTCTCATTTATCGTCCTTAAAAGTAAGTTCTCATTAAATCATCCGTAATAGTAAGTTCTCATTTAATCATTCTCAATAGTGAGTTCTTATTTAATCATCCTCAATATTAAGTTCTTCTTAAATCGTCCTCAATTGTAAGTTCTCATTAAATCATAGTCAATAGTAAGCTCTCATTAAATCGTCCTCAATAATAATATCTCATTAAATCATCCTCAATAGTAAGTTTTCATTAAATCATCCTCAATAGTAAGTTCTCATTTATCTTCCTTAAAAGTAAGCTCTCATTTATCGTCCTAAAAGTAAGTTCTCATTAAATCATCCGTAGTAGTAAGTTCTCATTTAATCATTCTCAATAGTGAGTTCTTATTTAATCATCCTCAATATTAAGTTCTTCTTAAATCGTTCTCAATAGTAAGTATTCATAAAATTGTTCCAATATTAAGTTATTTTTAAATCAGCATTAATAGTAAGTTCTCATAATATTGTTTTAAAAGTAAGTTCTCATATAATCGTCCTCAATGAGCGTCTTATTCTCAGTGCATACTAATAAGTGCCTTCGAATAAGTGAGTCCGCATAAGTGCCTCTCATTAGTGTGTACTTAGGAGTGCCTCCGAAGCAGTGAGTCTGCATAAGTGACCTTTAGCGTTAGGGAAGGTTGATAAATATTGCAAGCTGATAAGAGAGACACACTGTTCCTAATTTCTAGCTTTGTTGGTTGTTATGTATACTAATAATTTTGTTTAGCCTGTGGGACCCTTATATTAGGGATTTGTTGATAACCTAGGGAACACCGACTGCCCCCCCCTCTATCCCTTTTCTTTGATTTGACGATCTATCTATATTAACCTAACCTAAAATGGTATGCAAGTGTATGTACATTTGAGTGAGAGACAGGGGCCCAGAGTTCTCAATTAGTGGTTTATATATCAAGTTCTTTGGACATAAATCTATTAGATTAAATAACATATGATTTTTTATTTTGTATATTTTCTAGAGAATTGGGTTTGGAAAAAGCAACAAGTCTGCTCAATGAAATTAGAGAGAAGCATATCAACCCTAACCGAGTTCTTTACAATAGTATAATTCAAGCGTTTGGCAGGTATAATTTCCTGAATTCTTATTTATGTTCACAAAAGTCAATGTTCACTGTTCCGCCTTAAAACCTCAACACTTTTATTTTGTGTGCTTCACACTAAATTTGCGTTAAATGTTGGGTCCATTCAGTCTTAAGAAAGCAAAACCTTTTAAATGGACTGGTTAGTGTCTAGACTGTTTAGACGTAATTTTAGGTGATTCAATTACAGATCCATTATATTTTCAAGGCGGATCCAGGATCCTGATCCGCATCAAAATGAAATAGATCTTTAGAACTGTTTTTTAGAGGGTTATATCCAATTCATATCCCATGAAACCTTTGCCTGTTTCCGAATTTAATGGATTTAAGCCGCATCTCAAATCTCCCAAAAAACGGTCTCAATTGACCGGCTTAAATCTTGAAAAATTCAATATAAATTTATGTGGAACCAACAAAATTTGAGTCGCGGCTTAAATTTAAACTTCGGTTCAAATTCTTTAAATTCGGCCTTCGGTTATGTCATAGAATTATCTTTAGTTTTAATTGTGACATTTTCTTTAAAACTGACTCGCGCACTTATGCTGCAAAGACTATGAAAGAAAATACGGAATTTAGAATAAAAAAGAACGATATTTCTTATTGTTACTCAGATAGAGGTTTAAAGGGTAATGTTTTAAATCTAACATGCTTTTTAACAGGAGGGTCACTTGAAATTAGTCCTTTAACTTGAAGAATCTAGGTGTGGGGATTTAAGAACAGCCCTAAGCCTAGTGGATGAGATGAATGCAAACAAATTTTCTCTCAACTCGCAATCCTTCAACTTTCTTCTTCAAGGCTGTATCTCAGATAAGGTGTTTTTTTTATGTCTCTTTATTTATTTACAACTATAAACATCATATTTCCCGAAAAATTAGTTGAACACTTAATTATATCATCGTTTGAGATAAAACGCGCGAATTTTATTACAAAAACTTCGCAGTGCTGGTGGTTATTTTACTTAATTGTCCCAAGAGACTTGACGTCCCTTTGCTAGGGAGATCCGAGGTTGGTAATGTTGGTCAAGGGGTGGTAAAAATTATTTACAACTACTTTATAGGGAAGTAAAGGGAATTTTACTTAACCGAGGGTTCCAAAGACAAAATTGGTTGAGGGAAATTGTGGTTACGTAAAATTTCTAATTTCCTCAAAAAGTAGTTGTACAAACTTTTATCGTCTTTTAATATTAAAATGGGCAAATTTTTCCCTGAAAACTTCTCTGAGCGGGATATTAGTTTACATAACTGTCCCAAAAGAACGTAAAGTAACCTAACTTCCCTCTGTTGGATGAATTTTAGGTTGGTAATGTTGGTGAAAAGGTGGTAAAAACAATAATCAACCGCTCAATCTTAATCAGATTAGGTCTCCTTTAAATGGCTCTTTGTTTGGGGAATTATAGGTCGGTAATGTTGGTCAAAGGGCGGTACAAACAATAACCAACCGCTCAATCTTTTTCAGGCAAGGTTTTTTTTATGTCTCAAAGGAGACTTCAAACAATAACCAATCGCTCAAGCTTTTCAGATAATGTCTCTAAAATTTATGTTTCTTTGGAGACAACATTAACCTACCCCTCAATCTTATCTTTATCAGATAATGTCCCTTTGGACACTTCAATCAATAACACCGCCTAATTTCTATCAGATAATGTCTCTTTTAAATCTCTCTTTAGTGACTTCAAGCAATAACTAACGGCTCAATCTTTATCAGATAATGTCTCTTTTAAATGTCTCTTTGGAGACTTCAAGCAATAACTAACCACCTAAATCTTTATCAGATAATGTCTCTTTTAAATGTCTCTTTGGAGACTTCAAGCAATAACTAACCACCTAAATCTTTATCAGATAATGTCTCTTTTTAATGTCTCTTTGGAGACTTCAAGCAATAACTAACCACCTAAATCTTTATCAGATAATGTCTCTTTTTAATGTTTCTGGGGAGACTTCAAACTATAACCAGCTGCTCAATCTTTTATATTTGCTTCATCGATATTTGTAATTTCTGTAAATGAAGTTCTATATTCTGTAGGAGTCGGGATTCAGACACGCTCTGCTTGTCTGGAGGAATATGAGAAGAAAAAGAGTTCAACCCGACATTCATTCATTCAATCTCATGTTAAGGTAAACATAAACATAAAACCGGTTTGCTTTCAGTTTCCATGGGAAAATCTTAACAAAATCAGAGTGACTATTCAATTGAAGAGTGCCATCAACGATTCAAGAAACCCTTTTCTGAAAATTGAAAGGGCAAATGAGGTTTTATATATATTGAAAAACACTTCAGGTAATTTTCTTTCATTTTTGAAAAGATAGTTCTACATTTAAAATAAAGATTTAAAGAATTTTATTTTATATTACATTAAAAATATGATCTGCCATGATTTGGGATTTCGTGAGCCCTTGTTTTTTGTCTTATCTAAAAATAACATTATCAATTCAAATATCTAATTCCTTTGATTTTAAGATAATGGAGCGAAATTGATTATTTTATTGTTGAAGGGCTGCGAACGATTGTAAGCTAGGAGATGGATATTGGGCGAAGGATATTCTGCTAGAATCTGTTCATTTAAAGGACAGAGAAAACATGGAGCAAAAACTTCTGACAGCTACAGAAGGTAAATTGTTAAAAGATCTTTTATTTTTTAATCAATAAGTTTACATTGTAAAACTTTATTAACAAGATGAAATTGGTTTAATTTTGTTCCTTTTCATTCTTGGACTTCAGGAGGATTTTGTCTGTGAGAGTTGAATAGATAAAGGGAATCTGCTTCTTCTGGTTGAAATCCCTGAACAAAATCTTTTCTGTATGTGAACACATCAATCAGTTTGTGCACATACCAACATTTTTGCACATATTTATCAATTTTTATTAACTAACCAAACTATTTTGCATGAAAATCAATCGATTGTTGCTCAATGCAAATTCCTTTATAAAAAGCTAGTTTTTTGGTATGCAACAATTTTCATTTAATCCCGCCCCTTTTAAAAATAATAATAAATAATAGAAATAATTTGTTATTTTTTACAAAGGAATGGCATTTACTGTCAGACAATTTAGAATCAATGGAAATTTAAACCCCTGCACATTTCCACTGTTTTTGCCAATTTTTGCAAAATTCAATTTTCTCACCTTTGAGATGAATTGCTTTCATACTCCCTGGCCACAACACGTGACACTTTAGTAAGGATACTGATCAGATCCACCTTGGAGGCATTCACCAGCAGGGCAGCACCTAGCACCTAGACATGTGACACTTTAGTAAGGATAGTGATCAGATCCACCTTGGGGGCATTCACCAGCAGGGCAGCACCTTGCACCTAGACATGTGACACTTTAGTAAGGATACTGATCAGTTCAACCTTGGAGGCATTCACCAGCAGGGCAGCACCTAGTAACTAGACATGTGACACTTTAGCAAGGATAGTGATCAGATCCACCTTGGAGGCATTCACCAGCAGGGCAGCACCTAGCACCTAGACATTTGACACTTAAGTAAGGATACTGATCAGGTCAACCTTGGAGGCATTCACCAGCAGGCCAGCACCTAGCACCTAGACATTTGACACTTTAGTAAGGATACTGATCAGATCCACCTTGGAGGCATTCACCAGCAGGGCAGCACCTAGCACCTAGACATGTGACACTTCAGTAAGGATAGTGATCAGATCCACCTTGGAGGCATTCACCAGCAGGGCAGCACCTAGCACCTAGACATTTGACACTTCTGTTAGGATAGTGATCAGATCCACCTTGCAGGCATTCACCAGCAGGTCAGCACCTAGCACCTAGACATGTGACACTTCAGTAAGGATACAGATCAGATCCACCTTGGAGGCATTCACCAGCAGGGCAGCACCTAGCACCTAGACATGTGACACTTTAGTAAGGTATCTGATAAGATCCACCTTGGAGGCATTCACCAGCAGGGTAGCACCTAGCACCTAGACATGTGACACTTTAGTAAGGATACTGATCAGGTCAACCTTGGAGGCATTCACCAGCAGGGCAGCACCTAGCACCTAGACATGTGGCACTTTAGCAAGGATACTGATCAGATCAACCTTGGAGGCATTCACCAGCAGGGCAGCACCTAGCACCTAGACATATGGCACTTTAGCAAGGATAGTGATCAGGTCAACTTTGGAGGCATTCACCAGCAGGGCAGCACCTAGCACCTAGACATGTGACACTTAAGTAAGGATAGTGATCAGATCCACCTTGGAGGCATTCACCAGCAGGGCAGCACCTAGCACCTAGACATTTGACACTTAAGTAAGGATACTGATCAGGTTAACCTTGGAGGCATTCACAAGCAGGCCAGCACCTAGCACCTAGACATGTGGCACTTCAGCAAGGATACTGATCAGATCCACCTTGGAGGCATTCACCAGCAGGGCAGCACCTAGCACCTAGACATTTGACACTTTAGCAATGATAGTGATCAGATCCATCTTCAAGGCATTCACCGGCAAGGGCAGCACCTAGCACCTAGACATGGGACACTTTAGTAAGGTATCTGATAAGATCCATCTTGAATGCATTCACCAGCAGGGCAGCTCCTAGCACCTAGACATGTGACACTTCTGTAAGGATACTGATCAGGACTACCTTGGAGGCATTCACCAGTAGGGCAGCACCTAGCACTTAGACATTGAAAACTTCATTAAGGATAATGATCAGGACTACCTTGGATGCATTCACTATTAGGGCAGCACCTTGCACTTAGACATTTGACAAGGATACTGATCAGGACTACCTTGGAGGCATTCTGCAGCAGGGCAGCACCTTGCACTTAGACATTGAAAACTTCATTAAGGATAATGATCAGGACTACCTTGGATGCATTCACTATTAGGGCAGCACCTTGCACTTAGACATTTGACAAGGATACTGATCAGGACTACCTTGGAGGCATTCTGCAGCAGGGCAGCACCTTGCACTTAGACATTTGACACTTAAGTAAGGATACTGATTAGGTCTACTTTGGAGGCATTCACCAGCAGGGCAGCTCCTAGCACCAAGACAGAAGACCGTTTTCATCTCCAAAAATGTTTGCTTGACAAATTGTTCAGGTGTTTATTAGCTGGTAATTTAAAAAGATGTGAGGGGATGAGGTGGTCACAACTCCCGGCCCCAACAAAACAATTGTTAAAATTAAATGCTCCTAATTTTTTATCTTCCTATATTTCACCGAACGTAGGAACTTTGTCCTTTCTGGAAAAACGATGAAATTAAAGTTAATTCTTGAAAAGACCATAAGACGCAAAAAATATCTTTTTGTTTTTTTTTATATTTACAGAGATATGATTGTGGTAAGGTAAAACTCTCAAAAAATAAAAAGACAAAAAATGTACCTGAATAAACCAAGAGCCCTGAACAGTATTCCTCCAGCTGTAATATCCTGCAACAGTACTGTGTGCAATCATAAAGTCTGAATGAAGAGGTGTCCTGTAGGAAGCAAATCCATCAGTTTCTGTTCTACTCTTCTTTTTCTCCTCGACTGTCACCCCGTGGTCTATCTGGCTTCCTTGGCAGGCCTGCACAGTAAAGGGTGTTTCATTAAAATAGGAATTCTTAAAGTCTTTAATTTAAATTCAAATTTAGACATCTCCAACCCCACACATCAAAGGGAGTTATGATGATAATATTTTAATATGAACAAATATCTTGAACTGACAGTCTGCGTCTTTTCAAACTTTGAGATTGCTTTTCACATGGTTTAAAACATCTTTAATTTACTCCGAATTAATTTGTGTATCTTAAAATACCAAATTTCCTTTTTTACTGTTATAATTGTCAATAATACCAAAATGCTACTAATCTTAAACAACTCCATTAATATACTTATTAACGGATTACTAGACCACTAAAATATGCCGGGAAATAAATTTTAAAAAAATGTATTTAATATCAAAGATTAAAGATGATAATATATATTTACTCACTTCTCATATTACGATATTTGAGTTCATGGTAGATTAATTACAACAAGCCACTCTAAGTACATTTTGTATCTTGTAACATCTTATTGTAATTGGATCGCCTTGAATTAGATTTTTCACCTTTCATTTCACATTCAAGTTTTATCTGAACATTTACAGCTATTAGAATACCTGTATGAAGAAGAGTTTAGGCTTTCCTGCCAGATCTTCACAGTTGGCTGCAGTAAATGGTTCCCAAATCTTCTGTACTGCATAAGGACGGTCATATCCGTACAAGATACCTGCAAAATATTTCATTATGTAAAATATCATGTGATTTTTTTAAATTGTGAAAAAAAATTTATGGCTCTTTTTTAAGTCTTGACATGGCCTCAATGGCGTTTTTTTAATGTTGGGTTCTTCTTTATTTTTAGATTTTCTACTCGCGATATGATCATTGATGAACATAATTTTATAGATAAACATAATTTCATAGTTAAACATCATTTTATAGAAAAACATGATTTCATAGATAAACATCATTTCATAGATAAACATAGTTTCATAGATAAACATAATTTCATAGATAAACATAATTTCATAGATAAACATAATTTCATAGATAAACATAATTTCATAGATAAACATAATTTTTGATAAACATAATTTCATAGATAAACATAATTTCATAGATAAACATAATTTCATAGATAAACATAATTTCATAGATAAACATAATTTCATAGATAAACATAATTTCATAGATAAAAACTCTCATCTATGCTTGTGACACTAAGTGGAAAATTTGTTAAAAAATAAAGTTATATCAACAATTACATTTTAAATAAGTGACCACAAATAGAAAAGTTCAACTTTTGAACTTAATCTGAAAGAATAAAGAATAGTATGTGAAGTAAATTTGTCTTTTAAACTAGATATCGAAGAAAAAACTATTAAATATTACTTAATAAATAAATGATAGCTGAGATGAAAGTTACCTTTTTTTAACAAATTTTTGACAGCAAAATTTTTTAAAAAAGTTATTAACAATATTTATTAAATAGATAGATGATGGTTAAAGCATTTAAACAGGGTGCTCACACATCTGCACACACCCTGTCACAGTTCTTGTTCTACTTCATTTTCTGTGCTTTAATATTCCTCATGTTCTTGGTTAAACTTTGAAAAATAAGTTTTTTGGACATCCCCATATCCACCAATATATTATCGGTTTCAGAATTTTGTTTAGGACACCCTGTTCCTACGCTCTATATATGTTTTATTTGGCACACTTATAGATGATCAGAGCTGAAAACTTTAGAATGGTGGATATCGGGATTAAGGCTTAATCCACTCTTTTTCTTAATATCCAGATTAAATATGGCTTGTTCTCCTCTCATTTTTAATCTTCAGATTAATTAAGAGAGCAAGATTAAGGATATCCCATTCTAAAGTTTTCAGCTCTGACTGCTTTAAAATTTGAAAGGCAGGATGCAAGGGGCGTAATGGGTGAAGGTTTGCTACAAAATATCTAATCCAGAGTTGGGTATAAACAAGATGTTTGTACTTCTCTTATGCATAATGTGGTGCAAAATAAGATGAGTTCATGAATTCCACATGAGTGGGAAATGGCAATAAGTAGGCTTTTTTCAGCACTGAAAAATATGCCTCATACTAACTTATTCCATGTTTCCAATTCCTCCAAACCTCAAGTAAATAGAATAAGTTGAATTAAAGAAGATGAAAAAGTACACAAAAATGCATGCTGGCAGGCCTAGATTTGAGATTTAGCTTAGAAGAAAGTTTCCTTTTAAACTAGATAGATCTTTAAGAATTAACAAAAAACTAAACTAAAAATTACATTTTTATCAAACCACTAAAATCTATTACCTTCATTTCCGTGACTGAGTATAACTATAGCAAACATGTCTGAATGGGAATGATCCTCAAACCTTGCTGCCTCAAGCTTCTGAAGAATCTCAGTTGTTGTCAGGTTTTGGAAGACCCTGACCTCAAACTGGAGTTTAGTGAAAACATCTATCATGAGAACTCGATCCACATTTGATCCCTTCCTCTTACTAAGGCCAAGATCAGTGTGGAACATATCATTCTCAAAGATCATACAAATCCCCCGGCGTTTTCCTTAGATGTTTTCAATATTCAATTATGTTTTGTGTTGTTAAATTATTATGTTGTAAAAAGTAATGCATTGAGTCAATTTTGTTTGATAGCTTTTTTGAACAATAACACTTAATAGCTGAACCTACAAGGGCCGATTTTTTTGTGGTAACTCATGTGACCCCAGGTTTATGGCAAGCTAAGTTTGAAAAAATATAAAAGTTTGAATTTTGAAAAAAAACGATGAATTTAAATCAATATTTAAAGCTAAAATTATCATCAGGAAAAGAAATATTACTGAATAAATTTGCGAATGAAAACTTTTATTAGGCTAGAAACTAAAAATTGTGAATCCATCAGATCAAGATTCAAGTTAAAGGTTTCATACGTAAAGTTTGAATTGAACCCATCCCTTCTGTTGAATATGTATCATTGCCATTGATCTTCACAAGCCGTATCAACTTCTCCTCATCAGATTCCTTTAGAGGAGGCTTAAACTCCTCTTGCTCTTTCTTCTCGTGATGGTCTTGATGATGATGGCTTTGAAAAATCTCTCTAATGAAGCTTTTGGCATCACTCTCATCTTCACTGATCTCTTTGTTAATCTCAGCTGCAGGTTTAGCATCCTGTTCGTCTACACCCATGGTAGCAACTTCAGTTTCAACAATATTAATATCATCCTCTTTCAAATCATTTTTCAAGTTTTCCTGGACAATCTTGATATTTTCTTTGGAATCCATCCTACAAATAAAACAATAAACCCCTTGAAATACACCTTTGTTTATAATGCTGTAATATTTTTTAAACAGAGTTGGGTTTATTCTTTCCTGAGTGTTTGCACAGAACTAAGAGTACTGAGAGAATCTACTGAAACGTTATCTTTAAAACCACAAAGTTTCAAGAAATAAAGCGGTTAATTCAGTAATCTATTTAGCATATGCAATAAATACTGTGGTCATGAGATTTTAAAAAAAATTCCAAATTCAGATATTTAATTATTTTAAATAATTTTTGCACATTGCACAATCTTCATAAATATATGTCTTGAAAAATGAATAAAAGATAAGTAGAATGACTCATAAGGGCGATAAGCTCGGATTTATTTTTATTTTAAAAATGATGAAATAAGAATTTAAGAATTATGTTGATAATCTGTTTCTTTTCATGATTAGAAATACCAGCGAGGGTTTGTTTTAAGAAAATTGAAAATCATTAAAAAAGTAACAATATTTTTATTGTGCGAAGGACCTGATAAAATCAATGAGAAAAAACATGAAAAAAAAACACAAGATTGATATTTAGCAGTTAAAAACACAAGATTGATATTTAGCAGTTAAAAACACAAGATTGATATTTAGCAGTTAAAAACACAAGATTGATATTTAGCAGTTAAAAACACAAGATTGATATTTAGCAGTTAAAAACACAAGATTGATATTTAGCAGTTAAAAACACAAGATTGATATTTAGCAGTTAAAAAATCTAAAATTCTTAAATCTAGAAGTTGAGGTTCAAACTATAAATGTAGAAGAAGACATCAACTGGTGGGATCTAGATATCAAACAATCACAGGAGTCAAATCTTGTCAAGTAAGTAGGTTGAATGTTAATAATATTAATAATAACGGACTACAATTTACAATTAACATGTCTGAAGCCAAAAAACGAACAATGAAATCCATTTATAACCCCCGCATAAATATATATTTTTCGTGAAAAATGAGTATTCTCCAGTTTCCAGTAAAACACTAAAATAATGGCCTTGCACACGTTTTAAGAAAACCTAACACATGAAAAAAATTTTAATGTCCGGGCTGTAAAACCAGGGCACAGAAAGGACTTAAAACCCCAATTCAATACTGGAGTCTTAGACCATCCCTGCAACTTGTGATTTGATTTGATTTAATAGTGTTTTTTTTTAATGTTTTATTGCAGCTCAAGTGTTTCATCTTAGGTGTAAAAGCTTTTTTGTGGTACTTAATTAAAAGAATGAAAATGTCTATAAATATGTTTGTATTAGCCTGGAAACCAAACTTAAACAGGAAAATAATTTTATCCTTTAAAAAGTTGACCTTCCAAACAATAAGTTTTTAAGCAAATCTAAAAACATTCCCGTAGTTCTTCCAAGTTTCTAATCAAAATCTGAGGTAAATAGATAGGTCAGAAGGTTCAAGAATTATGATCGGACACACAAACCAACAAACAGAGAGCAATGTAAAATAAAATGATGAATGAAAATTTGTTTAGAAAGATGGATTCCAGATTACCAAGTTTATTAGAAGCCTCTCCAAACCTAGAAAACGTAGTTTCACTTCGATTAGAAGATACTCCGAAAAATAGGAAACATTTTAAAATCTTTATTTAAAACCTATCATTCTTTTTAACATTTTTAAGTCCAAATCTTACAATACTTATTTTTTAGGAGTAGATAGGATTTGAGTTTTTGCCACAAACCCTGATTTTCTAATCCCTATATCTGAGCAAGCCAATGTTGTAGGCCTTAGATATTTTAAACTATGAATTCTGTTAAATCAAATAATCTTAGTTTGAAATGTCAAAGGTTTACTCCAGCAGGTAGCAAAGATATAGGCATTAGTGTATTTGATTTTGAGGCAAAGACTCATTTTATTTACTTCAACCTCGCCTAAGTTTCATCAGATCTACCGTGAAAGTCAATTTTTTTACTATTTTTTTTAAAGACAGATGATCGTTTGATATTTAATTAAAATGAGGGAATAGATTGATGTTGCTTGGCGACATAAATACAGTCATCAGAATTATGCAGGTTTAAACTATTCTTTATTAAACAAAAAGAATGTTTAATGCTATAATGTTTCATCCTCGATTATAGAGTGGTATGTTCGATTCTCAACTGTCCCCTTTAAACCTTTGTCTGATCTATGTTGCATAAGATATCCTTCTCTTTCTCTATGAGAATTGATTTTTTTATTTTTGACTTATCTGGGACTTGCGGATTTATGAAAATGCGACAATGAGGGACATTGATGGAAATTGAAAGAATTCAACTTGTCGATAAAAATGCTATCTACGCTATTTACATATCATTGTTCAGATATGGTTTCTCTTGGCACCTTTGTGACGCGGACTTACCACTCTGAAAGTAGAGGGTCACTTGAAATCAACAGTTTAATTGTATTAAATCTGAACAATTTCTTTAAAGGAGGACAAGGTGAGGCCAATCCTGAAGACCCTGCAGACCTTGTTGTTGAACCTGAACACGGCCGAGGCTGAGAGGACGGTTCTCTCCCTCGTGGAGGAGTTAGATATTCAACCATCTACAGAGTTCTATAATCAGGTAAATAAAAGGATAACAATAATGATAAAAATAAAGATAACAAATTTTAATATTTATACTGATATAATATACTAATATAATACTGATTTTCAATGTTAGGCTTAATTTTAAAATTTTATCTTAAAACTGTTGAAATGCAATAAAAATTACATGCAACTTAACTTTTACAACATAAAAGGCCTTCTAAGAGATACATAGCAAATCATATAACCTTATTTCAATCCCATCTTAGCATAGTCATTTTGTGATAGGGATGTGGTCAAAGGGCGTGCCTAAAAGTCTGATTGATTGATTGATTTATAGGCCGGACACAATCTTTCTCTAGAAGGAACTTAAACCTGTTACTTCTCTAGGTGATTCGACAGCGCGCTCTACGGTTTGATTACGAGGGAGGTATCTCCACCCTGTCTCTGATAACGGAGAAGAACCTTAAACCTGATATTATCACATTCGGTTGTCTGGCCATGTGCTGTTCGTCTCTTAGGACTGGACTAGTAAGTTTTTTAAAACCTTCATAGGAGAATATTTTTAGATAAAAAAAAAAATTAAGTGATATAAAAATATTAAGATTGAAGTTTTCAAATGCATTAAGAAATGCGGCATCCGCTAACCCTCTATTTCTTGTTAAAATAAGTTTTTATTTTTAGAAATTATCAAGTTTGTATTTTTAGAAATTATTATCTGATCTCAACAAATATGGAGCTAAACCTAACACAGAGATAATGGGAACTCTAATCAAGGAACTGGAAAATTAGTTAAAAATTTTTTTTCTTCTTGACTGGCTGATCAGATTTGGCTACAGTGCAGTGGGACCCACAAACCTGTGGAATAGAAGACGACATTCTAGCAAAATGTGTATTTAATGTTTAAACTCAACTTATTATGCGGCCACCTTCCCAAAGATTAGGTTAGGCCCTCTGAGGCGCCACAGGCTGCAATTGGGGGGGGGGCGAGCGCTGCGGCTATGATGCGCTCTAGAACAGGCGGGGGGGCCGAGCGCTGCGGCTAGTGCAGAAAATTGCACAATTGGGAAGTTGCCACTTGGAAAAATTCCCTTGGGAAGTTGCCACTTGGAAAAATACCCTTGGGAAGTTGCGGCTTGGGAAAATGCCTTTGGGAAAGTACCTAAAATCTTAAAAATTTTTAAAACTTTAGCCGTATTACTAATCCACAGTTTTTTTTTGGTCCCATAGTATATCAATCAATTAAAGTTTTATAATATTATAAATCTTTTTTTGTTCTAAAATCTACAATGTCTGCTTTTATTATTTAAAATTTTCAATTATTGTTCAGATATTTATTGGGGAATTTTATGTTTATTATATTATTTTGGCACGACGTGCTATAAAGTTTTTGTAATTTTATCTGTATCTCTAAGGTTCTCGCCTTTTCAGATTATATTTTGTCCCTCGCTTGAGCTCGGGACAAAATAAAGTCTCTAAAGCTAAGGCTTGAACCTTCTCGATAAAGAGAAAACTTCTGTCCAAAAAAAACTTTATAACACTGGGAACCAAAATAATAGTGTTATGAATACTTAATTCATTTAAAATAATTCTACAATTTTGGTTTAGAAAATAATTTTGAAATCGATATTCCTCTGATGGCAACCTCCCCAATAGATTTGATTTGATTCAAGATGGGGTTTTAAGATTTCAAAATTAATGCTAACTTCTTGGATTTATGCAGGGAGCAGGAGAAAGATTAAATCCACGCGATGTCAGGTAATGATCCCCCCCCCCCCCGTCCTTTTTTTCTGACGAATAAGGACTGGACAAATGGGGAAAATTAAGATATTAGCAGAAATTGGTAGTAGGTTTGATCAAAAGCATGACAAATACGTTCCAAAGACTGTTTTTAAGACTGGAGACCAATTTAAAATGGTCATATTTGAACCTATACGCCCTAACAGGGTTCTAGCCTCCAACCACCATCCATTATATTAGAAAAATGTTTTTTATTGCAAAAGAGATAAATATCTTTTTTTATTTGGTTTAAACTATGTTTATATTTGTCAAGATCTAATGCATAAATTGTTAAAATAAGGAGACTAGAGGTTGTGATTTTTTATAAGAAAGTGGCCTAAACCCCAAATCCACATTTAAATGAAGCGAATAAGTTCTTAATCCGATAAAAACAGCTGACTGGTACTTTCGCGTCCTTTAACTAAATCTCCTTTGAACAATAAGGGTTAAGCATTTTGATGGGATTAACATAATCCATCATGTCTGACCTGAAAGAAGACAATATTTTGCTTTGTTTAGAAAATACCTTGAAGTAGTCAAATCTGAGAAGATACTTGTGAACAAGACGATGCTAAACCATCTCCATAATTTCTACAACAACTTCAGGCATAATATCAAAATAAAGGTATTTTTATAACTTCCAACTCATTATATAACCGGATAGATGGTGGGACTTTTATATTTATTTATTTATAACCGAAAATAGTGAGATCCAATGAATATTTTTATTAACGGTTGATTTTTCAGAATTGTTGCCCAATACATATTGTTTGTGCAGAGCAATGGATGTTATGTACCGTACACTTATGTACAAGATATTGTTATGTATTGTAGAAGAATTGTTATGCACCGTACACTTAGTACAAGATATTGCTATGTGCAGGAAAAGGGAGGCTATGTACCGTACACTGTTGTACAAGATATGAAGAACGGGTATGCTGAATGGAAGGAATTTACCAGATATTACAAGGTGATTAATTTAGAATATTTAGAATATCTTTATTTAATTATTATTCCCTCTTTTAAAAATGATTATAGATTTTTAAGTTATCATAAAATTTTAATTTTAAGAATTTAGAAGCAAGATTTCAATAGTTTATTCATTAAGAAAATTGGGTTGTAGTATTTAAGGCATAAATGCGCAATCATTTGCTTTGCCAGCAGCTAGTGGCAAAATATCTAGTATATCATGATTAGTCCTTGATTCATTTATATACTCGTTGTAGTTAGCTTGGGTTGGGTTGTGAGCAATAAGTAAAATTCTAAAAAATTGGTTTAATCCGTTTTTTAGGATTTGTATTTAGTTTACTCCTCATTATTGTTACAAACAAATATTGTATTTTAATCCTGTTTAATTTATAGGATTGGCTTGTAGAGGTGAAACTAGAAGAAAACGTGGATCCATTGGATCAATACAAAACTACAAAGGAAGAAAACAAAGAGAAGGAGGAGAAGAAGGAGAAGAAAAGGATTCAAATGGAGAAAAGAGAAAAATTTAAACAAAAAAAAGAAAATTTTGAAGATTAAATATATTTCAGCTAGAAAATGGTTGCAAACAAGAAGAAGAAGAATACTGGGCTGAGTAGGGAGGAGCTGATGATGATGTGTATTGGAGATGTTATTCAGGTGAGCATTAATCGATGATCATTTATTTGGAACAATTGCTGATCCTAACTTAATGAACATGATCATTAAACATTCAATACTGTGCAATATATTGAAATTCTGTTATGAAGTGAAATATTTTTAATTTGTAAGAAATATGAAAGAAACTTTGCGATATAAAACAAAGATTTTGTCAAGTAATGCTCGTTTTTACCAAAGCTATTATTTAAATCAGTAATAATGTTTTTTTTTATCAGTTATAAGAAAGAAAATCATTTTTTTGCAATTTCTATAATTTTGTCGCAAACAATTATTAAACCCCTAAAGGGGTGTAGTAGGAGTTATAGTGTTAAACATCATAAATCTGCATTAGAAGTTTTTTGTGATTCTTCTGTTAGTAAAAATAAGGCATGTACGTATGAATAATATAAAAGATGGGTTCTGTTTTAAAAATAGAGAGTTTTATCAAATAGGTGAAAACAATTCCTTTAAATAATTATTTTCAGGAACTGATCCTAGCTCACGATGAAGGGAAAGATGCAAATCTGAATAAAGTCAAGAGAAAGTTTGCATCAAAATATCAACTAGGAAACTTAAAATTAATTCAGATTTTAAAATTCATATACATTATAATTTTAAATTAGAAAACACTGAGACCCGTCAAGGGTATTTCGCAGACGCATTGAGTTCTTTGGAAGTATTGATTTTCAAATTCGATTATAATGATAGTGTTGATAATACCACGTCAGCATATTGAATTTATTTTATTTTGTTTACTCTAGAATCTGCTCCTAGACTGGTAGATATTATTGCAGCAGTTCCAGCCCAATATAAAAAGGTTTGTTATTTATTAAATATGCAATCTTAATCAACTTACATCCTACAACATTCTTCTACGATCTGTCTTTATAATGTTTCCTATCTGATTTTGGAAAGAATTTTCTTCTCAACCTTTTATTTAATATCGCCTCAGTCCACATCTGCAGCCCTACTTTGTTCAAAATTATTAATTACTTTGCAGCAGAGTGAACACTTTTAGTGGTTCTTTAGGGTTTTTTATTCGGTTTTCTGATAATCTTTTTTTTCGGTTTTTTTTTATGCTTCGATTTTTTTTTTTTACAAAACTCGTGAATACAATACCCCTACCTTGCAGATTCTGGTCCCTAAGCTAAGAGCTAAACCTGTAAGAACTGCCAGTGGAATTGCTGTTGTAGCCCTCATGTGCAAGCCACACAGGTAAAAGTTTTAACAAAAAGTTGAGAAATTTTTTTATTTTACTGAGGTCGGCGATTATATTAATACAATGAAGACGACTTTTTATTCATAATGCTTTGATCCCTAACAAGCAATTTTTATATTACAAGTTTGCAAGTAAACAAAGAGAAGCTGTTAATTGACCACTTCTCTCTGTTTAAATAAGTGATATTGCTGTTTAAAGCTTGGTAGACTTCAAAATTGAAATTGAAAGTCGTCTTCGTTGTATTGATATATACGATAACAACTGTAGAAGAATACAAATTCCATACACTGACAAACTCTGTTTTAAAAAAAAATTTTAATTTTTTTCTATTTTTCATTTAATGATTTGTTTTTATTGCAGGTGTCCTCACATCAACTTTACTGGGAATATCTGCGTATACTGCCCAGGAGGGCCAGACTCAGATTTTGAGTATTCAACTCAGGAAATTAACAAATCTAACAATTTATTTTATTTCGGAAAACATCCTCATTTTCAAAAATACGGGAAACTTTTCTTGACGAATTATGTGAATATGATTCGTCGTGGATGTTTTTTCTCAAGCACTTTAAAAGAAACGTCGTATTGAAATAGAAAATTACTTTATATTTAAATTTGTTAAATTATGATGTAACCAGTCGTATACCGGTTATGAACCTACTAGTATGCGAGCTATCAGAGCCAGATACGATCCTTTTCTACAGACTAAACATAGGTAGGAGTTAGCAATCAATCAATCAATCAATCAACCATATTTTCATTTTTTACATCATAGCAAGAGCCTAAAGAGTGTCAGTTTGAACTAAAGCTATGAAGTTGAGAAAATGCTTCTTCCAAGCCCGGTCGAGGGAACTTGATTTAAAAATTATTTTCGAATTTTACAATACTAACATGTGCTTTATTTCCTTTAGGACTTCCACAATGGAATGTAGACTTGCATGCAAACGTCGTCCAGAGTAAACCTTTAAACCTTTATCTGATCAGATATCGAGCTAGAGCAGTGTCTATTTCTTAACATTTTCTTAATAGTTTCTACAGCATAAATCCACCAATCATTTATATAAAGAAACCGAAATTGAAAATCAATTATCCAAGAGAAAAACATGGATATCTTACTCATTCCTGATTTGAAAACTTTATCTGGATACCGTTGTGATTGATCAATTTTATTTGATCAGTTTAATCAATTAATGTTGATGGGATGTTTCAAAAATAGGAAGAAGTCCAGACTGAAAAACCAGGACTTGAACCTCCAATCCATTACTGGAGTCCATTGTCATCCCCGCCCTTTATGATTTGATTTGATTAGATTTGATTTAGGGTTGATCAGCTGAAACAGCTGGGGCACAGTGTTGATAAGGTGGAGTTTATTGTGATGGGTGGAACCTTTATGGCGCTGCCAGACGATTATAAAGATTATTTTATCAGGTTCAAATATTTGATAAGTGTAATATTATAAACTTCAAGGTAATAAAAACCTAAAATGGAAATAATTTTAATTACTTTACCCTTTCAGAAGCCAAAAATTATGCGCAAAGAAATGCCACACAAAACTTCCTAAAATAAAGTTCTTTTTTTTTAAAGGAATGGGGTAGAATCGCAAAACTTTTAGAAATTCTGGAAGATTTAGAACAAAATTAATCTATTAACGTTCTATAGAAATTACAAAAATAAGTTTATAAAGGATTTATGTAAGGGATAACTTTAAGCATATAGGTCAAATTAAAAGAATTTTGCCTTGTTTTAGAAATCTTCATGATGCATTGTCCGGTCACTGCAGTAATAATGTGGACGAGGCAGTCAAATATAGTGAGAAGAGTCTTACGAAGTGTATTGGTGAGAAGCTGTCATGTTTATCCTTTTTTTTTAAATTTTTGTTCAAAAGTGGAATTTTTGATTTTCAACGGTTCCGCTTAAACCTTTGTCTGAGTAACAATATACTAAAACATGTTTAATTCTGAAGGTTTCCTTCATATTGTTTTGCAGCATGATTCTGCAAGTCAAGGTTCAAACTGTATCGTTGTGCAATGTTCATGCTTTATATATGGAAGGTCACTTAAAAGTACATCTGCATTGAAATTATTTAAAAAAATAATATTGGATATATTTTCGTTAAAATTTTAATTTAATTTTGTTTTAATCGAGGACACTATTTAGGAATAACAATTGAAACGAGACCAGACTACTGTCTTAAGAAACATCTTTCCCAGATGCTTAGTTACGGGTGCACGAGGTAGGGCTTGCATTAATGTACTAAGAAAAGAGACTGTTTGTGAATTTCAAGTGACCTACCATGCAAAAATGCTGATGTTTGATTCACAACGGTATCCTTGAAAGCTTTCTCAGATCAAGTATGTATTAGATATCAATGTTTATTTTCTTTATTTTACATTGGGGGTTCACTTTAAAAGTGACTTGCTCATTACTGCAGGAAAACATATTGGAATTATCAAAAATAAACACTTTCCACATTTTTTATCAAATTAAGGGCTTAAGGGTACCGTTGTGAATCGGACATTGCAATCTTTGCATGGTGGATCACTTGAAATTACCCTTGCAGTCTCTTTAAAAAAACTGTTGACATGAGATTAAGGGAACAAACACGTTTAAATAAACGTCAATCTATCAATCAATCTAGTCTTGTTCTAGGCTCGAGATTGGCGTTCAGTCCGTTTATGAGGACGTAGCGAGGGATACGAACCGAGGACATACAGTTCGAGCTGTCTGTGAATCCTTCCATCAGTCCAAGGATGCAGGATTCAAGGTCAATAAACTTTTGATTGATCAATCAAATCAATCCAATCAATCAGGAGTATTTATATTTTTTTAAAATTCTTTCATTGAAATATAATCTTTGTTGCTTACAAAATGTTGGGACTTTTTTAGCATCGACTGTCTATTATCATTATTTTTTGGGGAGCGGGGAGGAATTACAAAAAGAAGAATTAACTTGTCTGATTCTTTATTATTTTCCGTAACCTTCGTCGCCGGTTGATTATTGATAGATTTTCTAGAAACAGATTAAACTTTCAAAATCTGCCAATATAAAAATGTATATTTTAAACTCGACGCGAAGACGATATAAGTTAGCTGTTTTTGTGTTCTTAGTTTTTTATTTGTTAAAGGTTGTAACCCATATGATGCCTGATCTGCCTAATGTTGGCCTAGAGCGTGATATTGAACAATTTATGGAGTTCTTTGAGAACCCGGCCTTCAGACCTGATGGTCTCAAACTCTATCCTACTCTGGTTTCACTATTATATAACATCAATACATATATTAAAGTTTTTCTTTTTTAGCTCAAGACCCTTATTTTTATCATTGGAAATAATCTTTTAAAAGATGTTTTATAAACCTCGTAAAAGTGGAGACCTGGAGACTTAATTGGGTTATAAATATAATCAACCCATTCTTCGTCTGAAAAAGACGATATATAGTTTTTTAAGTTTAAATTATGCTTCCAAATTAAAATCATTGTTATACAAGCTAAAATCTTTACTTTTTAAATTAAAAACTTTCTTTCTTTTGAATTCTCAATAAGATAAAGAATTTTATATAAAACAGCTCATGATTAACATTTCTCATGGCTTGATAAGATTAAAAGAATATATAGGGTTATATAATTCAGAACATTGATTCTTTAGTATAAGGATAAATAATCAAGAATTTTAGAAACGTAGGAGAAAGTTCGAATTTTCATGTGTAGGTTCAGTTTCAACTTTCTCCGCTCCAACTTCTTCACATTCATCACAGGGATTCTCCAGGTTTTTCAGAAATCCTGAACATTGAAAGTTTATTAGAATTCTTCAAATTCCACACACATTGAAGTTTAATTGCTTTCGGTCTCAGTAGGGGATTATAGAAATTTAATTTACTGTTAATAATGTTTATTTACAACAAGGTTTGTATGAACTGTGGAAGACAGGGCGGTACAGAAGCTACCCAGCAGCTACCCTTGTAGATCTGGTCGCTAGGATACTAGCCCTGGTTCCCCCTTGGACAAGGGTTTACAGGTATACAGCTCCCTTGTAGATCTATAGCCCTTGTTCCCCCTTGGACAAGAGTTTACAGGTATTCAACTCTCTTGTAGATCAGTTGCTAGGATATTAACCCTTGTTCCCCTTCGACAATTTTTGTTTACAGGTATACAGTTCACTTGTAGATGTGGTTGCTAGAATGCCCAATAACCTTGTAAACCTTCTTTTATTTTTTTATTTTATTTTTAGTAATGAATTTCTCTGCTTGTTTGAATTGATTTGCAAAGATTGAAGTATTTTAAAATCAACAACGTTGGTGTAGTTAGCACCGATATCATTGCAACCAAAATGAGGAATGAAGTAAATCTTTTTAAAATTGTAGAATTTTTTTAATACTTGTTAGTGTACCGTTTAGAATTAATTACTCACTTGTCAGTCTAAGAGTTTAAAAATTATTAAGGCGTTAATTTGGGTGAATTTTATTTTTTACTTTTGAAGACGACATTTATTGACTTTCTAACTTTCTCTATATCAGGGTTCAGCGAGATATACCTATGCCCTTGGTAACTAGTGGGGTTGAGCACGGAAATCTGAGAGAGCTTGCTCTGGCCAGGATGAAGGATTTCGGAACAGAATGCAGGGATGTCAGAACCAGAGAGGTCGGGATACAGGAGATACATAACAAGGTCAGATTCATTTGTTTACTAGCTGAAGTACTCGGCGTTGCCCGTGGATTTTTGGAAATACTTGAAAAAAATTCTAATTAAAAAAATCGAGTTTTGAAGAAAAAAATCTAATTATTCTTGGCCTTATATTATATAGATTTAGTTATTATGACTGCCTGTTAAGACTAATGAAGGTGTTTCTCGACACACAAATCCATCTTATTTTGATAAGTAAATTTTGGATTAAAGGAACTGTTTAAGTAATTTTAAAAGACCCTTCTTGCAAAAATGGCCAAGCCCGAGTTAATTGTAGTACCCTTCAAAATTTAATCTGATCAAAAATGTGAAAGATGAAGTCCTTCGTATGACTTACAATGTTAATTTAAGGTTCGTCCGTATGAAATAGAATTGATCCGACGGGATTATGTTGCTAATGGAGGATGGGAAACCTTCTTAAGCTACGAGGATCCGGAACAGGATATCCTGGTCGGACTACTCAGGCTTAGGAAACTCTCAGAGGAGGTCTTCAGGTAATCTATGGTTGTCAATTATTTTATTAAAATATTGTTTTTCTCGCGATTTTGTTACGTTGTTTTCAATTTGATTTAGGGGCAGGGGTTTATATTTTCTTGGAAATTGCTACCACCCTTTTGAAAATCCGTTTGTCTTCCAGCTGTTACGTATGTTTGAGTGGAGCCATTTATTTAAGTTTTTTTTTCGTTGAATTTAGAAACAATAAAGTATTTTTTTGGGAAAATAAATTAAGTCTTAATAAGTATAATGTATTGAGAAATATGGAAAAAGGTTTTCAATTTATAATTTTATCCCCCAAGGCATCGATAATCAATAATCTTAAGCCCACGTTACTAGAGGGCAGGAGAGGAAAGTTCAAACCGTACATCCGGCAAAGGCCTGACGCTGAGTGTCAGTCGGACTGTGAAACATTCCTCCCCTAATTTTAAGCCTTTTGATATAACAACATTGGTGTTTAGGCCTGAGTTGAAGGGAGGAGTATCTATGGTTCGAGAACTTCATGTCTATGGCAGTGTTGTCCCAGTAGCTGCAAGGTAACTTTAATTTATGAAATTTATTTTGATAAAGTTTTAATATTTTGATGTATTTATAATTAATTTATACAACTTAATTGTTCAGATATGTGTAACAAAAAAACATAAACTTAAAAATGGTTGTTCAGAGATCCGAGTAAGTTCCAGCACCAAGGGTTCGGGACCCTGCTCATGGAGGAGGCGGAGAGGATCGCTAGGGAAGAACATGGATCAGGTAAATACTGATAATGAATCCTGTATCTTTGATAATTGATCCTTGATCCATAAATCTGGATCTGTCCTGTAAAATCTTACTCAGATCTATACATGGCCTGAAATCAAAATATGATTTTGGCCTGGTCTTGATTTCTCTGTTTTCTCTTTCTCACTTTTCTCGAGGTAAAATTTTCACTTGGATCAAAATTTCTGATTTCCTGATAAATCTCCCTCAATTAAAGTGTGCAAATCTTCCCCAGTTTTTCTCTGCATTTTTAAATCAAGAAAATTTTTAAACATTTTTTTGCAATGCTTTAAAAATGTCAAATGTCAAAAGAAAGTACTTCTGACATTTAACATCCTTTGCACCAATCCCTTTAAAAGGGATTTACATTCTTAAAAGTGAACAGTTTCTTTTCAGTAAATTTTTAATTTAGGAAAACTGTCTTATTTAGAAATAGTTCAATAGTCCCTTTTAACAATTTTAAGAAAACTATCTTATTTATAAATAGTTCAATAGTCCCTTTTAACAAATGTTTATTTTAAGAAAGCTGTCTTATTTATAAATAGTTCAATAGTCCCTTTTAACAAATGTTTATTTTAAGAAAACTGTCTTATTTATAAATATTTCAATAGTCCCTTTAAAGCAAATGTTTCTTTTAGGAAAACTTTCTTATTTATAAATAGTTCAATAGTCCCTTTAAAGGAAATGTTTCTTTTAGGAAAACTGTCTTATTTATAAATAGTTCACAATAGTCCATTTAAACAAATGTTTATTTTAAGAAAGCTGTCTTATTTATAATTTACTAGGCTGCGCCCATCATCTATTTAAATTGTGAACATGTTCTTTTTGTTTACATTATAAAACAAAGAAGAAAAAAATGTTGCGGATTTTGATAAAAAAAATTCGCGGATTTTCAAGAATTAAAATTTTTACAAAATTAAAAACCTTTAAAACACATTTTTTAAAATTTTTATCATTCATAAACCTTCCTTGTGGTCACGTGATGTCCCACAAAAAAATTGGGCCCGATCGGTTCAGCCGTTTTGACGTTTAATGGATACAAACAAACAAACAGACAGACAAGCCAAATATATAGATTGAACAGCCCCTTAAAGCAAATGTTTATCTGATAAGAACAAACAACATTCATCCTTGAGAGCCCATGTCACAGCTGTCGTATTTTTTAAAAGTTTAAGAAGTGTTTATTTAGGAAAGCTGTCTGTTATATCCGGTGTTGGTACGAGGAACTACTATCGGAAACTGGGATATGAACTGGACGGTCCTTATATGTCAAAAATGCTATAAATCTAAGAAATATGAAATAAATTTATTATTATTTTGAATTTTCAGAAAAATGTCGAAGCGGAATTTGGACGAGGATATGGAGGCCGAGGTTGAGGGTCTAGAGGATAGTGAAGAAGAAAAGGAAATGGGAAAAACAGATTTAGAAATTTAAACTGTTTTGGTTTGTTTCCGCTTCAACATTTCTGGAAATAGAACGAACAAATTTAGATTTATTAATATTATTTTTCTATTCCGGAGAGCGAAATAGTTTACAAAATAATTTTCATTAGTTTTTAAATTGGTAGACTAGATTTTTGCGCTTTTGTTCCACATTTACGACTTTCTTATCGACAATGATTTTATGAAGAACAGCTTGAAAATAATTTGGTTTGCACGTTTTTTATATCAACTTGGCGACTTTTTTAGTGTGAGCAAGACTTTTTTAAGTGGTTCATGTTTCACTGCGCAGAGTGCAGAAGAAGAAAATCTTGTCAACATTTTTTATAGTTCTTTCTACTTATCCAAGTTAAAGGGTCTATCAGCGTAATTTCAAGTAACCTGTCCTTTAAAGAGGGACAACCTTGATTCACATCGGTACCCTCAAAACCTTTGATCATTGAGAACTGAACGTGAACGACGTCATTTAGAAATTCGAAAGTGAATATTTGTTCTCTGCCACTTCTAGAAAGTAACTATTAATATTTTTTAAATACGAAACAGTATACCTGCATCTGGCGGCGGTCTGGGGGGGGGTCCACCTTGAGGCCGCTAACAGATTCCACTTCCTCATAAATCCTTACATGAACATAGTGGACATTAATTACAAGCGTTTTTGTAGATAAATAAGGAAAAGCTAAGCTGTCATCCCTGATCAGTCAGAGGTTAAAAGGAACCCTAGTAAATCGGGAACGTCCCGCCCTAAATGAAAGGTCACTTGCAATTTCGCTTACAGTCCCTGTAAGACCCCATGTAGAAAATCTTTATGTTGGAAATTTTCTCCTCGGTTTTAAAATTTGTTTCATGATTTCTAGAATTAAGATATTTTATGGGTTTGATTTTCATATGCGTTTATCGCTTATTTTTAAGTAAGGGGACAAAAAATAGTATTGTTTTCCCATTTGCAGAATTTTCGAGTTTTTTTATTTTTAAAATCTGTTGATAAAGGAAGAAGAAGAGAAAGAGGAAGACAGCGATAATGAGAATATGGAAGATGACGAAGAATTCGACCAGGAAACTCTGGAAAAGGTTGGAACAATTGTCAAGAAATCTACGTGCTATGTTCAGCATGCGAAAATCTCTCTTAAGTTCAATAGGTTTCTTTAAAACTGTTACTTTCTTCTAGCTTATAATTTATGCAGAGGTTCGTCTAGGATCAATTTGGTGCATATTTTACCCTACACACCTATTGGCCATTGCACCCAGATTTTTGAAATGAAAAATATAAAATTTAAAAATATGCCCCTCAGAATAAAAACATTTAGTGCATAAAATTTCTCAAATATTATCTTTATTATTTAATGCTATTATTTTATTATTTAATGCTATTATTTTATTATTTAATGCTATTATTTTATTATTTAGATCTCAAGACTTGAAGCTGAAATCCAAGAAAATCCATACAACTACAATCCACATACAGAACTTATATCTATACTCAGAAAGGAACCAGGATCATTCATTCTATTATCTTTCCTTATTATTTATCTCTTCGCACATCATATATATATATTTGTGTGCATATATATGTTAGCTATAGCTGGCCAAACGGCTGGACCGAACAGCCTGACATTTGTTGTGAGAACCCATGGGTGCCTGGGGAGTAACATGGTAAAAAAATAGACATTTCTGTTTAAAAATCGTTTTTTTCTTTAAAATTTTAATTTTTTTCCACAATCAACGCTGGGCACTTGTAAGTACTGTATAAATTCAAAAATTTTGGTCAGAACTTTTGTGATATTAATCAATGGATTAATCAGTAATCCAATTATGTTGTTGTCCAAGGATTGTCCTAAGATATCCTGTGTTCTGAATCCAGGAAAGATAAATAAAGTTCAGGAACCAAGCACTAATCCCTTAAATCTAAAGGTTCCCACCACAGATACTGAATCCAGGAAAGATAAATAAAGTTCAGGAACCAAGCACTAATCCCTTGAATCTAAAGGTTCCCACCACAGATATCAGCATCAAGCGTTTTAGACTAGGGCTTTCTTTAAATGTAAATATTTAAATGGATTCGATCAAACAATCGCCTAAACATCGACAATGGACTTTACTTTGATGGAATGAATTCTGTAGGGATCTGATTTCACGAGGTTGCGCGAATGCCGGGAACGATTTGCTAAGTTGTATCCTCTAAGTGCAGATCTTTGGATCGAATGGACACAGGTACATAGACGACAATTAACTATAGTGCACTATCATATCAATGGTTCTAACCCACTTAGATAAAGACAAATCTAAAAGCTATTCAACAAACTGGACAGCCACGACGCCTTGGCCTTTGATTTTACCTCACAAACTTTATTATACTTTATTGTAGCCCTAGACGAAGTTTTCGTTCGCTGGAAACCTTAGTTTCAAGTTCACAGGACTATTAAAAATCATAACAGTCGTCTTCATTTCCAACAGCTTTTTAAATTTTTTGTAAATTTTCAAAGTTTTGAACGTATGTTTCTGTAGGACGAGATGAAGATTGCTAGTACTGAGGAGGACAAGATGGCAGTTATTCAACTCTTTGAGAGAGGAGTCAAGGTCCAGTACATTGTTTGTTTCCCGTAATTAATTTTAAGGATTTTTACATTTGATTTTTGAAGAAATTTATAAAATATCTTATTACTGGCCTTAAAATATTCCTTATAGAGTTGCAACCTGACGGTGTAAACCTTAAAACATTTTAAACTTTGACTTCACAATCTAAAAGATTTGATATTTTGAAATATCTCATTTGGCTGGAATATTACCAGTTTCTATTTATTATATTCCAGGACTATTACTCTGTAGACCTCTGGTTGGAATACAGTTTTCTATTCCTTATATTTCAGGACTATTCCTCTGTAGACCTCTGGTTGGAATACAGTTTTCTATTCCTTATATTTCAGGACTATTCCTCTGTAGACCTCTGGTTGGAATACTGCCAGTTCTCTATTGGAGGAATTGGTACTCCAGATGGTATTGCTACTGCCAGATCTATTTATGAAAGGTAACATTTTTTTTACATTTTTCATGCTAAGTTGTAGCTAGTTTTATGTAAGCAAGGAAGATACACCAGGAACTCCACTCTATATTTTTACTTAAGTGTTTTCTGCAGTCTGGGGGGAATTTAAACAAGTTTTTTTACATTCCACCCAGAAGCTGCAGATAAACAAAGATCAAATCAAATCAAATTATCTAAATTGTTTATTAAATTTTCGCAGGAGGACTTGATAGCGCTGAGCTGTTTTCATATTGTCCTCCTTCATGTGCAAATATTTAACTCAGTAGTCAGTACACAATGAAAAGGGTGCGGTAGAGTAGAAATAGAAAAGAAAACGTGAATATTTCTGAAGTATTATTGAATTCCTTAACTTTGATGAAATGAAAAAATGAGTAAAATATATTGCACAGAACCCGGTTTTAAGTTGGTGAATTAAAGAGTATGGTAGGTTTGACTGCCCTTGCATTTGAATTGTAATTTCAAAGAAAAAATTCTTAATTTCTTAATTCCTATTTTTCAATTTATATTAACTTCAAGAACCCACTTTTTATTTTCAAGTTTACCTGAACCCTCTTGATTTAGGAGTCTAACAGCTTGTGGATTGCATGCTGGGAAGGGAGCCCTACTCTGGGAATCATTTAGGGAGCTGGAGTCAGCTCTTCTCGCACTTCAAGGTGGGAGAACATTTATTTGATTTTTCGACCTCTTTTGACCTTTCTGGACCACTTTTGACACGTGTATTCCTCTTTGACCGCTGTTGACCTCTTTGTGTGAACTCTTTCAAACTCTGTTGACGCCAAATGACTTGTGTTAATTCCTTTTGTCCCGTGTCAACCCCTATTGACCTTTATTATCTCTTGACCTCTTTAGATCTCTATAAACTCTTTTGATGAGTGGTGACCTTTTTTACCTTTCACTTTTGATTATTATTCTTTATAAAGCTCTTTTGATCTCTTTTAACGCCAATAGATCTATGTCACTCCCTTTTGACCCTGGTGTACTCCAATTGTTTACATTAATTTACCTCTGATGACGCTAATTGACCTCTAATAACACTAATAGACTTGTGATGACACTAATTGACCTTTGATAACACTAATTGACCTCTGCCAACACTATTTGACCTCTTATAACACTATTTTACCTCTGACGACGCTAATGGACCTCTAATAAAACTAATTGATCTTTGATAAAACTTATTGACCTCTGTTTACACAATTTGACCTCTGAGGACACTCATAAACCTCTTTAACCCTGTAGGTACTCCCAGTACTCCTGAGCAGATAAAGCAGCACACTGCCCAGAAGGAGAGGATCATCAACCTGTTCAAGAGACAACTCAGGGTTCCCCACCTTGGTATAGAGGATACGTTTAGAGAGTATATGGTTAGTTGCTAACACAACAAAAAATGATTTTCACGAAATATTGTTAAAATTAAACGTAAGTAAAAGTAAGTAAAAGTAGGTAATAGAAGATGGAAGTTGGCGTGATTTATTCAAAGTAAAATTCATGTTTATTACACTCTAATTCTAAGCGGTAGTATGATTTAAACGGATCATCGAATTCCGGAAAAGAATTTTCTCCAAAAGGAGAAATATTGGAGAAATATTTAAAAGTATGTAGAAACAAAAAATAGCTTAAATGTTCGTTCGCCCCGCCGTGTCTAAAAGAAGAAACAAATTTTTCGAAATGGCTTACTTAGCAATCAATTGTTTCCTCTCTTTGGTCTTAAAGGGATTGTAAGCGTAATTTCAAGTGGCCCTCATGAAAAAATGGCAATTCCCGATTTACAGCGGTACCCTTCAAACCTTATTTAACAAAAATCTGAAAGATACCGTCGTTTTCTGGAATTAAAAAGTGTTTAAAACGAAAAATTAATTCATAGCTTCTTTTAAACGAAAATTGCGCAAATCACTTTAGCAGTAAACCTCAAATGAGAATTAACAGTTTAAGAAAAGAAAAAATTGATATCTAATTTATGCTTGATAAGACAGAGCTTTTAAGGGTACCGTTGTAAATCTGACATTGCCATCTTTTCAAGGAGGTTCACTAAATTACTCTTAACACTTTCTTTCAGCATTGAAAGTTATCTTTTCTTTGGTCTATTTGTTTTTATTTAATTTATGTTGTAGGATGTTGCTGGTACAGATTCAGATGCTAATGTACTCCGAGACTATGAGAAGGCTAAGGAGAAACTTAAACTTCGTGAAGATTTTGAGATCAGGGTATCGGAGAAGGTGACATTCAACATTTTTAATAACTTGTAATTTCTCTTAAGATGTGGCATGATCCCCCCCCCCCTGCCTTTTTCCTGAATAAGAGCAACCTTCTCTGACTTGAACCTCTATACGGTCGAACTTTGTAAGTGGAAAAATTAGCTGAAGCTTAATGAAGGGTGTTTTACTTATTTATCGTTTTTGAGAAACTTAGTTTCTCTTTCTTGAAATATTTCTTATCTTTTCTAATTATTTTTTTTGTGACAGGAAACTTCCCTGGATGCATATAAAGAGTATATTCAGTTTGAACTTAAGGAGAAGGATCCTGTCAGAATCCAGGTAGGGATTTAGATTGCTTAGGAGATATGTTTAATCTTCAATATAATATAGGAGAAGGAGAAGGATCCTGTCAGAATCCAGGTAGGGATTTAGATTGTTTAGGAGAGATGTTTAATCTTCAATTTAATATAGGAGAAGGAGAAGGATCCTGTCAGCAGAATCCAGGTAGGGGGTTAGATTGCTTAGGAGAGATGTTTAATCTTCAATATAATAAAGGAGAAGGAGAAGGATCCTGTCAGAATCCAGGTAGGGATTTAGATTGTTTAGGAGAGATGTTTAATCTTCAATATAATATAGGAGGAGAAGGATCCTGTCAGAATCCAGGTAGGTATTTAGATTGTTTAGGAGAGATGTTTAATCTTCAATATAATATAGGAGATGGATCCTGTCAGAATCCAGGTAGGGATTTAGATTGTTGAGGAGAGATGTTTAATCTTCAATATAATAAAGGAGGAGGATCCTGTCAGAATCCAGGTAGGGATTTAGATTGTTTAGGAGATATGTTTAATCTTCAATATAATATAGGAGCAGGATCCTGTCAGAATCCAGGTAGGGATTTAGATTGCTTAGGAGAGATGTTTAATCTTCAATGTAATGAAGGAGGAGGATCCTGTCAGAATCCAGGTAGGGATTTAGATTGCTTAGGAGAGATGTTTAATCTTCAATAATGAAGCTCTTCGCTAATTAATATGTTCGCTATAGCTGGCCAAACGGCTGGACCAATTTGGCTGGAATTTAGATTTTTTATTCCATGGGTGACTTCGGGCATATACTTACGATAAGGATAATGATAATGATAATGATAATGATAATGATACAATAATAAAATGATAGAATGATAAAATGATAAAATGATAAAATTATAAAATGATAAAATGATAATATTTAGTTAGTGTATGAGAGGTGTATCACTGATCACTGCCTTGAATCTGATATTTGGTCTGAATATCTCAATTACCTTGATACAACTCTAGGAATTGATTCAGGTAAGTTTATTTCATATTTTTAACAATATTTCTATTTTACGAACTTCGTTTAAAAGATATTTAAAATACATAGGAATTTTCCCTTTTCTGTTCTTCTTTCCTGTTAAACTTGAATTAACGCTTACTTCTTTAGTCTGAAGTTTAGTTGATTTGATTTGATTTGATTTGATTTGATTTGATTTGATTTGATTTGATTTGATTTGCTTTGATTTGATTTGATTTGATTTGATTTGATTTGATTTGAATTGAATTGTTCCTAGTATCTCTGCCAGTGTATGAGAGAGCAGTACGGAACTGTCCCTGGGAGAAGAATATTTGGGCAGACTATATCAGAGCTCTAGGTAGGTTTCTTTTTACTAGATTATACAGTGGTAGGCGATTATATCAATACAAGGAAGACAGCTTTTTTATTTAAGTCTTGATTGTTAACCAGGTTTTTTTAGAATCACAATAAATAGTCAAAGAGAAGCTTTTTTAATTGTCAGCTTCTTTTGACTTCTATGTTTATGTGTTTCTATGCTGTTTAACAGCTTAATAGTTAATAAATGAAAATTTAAATCAGAGCTCTAGGTAGGTTAATACCAGAACTATTTACTAGGACTGACAAAAACGTCATTAAAAATTAATAAGCACTTATATTAACTTAATACTGTTTTTGTCTTTTAAAGATAAACATTTCATCTCTTTTTATGTAACTAAATGTCTTTTGTTATTACAAAAATGCTTTTGGTTATAGCTAAAATGTTTTCTGGTATTATAAAAATGTCTTTTGTTTATTGATTTCTACGGAATGATGGTTGATTTTACGTTCGTTTACAGGTATACTAATTAAAAATACTGTTTTTTTCTAGAGAGGTATGAAAAAGATCACAGTGCTGTCCTGAAAACATTCGAGGAAAGCTTATTGGTTGGGTTTACAGACCCAACAGCTTATCTAGAGGTAATTACATACAAATATAGACTATACGCAGAGTTTAATGTAATTTTTTAGTTTTTGTTAGTATATCAGACTATACGCACAGGCACACTGAGTTTAATGTTATTGTGTTGGTTAGGTTGGTATATCTAGACTATACGCGGAGACAAACTGAGTTTAATGTTATTGTTTAAGTTTGGTTAGCATATCTAGACTATACGCAGAGTTCAATGTAATTTTTTAGTTTTTGTTAGTATACTAGACTATACCCGGAGACGAACTGAGTTTTATGTTTTGTTGTGTAGGTTTCGTTGGCATATTTAGACTATACACGGAGTTAAATGTCGGTTTTTAGGTTTTGTTAGTATATCTAAACTATACGCAGAGACACACTGAGTTTAATGTTGTTGTGTTGGTTTTGTTGGCATATCTAGACTATACGCGGAGACAAACTGAGTTTAATGTTGTTGTGTTGGTTTTGTTGGCATATCTAGACTATACGCGGAGTTTAATGTCAGTTTTTTAGGTTTTGTTAGTATATCTAAACTATACGCAGAGCAAGTGTTCAATGTTATTGTGTAGGTTTTGTTGGCATATATAGACTATACGCAGGAGTTTAATGTCAGTTTTTTAGGTTTTGTTAGTATATCTAAACTATACGCAGAGCAAGTGTTCAATGTTATTGTGTAGGTTTTGTTGGCATATATAGACTATACGCAGAGTTTAATGTCAGTTTTTTAGGTTTTGTTAGTATATCTAAACTATACGCAGAGCAAGTGTTCCATGTTATTGTGTAGGTTTGTTTAGCATATCTAGACTATACGCGGAGTTTAATGTCAGTTTTTTAGGTTTTGTTAGTATATCTAGACTATACGCAGAGCAAGTGTTCAATGTTAATGTTTCGGTTTGGTTAGCATGTATAGACTATACGCGGAGAAAAACCGAGTTTAATATTATTGTGAAGGTTTGGTTAGCATATCTAGACTATACGCGGAGACGAACTGAGTTTGAAAAAGAGGAAACTGAATCCATGCAGGAGCTTAGAATAGTGTTTAATAGGGCTTGTGAACACCTGGAAAGGTCAGTTGAGTTCTTATATTTACTATTTATCTTTACATAAATCTATTTTACTAGAGAAACAAATATTTTTTTAGTTACAAATTTAATTGAGATGTTGTACAAACCCAGACCGAAATATATTTTCAATAAATGTGGAACTAACATCTACTTTTTTACTCTACAGAGGTTTGTTCCATCACCATCACCGAATTTTAAATTGTGGATTGTGGAAATATCGTATACTGGGTTAGGAGATTTCAATTCTGAATTTTCCCTCAACTGAGAACACCATTTTCATCCCAAAAATTATATTTCTTTTTTCAATCTGAATAATTGAAAAACTTTCCAGGAATGTATTTTTTCTCAAAATAAAATTTCTTGGAATTCGCCCCCTCCAGTCCCCACCCCCATTAAAAAAAAAATTCCATTAGGTTAGGAATATTTTTGGCTAAAAGTTCAAGTATCAAATTTTTTTTATTCTTTGCTGCAAATCTTCCAAAGACCATAATTTCTATGAGTTTGGGGTTTCTCTAGGATGGGAGGGGATCCTGAGTGTGAGGTGTTAAAGTACTACGCTAACCTGGAGGCAGATCAGTTCAGAAATATGGAGAATGCCAGGAAACTCTGGACAGATATTCTTCAGGTTCATCAGTTCAAGGTACTTACTTTTGTTTACCAGTCCACTATGTGTTTTAAAGGGACTGAACCTTAATTTTAAGTGACAATAATGGCAATAACAACCACCATTTGTCTTAGTACATGGGACGCTAGTTTCAACTCGTACTTATGTTCTAAACCTGACACGTGATGTCAGGTTTGAGCTAAATCATGGTTTAGATGGTTTTTTCCTGCAATCTAAAATCCAGATTAACATTTAACATAAAGGCAGTGGTTCAAAAATTTGGAATTTAACCTCGTCCATGTATATAAGGGTATAAAAAATATTTGGGTGCGGTATTAATTCCCGTTCCTACAGGTATTCTGAGCTTCAGTGTGAAAGAGAAAAATAAATCTGTCCAATAAATCAGCAAGATGTCTAAATTTAACCCAATAAAATCAGTCTAAATGGGCGCAGCATGTACCTCCCTTCTAAACAACTTACAGAAGAATTGAATACAGTTTATGGATCTGCATGACTAGGCCTACATAATCGCATACAAGGTTGTAAACACCAAGAGCTCAGGAAGGGTCATGAAAAGCATTCAATCCTAGTATACTAAATTCAGACTCGCTTTAGTATATAACTCCAATGAAAAAATAGAAACAAGCTGAAAAGGGAATAGTTTGTGAATATACTACACATGACACTTTCTTTAAAATGTGTGTGTTTTTAACCCCTTATTTTTTTTGTTTTCAGGGGAGTGTGTGGATGGAGTGTATTCAGTTTGAGAAGATATTTGGAGATAAGAAGCATTTAAGGAAACGATATGAGAGAGCGCTAGAGAAAACTCATGATACTCCAGAAATAGTTGCAAAGTAAGCATTTTCGATAGTTATAATCCAGGGGTGTTTATGTTCTCGAAGAAATGTTTTCTTCTACACCTACTTTTTTTTGGAAAATTTAAAATTTCTTTTAACAGATACGGTCAATTTTGCTTACACAACACATCCCTCGCTATGCTACTGTTTAGAGTAAATGTTGACAATTTAAACTGTTTTAGGTCCTGGCTACAGTTTGAACGTGAGGAGGGAAGTCTAGATGCATTTGAACAGTGTCGTAAACTTATCAAGATCAAGATGGAGAAGATATCTGCTGTTAGAGACAAGGAAAACAGATCTAAGCAGGAGGAAGATTATCAACTAAACGCCAAGATTGAAAAGAAGAAGGTAAATACGTTTTGAAAGGGATTGTTTACATTAAATGAAAAGAGGGAAAGGAAGTAGGATAAGCGGAGATTGATTTTTGATTTGATTTCCATGGGAAACCGGTTTTAGCCTAATGGAGTTGACAAGCAGGTGTTGTGAATCGCACATGCTACTTGATAATTGGGGGGTCTTTTGAAATTACGTCTACAGTTCCTTTAATCTCTGTTTTAAAATGATATATTTAAAGGAAAAGGATAAACAGCACAGGAGGGATAAACGGCATCAAGCATCATCTGCGAGGAAGACGACAGACCAATCAGAATCTCAGCCTACTCAAGGATTCAAGATGCCCGCCTCTCCCGCCTCCGCCTCCAAAACAGTATCAGCACCGCCTGGCTTTGTACCGCCTAAGTCAGTTGCCCCGCCCCCTGGATATAAAGGGGTGGAGCCCCCACCAGGGTTTAAACCTAGTGAAGGAAACCAATCAATAATCAAAATTAGAGATTTTTTCTAAAATTCGTTTTCTTGACCTTGTAGATTTTAATCCATACTGAAAATGTGTAAAAATGTATTTTTATTGATAGATACTTTTAAATGATATTTATTGATCTTAGAGTTTCCTAATTGTTTTTGTGTTATCTTAATTGATCTTGGTCGATCTTGGACGATCTTGGTCGATCTTGATTGATCTAGATTGGTCTCGATTGATCTTGGTCGATCTTGGTCGATCTTGATTGATCTTGATTGATCTTGATTGATCTTGATTGATCTTGATTATTGATATTGATTGATCTTGATTTAGTTTGAGTGATCTTGATTGATCTATATATAGTTTGATTTAGTTTGTTTGATCTTGATTGATCTTGATTGGTCTTGATTGATCTTGATTGATCTTGATTGATCTTGATTGATCTTGATTGATCTTGATTGATCTTGATTTATCTTGATTGATCTTGATTGATCTATATATAGTTTGATTTAGTTTGATTGATCTTGATTGATCTTGATTGATCTTGATTGATCTTGATTAATCTTGATTGGTCTTGATTGATTTTGCTAAATAACGATAGATCTTGATGAGTGTTTTATTTTTATTGATCTTTATTGCTTTATTTTATAATGATCTTAAATTGATCTTGATTGATCTGGATAAATCTGGATTGAACTTGATAAATCTGGATTGATCTGGATAAATCTGGATTGATCTGGATTTATTTAGATTGATCTGGATTGATCTTGATTGATCTTTGATTTCTTACAATGATTTTTAATTGATCTTGATTGATCATGAAGTTCAGGTTCTGAGCCTCCTGCTAAGAAAGCTCGAGTAGAGGATACTGATGAGGCTAAACAGCTTCGAACCGTATTCTTGAGCAACCTCGATTTTGAGGTTACAGAAAACCAGATAGCGGAGATACTAGGTAACAGTACAGTGGGAACCAGAAAAAAATGAAGTTCTCGTCTTTTTTTTCATTACATCAATTGCAAATCACTAATTAACTCAATTCGTAAAAAGCAAGAACTAAGACTGTTGATCTACGAAGCTTAGAAATTCGCCTGATCGAGGAATGTCGGCCACGCCCCTATTCTCCACACCTTTGCAACTTCCGGCTCTAATCTGGGATCTCATGCAATTTTATCTGTAATAGATAATACTTAGATCACTTTCCTACTGAGGCAGGACTTGCACAGATTGAAAATCCAGTCAATATCCTTCATTAGTTTCTCATAGGGATGAAATATGATTTTAAATATATCTCAAATAAAAAGATGTTCACAATATCTTACAAAGTATTATAGGATCTTTTCCTGGTGGTTCTGTAACTGTTGGCTTATAAAGTTATAACTTAATAATTGAACTTGAGTCCCATTGCATAAAACTATCTGAAAAGGTAAAACCGCCAGCAGGATTCAGCAGTATCACAAACGTGGTGGCTTGGTTTCCTCTCAATGCAGTTCCATAGTCCGTAACAAAGAATACTTGACAATGAGCATTGAGGAATCTTAGCTCCACAAAGACGACATTCAATTAGAAATTATAAAACAGTTTATTTATAAAAGTTATTTTAAATTTATTAGGTTCTTCAGGATCTGTTCGAGAGGTTCGACTTGTTAAACATCCAAATGGAAAGTCTAGAGGTGATTTTTTATGTTTTTATTTAAGAATAAATATATTTTTCTTCTTTTGATATCCTATTTTTTCATAACAAAAGGAAATATCCTTGTGCATCCTTGAGTAAAATTTTCAGAATTTATGCTTGAAAATTTTTTTTTCTTCATACAAGAAAGTTTGCGAGGAGCAAGGATTTTTAAGGACACTTTATAAAATTAATTAACAGCTTTTGGCTGAAATACTTGATTTCAGCTAATGGATTATTTGATTTTTAAGAACTAAACGGTTTGGGGTGAAATGGATGAATTTGATAAAATTAAAATAAGAGCTTAAAATAGTTTTTAAGTTTTAGCCTTGCATATTTTATTCCTATGTACATTCAAATCTTTTTTCTATAGTGAGACCTATAAAACTGTGAAATAGGAAGACGACTATTAGACTCGAGTTATGATTTTAGATAATCAAATGAATATAAAACACAGCAATTGTTTATACACTATACAGTACTTACCCATTTCACTTCATAAGTTGATTTTTAAGGTGCTGGTTTATTTCAAGAGGAAATACACTGACACGTAATATTGCTTCAATGTCGCTTCACAGTTTAACGGCTCTCACTGTAATATTCTACTCGCCTAGGATTTGCATTTGTTGAATTTGAGACTCCTGAAGAAGCTGAAGGAACTTTGAAGAGGGACAACGAACTTATCAATGGAAGGTTAGTTCAGAAAACTGAAATACTTTATCGCCATGTTTATTTTCAAGCTAGATGTATAAAAGTTCTAATCAGTTAACTAATAATATCAGAAATAACTTTGTAAAACGTTATACTGGACTGGTACCGAGAAGGACCAGTTCAGGCAACTGTAAGTGTGCAGTGGGGTCGTGACTTCATTGGTCCAGCTCACGACACGGTGGTGTTTCACACTAGACTTGTGTCATTAATCAATAATTTCCGTCCTTAAGCGTTTATTTTTGAAGGGTCGGATTAATGGTTAACCTTGTAGTTATTTATTTTTAAATAAAAAATGCGAAATTTTAAATTGAAATTTGTTTGTTTGTTTTTGTTTAGGCCAATATATATCTCGCAGTGTGACCCTAGTAAGAAGAAGGCCCCAGTATTCAAGTACACCACAGGACTAGAGAAGAATAAACTTTTCGTTAAAGGAAACACACTAATTCTTAACTTATTATGTTTCTTTAAAAGGCTTAACACTGAGTTAATTCATTAACACTGAGTTATTCCATTAAAACAAAATCATTCTATTAACAATGAGTTAATTCATTAACACAGAGTTAAATCATGAAGAATGAGTTAACCCACTAACACCGAGTAAATCCATAAACAATGAGTTAAATCCATAAACAATAAGCTAATGCATAAACACTGAGTTAATCCATAAACTCTGAGTTAAACAATTAAAAATGAGGTAATCCATTAACACAAGGTTAATATATTAACATTGAGCTAATCTTTAAATCCATTAGTACTAATTTAACTCGAATATTAGTGTTCGTGTTTGGTTAGGATTGGATCAGTCTATCACAAAGGAGGAGTTAAGTAAACTATTTGCTGAGTACGGTGAACTCCAGGATGTCAGGCTTGTCACATACCGAAATGGACACTCAAAAGGTAAAAAAGTGGTAAAATCAGAAATATAAAGTTTATTTTTAAATCCCCATCTGACTTGAAGTACAGTTTTTATCTATCCTTAATTTAAAAAAAATGAACAGTAGAGGTAACTTCTAGTGAATCTAAATTTTAAGATTGGCACGAAAGATTCACAACGGTACCCTCTGAGAAAAATTGTGAAACTCCATTTTTTATCTTAAAAAGTGCATTCTGACAATTTTCTTCATCGTCTCTGCAAGCAGAGTAAATCCGCAAACTAGTTATACAGAGAATCCCCAATTGTAAGTGATTAATTTTCAACTAAAAAACAGGAAAATCTTCTTAGTTTAGATAAAAATACCTTTGTAAAGCGAAAATGTCTCTGTTTAAGCGGATGGTCACGTGAAACTATGTTTTTACTCAATTAAATTATTGCCTTTTTTCACGTTTCTAATTTATCCGCAAGTCTTAAGATGTTAAATCTGTACAAATTACATAAATTACAAAGTTTGCTATTGCAAGTTCTGGAAAAATAAGATTTTCTTATTTAGGTTTAGCATTTGTCGAGTACAAGGATGAAGTGAACGCCGCCAAAGCTCTTGTTAAAACTGACGGGATGAAGGTAACCTAATGTAATCTTTACGGAAGTTAGAGATGGGCGCGTGCACCTTTTTTCATTTCGCACGTTCATGTCCATCAACGAAACATTTAGTTTTTATTCAATCGTTCAAAAAAATTATTTCGTTCATCCTCAAAATTGTTCATTTATTTCATTCGTTTTCTCACTGAACGATTGTTCAGTAAATTGTTCCCTAAGTAAAATCTATCTTGTAATAAAAATATCGTTTTTTTAAGTTTGTAAAAAAAATCATTAGTTCAGTACAAAAATTTGGGTTTTAAAAAGTTTGTTAAAAAATCGATCGGGTTTTCAAAACTGTTCGAAAAAATCGGCGTTCCTTTATTAAAAAACGATCGGTTTTTTATTTCCAAGTCGTTCTTCTATCGTTTTTTCTGAACCTCAACATTGTTCACAAAAAATTTCGTTCGTTCACAAAAACGATGCTCATCTCTAGCCGTGGTCGGAACTTACGTAATTCTGAAAAAAATATGAATCTTAGCCCTTAAAACGAACTCTCTTTTAGACCTAGTGATGTACATAAAGTTGGTTCGTTTTTGAGGGTTTTTGCAATTTTTAAAGGTTCCGCAAAAATCTGAGAAGTAAAACAAATTTCAAACCTTTTTAATGTTTATTCTTAACGTTTGCTTTTCTTACACTATGTCAAATTTTGAGCCTGTGAGATACAATATGCAAAAAACGAACTAAACGACGAAAAACAAACGAATCTAAACGGTCATCTTATGGTTCGTTTTTCCTTTTTTACCCCGAGGATAAATATTTTGCATATTTTTATAAGAGAAAACTTTAACAGAAAGCAATTATAAAATGTTGGAAGTTTGATAAAAAGTTTTAAAAACGAACCAAAACGATAAAGAAGCATAATTGGTCATCAAGGTACAACTTAAATGTTTTTGTTTAGGTGAAAGATAAAGAGATCCAAGTAGCACTTAGTAATCCACCAAAACGGAAGGAAGAAGGAGAACCAGTACAATCCCAGGTTAATCCAGATCTAAACCCTTAAATCTGGGAAATAGGAAGACGACCGTTAGATTTAAGTTATGAAATAGTCCAATGTGCAATAAAAATCAGCAGTTTATTCAGACCCAGTTTACTTGATTTTGATTGATTTTTAAACTACTAATAAGTATGATATTACGATCAAATCAAATCAACTAATTTTGTGCAAGGATTGCTTAAGGCATCCTTCTACGATTACCTATAATTCAATTCCAAGAGATTTATCTTTGGGCAGTCTGCCCGGGTTAAGTCTCCCTAGCACGGCAAAGTAAACCACTTTGTACCCATAGACACACATCAGTGGCGAGGAGCGTCTACCCCTATTTCATTGAGTAATGTGTTATCTGCTGATAATAATTAAAAAAATAAAACTGTTTGTTTTTTAACAACATCAAATATTAAAGATGTCACTTAAATGTCGTTAATTCCATTGTTGTATTAACACTTACAGATGAAAGCCAAACAACATTTGTATTATCTACTTTAGGCTAATGTTCGGTCTCTGGGTGGAACTACACAAAAAGATGGATTTGGTCCAAGAGGCAAGGGAAGAAGTCAGGTTGGATTATTTGTTATTTTTCTTAAGATTTTCATATTATACTAGGTTGGGAACCAAGCTTTGCTTGAAAACTAAAATTGCCCCTTTAACGTCAAATTCTGCTTTTCCGACCGAGCTAAGAACATTCCCATGGTTCTACTGACTTCCCAAATCAAAATGTCGGGCAAATCTGTCAAGGGGTTCAAGAGTTATTAACAGACAAACAGAGATTTGTATTGAATATTTTCCACTAAGAAATTTTAGAATGCAACTTAGCATAGCCATTAATCCCTACATTTTTTTGGTTTATTTTTTCAACGAAAGATTTTTTTAAATTTTGTATTCTTTAAAAGAACAGAACAAATCAAAAACAAGAGTATTTGTATCTCAGGTTGATTTTGTACCCCGGAGTATATCCGTCCCTGCTAAACCTGATCCTAAACTCCTCGCCATGAAGTTCGTCCGGCCGGCGGGATCCAAGGATCAGGAGAACGGAAACGGAACCGGAACTGGAGACGGAACCGGAAATGGAACCAGTGAGAGCAGTGCAGCAGCAGAACCAAAATCCAACAAGGATTTTAGGCAGATGCTCCTCGGCTCAAAGTAAATTGTTTTATTTCAGAAAAAATGTATTTTTAATAATGGTGAAACTAGAAGTGTGTGATCAGAAGGGGGTGGAGATTAAAGTGGAGAAAGAAGATCTTGAAGATTCTTTTTATCTTCAAAATGGATCAAATTTCTCAATGGATAATTCAACCGGTATTAAGCTGAACTTTCTTTAACTTTACGTTATCAAAAGGATGGATATTGATGGGTTTAATTCTGGTTCCTTTTTCATTAGGTAGCAAAAATGGAAACATAACCTTTTTGATTTAATTGCTACTGTATTTATTTGTATATTTTACAAAACTTTTTTTACAAAATTTTTTCACCCATTTGAGAGGAAGATTGTGATAAAAATAAATTAGCAATTTCAGTTTATTTATTCATTTGGTAAATAAGCGTTGAAGTTTAAAGCTGATATAACCAAATAATTCAAAAATGTCATCCTTTTAGTTTTGAGTTTGGTTTGATCAATGATTTATGTCCATGATTATGAGGCTACTTATTTTTTCTTTTTAAAATTTTTTCCCCAGAAATCCAGAAGTCAATAGTCCCTTTAAGAATATTGTTTCAGAGGCTGGACCTGTTGCTGAAGAACTGCTAGTGTTTGATGATACTATTGAGGTTCCAGGAGACATATTTACAGATTTAGATCTCTTCAAGAACATGTTTAACATGGACACATGGAATACTGGACTTACAGAACTAACTAAACAGAAACTGATGGTAGGCAATTAATGGATTTTAGTTTCGTTCCCTACTCCCCTTAAATTTTTTTAAAAAATACCAATAATTTTTGTAAAATAAAATGGTACGAGGCATAGTTAATAATTTCAAATGTTTATCAATAATCTTTTTTCTCCTTTCTCCATCTGAACGTCCGCAGTTTCTTTTTTCTTGCCTCCCTTTGCCCGTCCAGTTATGGCGCTGCTTCTGAAAGTATGTTTGCGAGTCGCTGTCTTTGCGCCATTATAAGGAAGTGCAGGATCACCCTTTCATTGTATAGATGTACCCCTCTCCGTTTTTTAGTTTTGCTTATTTGTAATTTCAGCCTCAGTGCCGAACAATCTGTCTACTTGCAGTGGCTAGGTCACCACTTCTAGAACTTCAAGTTAGTTTCTTTTTGAAGCGAGGGAGCAATAGCTTTCCTGCTATGCACCGCACATTTTTACTTTCCTTTACAAGAAGGGTTGCTCTTCAACGAAGGATTATCATGTGACCCTCTCAGAGGGCGTTTGTTGTAGGATCCAACAGAGAAATGTCCTCGAGTCTCATTTCGTTGCTTGTGAGAAGGTTAGATGGTAGGGAGAGGAGAGTTGGAGATGATTATAAGGGTTTGTAGGAGTGGCGTATTAGGAATGTTTCGTTAAAATCACTCCATTTGTCCTCATGTTATACTGTTTACCGGTCCAGCGGAACTCCTTAGGAAGTATCGCATTTAGTGTGCACCGCTGCATGCACTATGCGGAGTTGTCCCTTTTATCTGCTCTGCTCTGATAGCTGGGAAAGAGCCCTTCCAGAAATTGGAGTGGATATAAAATAGGATTAGTATTAGACACAGTTTCTATTTGTTATTCCTACTTCTTGGCTTAGTACCCCGGCCGTGGGTGCTGTAGTTTAGAAGGAGGCCAGCTAATTGAGCATGAAGTTCAGAGCCCCTTGGCCTCCATATGTGCAGACACATTTTTTAGCGTGTAGGAATGCATCTGATTATCAAACAAATAATTTGCACAGTTTTTTCGATTATTTCAAAGAGATTTTTTACTTTTGACAATCCACACAAAATTTGGGCCCGAGCGGTTCAGCTGTTTTGACTTTTATTAGATACAAACGGACAGACAAGCAAAGTTAAATATAACTCATTGACATGATTTAATGGATTTTTTTAAATATCAAGAAACACGAAGGTAAAATTAACGAAGGTTCTTTTAACAGGCTCTGCTTCCAAACTTCCCCAAGAATGATCTATCTGAGAAGATGAGAACTTTAGAAATGTTGTTTGGTGGTCAGAACATTGCATTTGGAAACCCTCTTTACAGTTTCAGGTCAGAACATTGCATTTGGAATCCCTCTGCATAGTTTTAGGTCAGAACACTGTGTTTGGAAACCCTCTTCACAGTTTCAGGTCAGAACATTACATCTGGAAACCATCTTCTCATTTCCAGGTCAGAACATTGCATTTAGAAAGCCTCTGCACAGTTACAGATCAGAACATTGTGTTTGGAAACCCTCTTCACAGTTTATATCTTCAGGTCAGAACATTGTATTTGGAAACCCTCTTCACAGTTTCCGGTCAGAACATTGCATTTAAAAACCCTCTTCACATTTCTTGGTCAGAACATTGCTTTTGGAAACCCTCTGCATATCTTCAGAAATTCAGGTCAGAACATTGTATTTGGAAACCCTCTTCACATTTCTTGGTCAGAACATTTGGAAACTCTCTGCATATCTTCAGGTCAGAACATTGTATTTGGAAACCCTCTTCACAGTTTCCGGTCAGAACATTGCATTTGGAAACCCTCTGCGCAGTTTCAGGTCAGATCATTGTATTTGGAAACCCTCTCCATAGTTTCAGGTCAGAACAAGGCATGTGGAAACCCTCTGCACAGTTTTAGGTCAGAACAATGTATTTGGTAACCCTCTTCACAGTTTCAGGTTAGAACATTGTATTAGGAAACCATCTGCATAGTTCAGTGCAGAACATTGCATTTGGAAACCCTCTGTACGGATTCAAATACAGTGACACCCATAAATCTGTCGAATAGGATAACGATATTTGAGCTGTCTTAAGTCTATTAAATCTTGATTTAATAGTGTACCAGTTAATTTTATCTATTTTCTTTGAGTTTAAACTAAAACTTTTACATACCATATTAACCCATATTGAGGATGACTCTTAGCAATCCCTGTAAAGTATGATTTGATTTGACTGTGAGCGTAGATTTAACGGTTCAAAACGATACTCTTGAAACCTTTATCTGATCAATGATAAGATAAGATAATCAACAAGGAATGCTTGCATTTATCTGTCAACGCTGTATTAACCTGGAGAACAGAGGTTTTTTACCTCTCTGGGTCTAGGCTTGCTATGGAAAAGCTCGACTTGCACTCCTTTGAAACAGGTCTGGTTAGCCAGTTTTTACTAAAACCTACAACCCATGGGAAACATGTAAATATCCATCAACCACGACCCTTCCTAATTTGGAGAATCATCAAAGTATCATTTACATGTTCTGCCCTAGATGTTCTTACACATCAGTCAGGGGCGTAAATAAGGATTCTGTAGGGGGGGTAAAATTTTTCAAGTCGGCATTTCTGGCATTTACAAACTCCATCAAATAAAGGCTTCATTTCAGCTTTTACCTTGTTGTATATCCTTCATTATAGTCATTCATTTTACATTAACTACAAAGATCTGTAAAAAAAAGTTAGATAAAAGATAATAGTTTTACTCAAAGAGGAACAGGATGTTACTTTTTTAAATCTTTAGAAAAGCTACTCTGCAAAACTTTGAAAAAATATTGTCTTTGTTTACATTCTTATCTAATTTCTAAAATTTTCTTGTCAATATAGTATGTTAAGATCTTAAATAAATCTAATATGGAAATGATATTATTAAGAAGTAAAATTGTATTTTTCATTGTCCATACCTTTTTTTCAATTAAAAAAAAAATCTAATTGTAATAACCTTGACTATTAGTTTAGAATTTAGAATCATTTGGAATATTTTGACTTAAAATCTGAAGTATCTGGACATTTTCGTGAAAATTTAAAAGATATTCAATTTTAAAATCAAGTTTTTAAATTCTAGGGGGAGGGTATTTACGCCACTGGGGTCACTTGAAATCACGCTTGACAGTCCCTTTAAAGATGGAAGGGGTTCATACATCTTCGCCCTTATCTTTATTTTAATTCTTGAACAATACTAGGACTGAAGTTCTGAAAGGAAACCTGCATCCTGAAAGGAAAAGAATGCGCCAGTATGTTGGGTAAGTAGCAAGTAACGTCCATTCGTCTAGATAGCAACCCTATTGTTATAAGCTTTTTTTTTTTAATTTTTAATTTTTTTAAAATTTATAAAATGATCTTAAAAATAAGGTTTATTTTTATTTATTTCTATAAAGAAGGAGTTTGAAAAATATGAAAAAATGGTTTTAATGTTATACCTAAACGTATATGTTTGTAAAGCGATGAGTCCAAGTTCACTATAAGAAATGTTTTGTGTTCAATAAATCAATCTCACTTAAAAAAATTTGTTTCTATGTAAAATTAAATAAACATCGGACTAAACACCCAGAATTAGCAAACGAATGGAAGGATGCCTCAAGCGATCGCAGTAAAGTATGATTTGATAAATACTGTTCAGAATTTAACGCACGAACTGCTCACTGCCACGCGCATTCACGTCTCGTAGAGCCAACAAATTAAAAGAGACCATTGCTAATGGCGATCCTGATTGGAGGGATCTACAAAAAGAATAGGATCGAGGGCCTCCCAGCCAGGGCGTTTGTACTCCAAATTTAAAATCTAAAGAAAAAAAATTCGATCTTTCGATCTGTCCACGTTCTTCGGCTAACAACAGGGAAAGAAAACAAGGCGTGTTTGGGTTGTCATTTATGTATACTTTTTCTCATACATACTACATAGGGAACGTTTTTTTAAGCTTTCAATGCATCGTGGAATATGAAAATGTTTGAATTTTTAGGCAAGCTAAAAACAGAGAGGCTAAGCTGCAAAGAGAAGAAATGCAATTTAGGTATGTTGGAGTTTTCAAGATTTTTTCCCAGAACAGTTTTCTTAAACAAAATTCATAAAGATATAATGTGCATGTTAAGGATTTGTTTTTAAATAACCCTTAACATTAAATAATTTTGTTTTTTAAATAGTTTTTCAGCAATGAAAAGGATTATATTTTTGTGGCTTATATGTATAACGGACAACGAACTTGCATTTAATATCATATTTTTCCAAATATGTTTTTGAATTTTTAAGAATCTTCACAATGATTTTATTCAATTTAGACAAATGCACGACTTGCTGAAGTCCCGGAAGAAGTTACTAGAATTTACATCCGGTAGTTCCACTTCTCTACCCTTGACAGTTCAACGGATGGAGAATCATTCTATTCAGCTTGGGGGGAGAATGAAAGTTAGGTAGGGAACAATGTAATCTAGACAAAAGGAATCGAATTTATGCTGAATTACTGCATGGTAACTCTTAGTTTTGATTTAACACCAAACAAAACGTTCTTGTTTTGTTGTTCATCCGATCTAGAGGAACTGGCATAAGTGATTTCTGGTCTAAGGGTTTTCTGACCTATAATATTATTAAATCTAAAAATCTCAGGTTAGGGTAAGCTGGATTGGTAGAGTTAGTTTGGGGTTGGACGTAATTATTAAGGAGAGTTGGTTTTAATCCTGTTTTTTAGAGAGTTCTAGGAATGGGGCTGTCTTGGGCAGACCACCTAATATAAGTCTTATCCCTAGAGTGATGGGTCCAGTTAGCCTATGAATACTTTTCGGCAGCTAGGAGCGCCGACCCCTATTTCATTGAACGAAATAATAATGATAATAATCCGTAAAAACACGCGGGGAGTGAAAACTACTCGATATTTTCTAATAAAAACTACTCGATATTTTCTAATAAAAACTACTCCATAATTATGTCGGATATCCTTTAGGTCGCTTTCCTCTAGATCAATTTCCAGTACATCAGAGAAGCACCTTAATGGGACTCCAGACGTAATTTCAATTGACTTAATACTGCACAGCAGTGTTACCCCTTGGCCTTATCACCTTTGTCTGAGCACTATGTAAAAGATATCCTCGTTTTTCTATTCCAAAGCTTGTTGAATTCTCTTAATTTCATGCATTTTCTGTGCAGCATAAAAACACATTTTTAAAATTATTAATTTTTAGACAACAACAAGAAAATAATCTTTCCTCAGGCAAAGGATTTAAGCGGATAACATGCAACTCTTTAATTGAAGAGTCGGAAGAAAATAGTCTACAGTCTCTTTAATTCCTATATTTTAGAGTAAAAAGAAGATATTTGGAAGAAATGCAAAGAATAAAGGCTGAAGTAGGAGAAGAAGGATTGAGTAGTGATGATGAGCAAATCATTAGAAATGTCAAGGTTAGAAGAAAATAATAATTAAATGAAAAATATGTTCATTGCAGAAAACTTCCATCTGATATTCTATTTACATTTATTTAAGACATATAAACAAACTTGTAGACGTGAATACTGTAGATCGTTAATAATTTTGTAATTATAAAGGTATTGTTTGCCTTTTTTATAATACAGATACTATTTTTAGTACTATTCGATGCGTTACAATCCCTTTAAATAGAAATTAAGTTGAAGCGGATAAAATAAAGAAAATAAGACTCTTTTTTTACTATTCGTGTTCATCTCTTATTAGAAGCTACCAAAATATTCAAGAGATTGAGATGTAAGATTATAAATAATTTTAATAAAATAAATTTTTAAACCAAAATTATCTAAATTTTAGGAAAACGAGATAAAATTCAACATTCTTCCAGAATTTGATCCGTACATTAAAAACAGGAAATCACAGATTTTTTAATGTATTCTTTAAACTCGTTTGCTCATGTCCGATTCACAACGGTACCCTTGAACCCTTTATCTGGTCAAAATGTTGAAGATGAACTTGTTTTGATAATTTCTTCAACGTTATCATGAAGTTGAAATATACTTTTTAGAGAAACCACAATTTAAAATAATCAAACAATTAAACTTGGACATATTATTCAAGGGTACCGTTGTGCATCGGACATACCACTCTTTAAATGGAGGGTCACAAGAAATTGCGTTTACAGACCCTTTACTAATTGGGATTTTTTATGTAAAACATAATTTTTTATTTAAATCTGTGAAAATAGCACAAGCACTCCGAAATCCGGGAAATCAGATTCAACGACTAAAGAACCTAGTGGGCCGGTTAATCTGGATCAAGAGAAAATGAGAAGCTCGTTAACACAGGTATGCCGTTATGTTTCTTCACGCAAAAAAAAATCCGAAAACTTTTATTTAAATTCAATTTTAAATGTTTATTTATTTATACATCTTCAAAGTGCATACTGGATAGGGTGCATAGGAACCATTTTAAAGCTGTACTTGTCAAGCTGAATATACTATTTTTTCCTCTTTTCTTATCAGAATTTTTTATTGCCAAATTAAAAAGAAAGTACATATTGTACAGTTCGGCTTTGAAACTGTGGATTAGGAAGACGACAACTAGGCTCAAGTTAAGATTTTAATTTGTAAAACGAATTTGGAACAAAGCAATTGTGCAGTTTACGCTTTAGACATACTCATCATACTAAATCAGTTTATATATTCAAGTTACTGGTGAAGAAATTTCACATCAAATAACAACATCAAATACAATAAGATTGCTTTAATTTCGTTTTCCTATTCCACAGATTTATGGGTCCCACTGTATTCCAATATATTTCTCATTATTCAAAACTTAAAAGAATTTGGGCAAAGTGTTAAATTTTCTCCATTTCCACTTTGATTCACGGATTCCAATGTTTTTGCAGATCTGGATTTAGAGAGTATAATATTGTGGATTTTAGCCCTTAACACTGAGCAGTGAACAGTGAATACTGCATTAATTTTGTTTAGGAAAGCCAACCTTCTTATTTTCATCTGATCAATGACCTATTCCAACTTGGTACTAACAACAGGTTACTAGATCTATTATTATTATTATTATTATCTATCAACCTGCAGACAATGTAACTTGACCTGCAGGCAACAATACAAGGAAAACAGGGTTGAGCTCCGCCACTTGCCCACATGGGAACTAGTGGTTCAGATCTGGTCTGACTAGATATATATAGATACAGGATAATCAGAAAACTCTGAAATAGGAAGACGACTTTTAGACTCCATAAATGAATTTAAATAGTCCAATAAGCATGGGATACCGCAATTGTTCATCGCAAACAGACACATTTTACTTAATTAGTGACTAAATATGTGTCAAGTAAAACTATTTTCTTTGAAACAACAACAATTACACTTTTGTACTGTTATAAAGTCGTCTTCCTATTGCAGAGTTTTCTGGTTATCATTGTATCAATCTTGGGAACATTGCTTAGGATTCATTTCATCTTGATGAAAATTCTGGATTCACAACAGTAATGTTACCAAGCCTACCTGGCCCTTGGGATTCATTTTATCTTATTGAGATCCTGGATTTGCAATATTTATCTTATCAATTTTCATTTCTTCTCGATCTTAATCCTGTATTCCCACTATGTATGTTATCAATCCCTCAACATTGCTGGGTGTAAACGTGATCAGAATCCTTAGAATTCATTTCACCTAAATCCTGGATTCCAGTGTTTCGGATCCGGATCCGGTCGGATCCGTATCATTTGGTCGGATCCGGATCCGTATCAGGAAACGTTGATATGGATCCGGGTAGCGCCAAAAATTAACCAAAACCATGGAATAAATAAATCAAAATGGTTCGTATATGTATTATTTACATGACGAAAATTTTTCAAAATTATCTTTAATAATTTAATGTTTACATTTATATAATAGTAATGACGACATTTTTAACTTTAGGATTACTATAGTTTAAAAATTATAACCTTGCATAACATTTAATAGGGAAAATCCGATTCACAGAATCAAAAGTTACCTCGGATCCGGATCCGTATCAGGATCCGAATCCGGATCCGGATCCGAATCAAAATGATATGGATCCGAAACACTGCTGGATTCAGAAGAAAAAAATTGATCAGCCCTTTAATAATGTTTGGGGTCCATATAATCTTGATAATTATCCTATTGTAGGTATTGCGTATTACTGAGCTGGATTAGGGTGTGTCTGTATAGTAGGTTCCGTATTACTGAGCCGTATCAAGGGGTATCTGTATTGTAGGTTCCGTATTACTGAGCTGCATCAAGGTGTATCTGTATTGTAGGTTGCGTATTACTGAGCTGGATCAGGGTGTATCTGTATTGTAGGTTGTGTATTACCGCGCAGTATCAAGGGGTATCTGTATTGTAGGTTGCGTATTACTGAGCTGTATCAAGGGGTATCTGTATTGTAGGTTGCGTATTACTGAGCTGGACCAGGGTGTATCTGTATGGCAGGAGAGTCCTATAGCTGCCTTGAACTCCTGGTACTCACTGTATCCTGATCCCAGGGGGTGGAGAACCTGTATACCAAGCGCTATAGCTTTCCTCTCAGGGGCATTCCCTGAACAGGTAGCCACAAAATGGAAATCCTGGTCCTAGTTAAATGATTTGGGGAGGTCACTGAACTAACTACCGCCGGTTTAAATCTATCACCGGTTCATGAGAATTTGAATCAGTGAATCAGGGTTTGAACCGGCGGTAGTTTAATTGTTATTATAGATCATAAAATTTTAACCAAATTTTAACTTCTGTTTTCAATAAAAATCCAAATTGGATAAAAGTGGTGTCTATCTATATTCTTTATACTATAGGATGCATATTGCACAAGGTTAAAACGTAATATGATGTGTTTTGATTGTTCTTAGATTAAAAAATTAATGATTTAATAAAGATAGTTTTTGTTTGTTTAGAGTCCGCCTGATTTTCAACCCCTGATTAAAGTGAATTCAAAGAACGGCTGCTATCAGGTTTGCTATCTTCTTTTGAAATTAATGGACAGTTCTTAAAGTAAGAGTTTACAATAGTTCATAACCCATTCAAAAATTCTTAACAATAACATTAGATAGAAATGAAAATATCCGTTTAGTCAGTAGATTTAAAACATCAAGATGAACATTTTAGCTTCCTTTTTATTTTTTCGCAACCACTCCCTTTCATGCTATTAATAGCTGTAAAAAGAAAAGATTCAGTTTTTATCAATTAATTAATATGCCAGCCATAAAAAAGGGTAGAGAGAGTTCTTTTATCACCCTAGCTAGATAATGTTTAGTGGGAGGGAGAGTTCTACTATTATTATTATTATGCTAGATAAAGTTTAGTAGGAAGAGAGAGTTCTACTATTACTACTATATAATGTTTAGTGGGAGGGAGAGGATAGGGAGAGTTCTATTATTGTTAACTAGATTATGTTTATGGGAGGAGATGTTAAGGAGAGTTATTTTATTATTATACTAGATAATGTTAAGTGGGAGGGAAAGGGTAGGGAGAGTTCTATTACTGTAAACTTAATAATGTTAGTGGGAGGAGATGTTAAGGAGAGTTATTTTATTATTATACTAGATAATGTTAAGTGGGAGGGAAAGGGTAGGGAGAGTTCTATTACTGAAAACTTAATAATGTTAGTGGGAGGAGATGTTAGGGAGAGTTATTTTATTATTATACTAGATAATGTTAAGTGGGAGGGAAAGGGTAGGGAGAGTTCTATTACTGAAAACTTAATAATGTTAGTGGGAGGAGATGTTAAGGAGAGTTATTTTATTATTATACTAGATAATGTTAAGTGGGAGGGAAAGGGTAGGGAGAGTTCTATTACTGTAAACTTAATAATGTTAGTGGGAGGAGATGTTAAGGAGAGTTATTTTATTATTATACTAGATAATGTTAAGTGGGAGGGAAAGGGTAGGGAGAGTTCTATTACTGTAAACTTAATAATGTTAGTGGGAGGAGATGTTAAGGAGAGTTATTTTATTATTATACTAGATAATGTTAAGTGGGAGGGAAAGGGTAGGGAGAGTTCTATTACTGTAAACTTAATAATGTTAGTGGGAGGAGATGTTAAGGAGAGTTATTTTATTATTATACTAGATAATGTTTAGTGGGAGGAGATGGTAGGGAGAGTTTTATGATTTTATTGGACTAGATAATGTTAAGAGGGAAGGAGAGTTCTATTATTATTATTATGTAGATAATGTTTAGTTGAAAGGAGAGTGTAGGGAGAGTTCTATTATTATTATTATAATAGATAATGTTTAGTTGGAAGGAGAGGGTAGGGAGAGTTCTATTATTATTATTATAATAGATAATGTTTAGTTGGAAGGAGAGGGTAGGGAGAGTTCTATTATTATTATTATAATAGATAATGTTTAGTGGGATGGAGAGGGTAGAGAAAGTTCTCTCTGTTATCTATTTGACTGGTGGTGGGATAGAAAGGAATTATGCAAAGCTAGTATCAGTTCAAAACCACCGGCAGAGTCAGGTAACGTGTTCAGGGAAGAAATGTATTTTTTTTTAAGTTTTGTAATTGTCAACCCAACTCTTGGGATACAAATTTAAATTTGTTGTGAAAACATTTTTGCGGGTATTTAACGTCATTTTCTGCAATTCACAATTATATTATAATTTCATCAGTTCAAGGTTGAGGCTGTTTACAATGTTCCCACTAAGGCCAGACTACAGTCTAAAACTCCAGACTTTATTCAATCTTGAATCTGATATTTATGGTTTTAAACTTGTTTCTTTCTTTGCCAGCTCATACAAGCTGGCAGGAGGAGATGGGTAGACGATAAGAACCTAGTTGCCCAACATCTTGATTATCTTCATTACGACATTCTCTGCCTTGATACTGAGAGTCTGGAGAAGTGCAGCCAGACAACCAGACGTTGACTAAACTCATGATTTTCATAAAGCATATTTTACTTTTATGTTTTTTTTTCGTCTTTTGGGATTTTTCTCCTTCCTAGAACTTTGTGTGTGGTGCTTGGACAGTTTCAGATCAAAATGGCTTCTGGAGTTTTTAACCTTTCATGCACTTTGAATGATTTTATATGTGAGTATCAGTGTACACATTTGTGAGAGAATCAATGTACATTATGAATGATTCTGTAGCATATGGTGGCAGTCATAAGGCCCATAGAGCAGTAGCCGCAAAAATTAAAACATGATACGTTTATTTAAATAAAAACTTGTTAAACAACTCCTTGTTGTTTTTCTAAAGTTGACCGATAGACTGAATAGTTAGGTCAGTCATACTGAGTGGCATATAAAGTGGATTCATGGTCAGAGTAATTAGGCTTTTAGTGGCTGCACAACTAAGGAATGAAAATTGAATGTGTAGAGCAAAAACCTTTTCTTCAGATTCATATTTAAATATTTACCAAATAATTTTTACGAACCATAAAGTTTTCTAATTAAAACCTTATACAAAGAGGAAACTTAGGGTACCTTAATAGATTCCAGTATGGGTGCCAAAACTTAGGGTACCTTAATAGATTCCAGTATGGGTGCCAAAACTTAGGGTACCTTAATAGATTCCAGTATGGGTGCCAAAACTTAGGGTACCTTAATAGATTCCAGTATGGGTGCCAAAACTTAGGGTACCTTAATAGATTCCAGTATGGGTGCCAAAAAGCATGCAAGCATGCACAAAAAATGTGTGTTTCTGATCTTTACTTTATAGGGTGGTTGGATTATAGAACCAAGATATTAAGACCGGTAATCGTACATGCACTAAGAACTTTGTCAAAAAAAATATTTTTTTTTTAAAGAAAGAATTTTCATAATCAACCCATTAGCAATCTCATTTCTAAAAACTTCCAATGTGAACCATAATCAATATTTCAAACTTAATTGACCATTATTTTTAAGTTTCCAACTTAGGTTTTGAGTTGGATGGAGTGGAATCTTGTGATTCAGGAGTACCACCTGGTAGAGTACCCCCTGCCAGGTACCCGACCTCCTGGAAGGTTCGGCCGGGGTCGCATCAGGAGAAAATTGAATACAGACAACAAGAAACTGAAAGGTAGCAAACCCTAAAATATCACTGTTAAATATTGAATAGAATTTTGGAAAAAGCATTGTCAACAAATCATCACTTTAAAAGATTTTTGAAAATTTTAAAAGAAAATCATACGGTGACTTATGAGTTTGGGAAACTGTAGCGACTTAGGAACTATTTCTTTTAGGAAATTGCGAATTGTTTTAATTATTCACTAGGGCCAAGTCCTTTAACATAAGTTCAGTAACCTTTTAGAAGAATCTTCATCATCAAGCTCTAAGGGTGTCAAGAATATCGGTTTGATTTGTTCATGAAAATCAAAATTTTGCCTAATTACAAATTATTTAAAAGTGTCTGCAAGCTTTAATTTAAGTGACCCTCTATGCTGAGGTGGCAATGCCCGATTTACAACTGTACCTTTGAAAGTTTTGTCTGATCAAGTATGAATTATATAATATATTCATGTTTTTGTTTATTTTAAATGTTTTTTTATTGTGGTTTCTATGCAAAAGCGCATTTCTTACTTAAAAGAAAAATGAAGAAACCGTTGTAAATCGGGCATTGCTATGGAGGGTCACTTAAAATTATGCTCACAATCCCTTTAATACATTATATTTAGGTATTCAGTTCCTACAGTTCCTTATGAATGGAGAGTTCAGGACTACAGGTCTTGTGTTGGGCCGGTCAAGGGAGGTCTGGCGGTCAAAGGAAAAAATCACACCATGCTCAAATCTAAAAGGAAATTTTTTTATCAAAATTAAAAGAATTTCTTATTCTTGTTAAACCCTTCCTGTAACTAAAATGTTAAGAAAATCGACTTAAAATCTTTATGTATGAAAAATGTACATTGTACATATACGTGTTTTCTAATGACGGTCAAACCATAAAACAAAGAAATATGGCTTAAATAGCCCCTCCCCCCTCTCCCATGGAAACACAGGAAAAGGGACTCATTCCCCAGACTTTTTCTGCCGATTATTGAAATAGTTTTAAATACCACGGGAAACGCTGAGCACTTTACTCAAGAAAGATAAAGAAAAAGGGAGCGTAGGCCTCTTTATGTAACTATTCTGACTCTGGTAAGAGATGCAGTCTCTAGATTACCCAACGGTGAAGGATCAAGGTAATGCTCTCTAGATTACACAACGGTGAAGGATCAAGGTAATGCTATCTAGATTACCCAACGGTGAAGGATTAAGGTAATGCTCTCTCGATTACACAACGGTGAAGGATCAATGTAATGCTATCTAGATTACCCAACGGTGAAGGTTCAAGGTAATGCTCTCTAGATTACCCAACGGTGAAGGATCAAGGTAATGCTCTCTCGATTACACAACGGTGAAGGATCAAGGTAATGCTCTCTCGATTACACAACGGTGAAGGATCAAGGTAATGCTCTCTCGATTACACAACAGTGAAGGATCAAGGTAATGCTCTCTTAATTACACAACAGTGAAAGATCAAGGTAATGCTCTCTTAATTACACAACAGTGAAGGATCAAGGTAATGCTCTCTAGATTACTTAAACGTGAAGGATCAAACTACAGATATCTAAAATCTCCAACGCTGAAGGATCAAGGTAAAGATCTCTAGATTATCCAGCTGTGAAGGATCAAGGTAAAAGATCTAAACAAAACGGTTTAATACTGATTAATTAGCGTGGAAAATAATAAACGGCTTCATAATTATGGATCTATTAAAAAAATCCAACTTTGGAATTAATGAAACTTGTGTAATATTTCAGCCAATGCTAGAAATGCATCTTTCATCGAGAATTCTAATTAAATTCAACAATTCTCGCAAAAATTCAGATTTTTTTCCAATTTTCTTAATTTCCAATTATACAGGAGTGATATTATGGAGCTTCTTCTGTATTCTCAATACCTGACAGAGAATATTGATCAAGTCAGTCTCAATACTACAGTTAGTGGAGCTCTGGACAGGTCAGGCTTCTTATTATTATTATTATCATTATTTATTATTATGTAATTATCATTATGAATATATGTAGTCCAGGCTCTAGACTCAAAGGAACTGTTTGCTTTTTTTGAATTTTTCAGGTTACAGAATGAGACTGATTCTTGTGTGAAGTATGATACTAACAGGAAAATATGGATTTATTTACACAGGTGAAGTCTGAGGCAAATCGGTTCAGGGGTTTCAGAGTTTTGATCATACGTTCATCCAAACAGACAAATATAGAGTACACCGCAGGTTCTTCAGCATTGACTTTGATTGAATTCCTTCCATATTAAATGAATTAAAGCTACATAATGATAATGTTTAAAAATATTACCTTTCCTTGGTTGAAACGAAAATTATTATCTGAGTTTTATTGTTTTGTCTGGTTGAAATGACATTGTAATGACGATCTAAAAACCTTAAATTCTCATAATTGAACGATTTTATTTGTTTATCTTGTCTTTTGTTGGAAGCACACTAATATATTTTGGTCTGATTTTGTTATTTTTATAATTTATATTAAATTCAATTCCCATAGACTTATCCAATCAGTTTTTCTCAATACTTCTAGGGACAAGAGTTTAGCTGAGTTAGAAAATTACCAGGCCAATCTAAAGCCAAAGCCAAGACCTAAGAAAAAGATAAAGGTATTAAATAAATCGTTTTAAAGATATATATTTTTTTAAATTTTCTGATAAGTCAGCATCTTGATTCTTGATAGTAATATATTTTTTAAGATCATTATAATTCCAGTTGGATGACATGGGAGATAGAAAGAATGCAAGGGAAAGTATTCTGGGATCTGCCCTCTTGGGAACAAGGTCAGGCTCCCCCTCAAGATCATCTCTAGGCTCCCCCTCAAGATCATCTCTAGGATCCCCTGCAAGATCAACCCTAGGATCTCCCGCAAGATCATCATTAGACTCTGTCTCCAGATCAGCTACAGGAGTACCTAAAACAAATCTTGAATCTACTTTAGGATCATCTCCAGGAACAAGTTTAGTAACCTCTCCAAGATCTTTAATTGGTCCTGGAACTACTTCTGGATCACCTACCAGACCATCTGGTATTAGTATTGGATCTCCTACCAGACCATCTGGTATTAGTATTGGATCTCCTGCAAAATTATCTATTGGTGGACCTGGAACAAGTCTTATTTCTCCATCCAAATCAGGAGCAACCATTATAAGTCTAGTGTCAGCTACTGGAGATGGAACAATGTTTACAGCTTCCACACCAAAAAGGTCTGAAAATTGATGAATTATAAAATTGACTGATCAGAATTTAATGAATAAGATTTGAAGACTAGAATATTAAATTAGAAAGATATCAAACAAATTGATAATTGTGAGGTGTGAAAATAAAAGTTTAGGAAACTTGTTTGTTTGACACTGAGAAAACATGAAGGCTGGGGAAATATTATGATTGATATTGTAGAAGAATATCCATGGACTATTGCATAATTGTATGTTCTTGATTTAAAAAGGCTGTTTTTAGGGTCGTTAAAGGAACACCTCCTACACAGGAGCTTGGTAATTCTCCCAGATCAAAAGGAACTCCGCCTAAACTTGCTTCACCTCTCTCTGTACGAGGATCAACTGAAGCTACTGGTATATCAAAAGGAACGCCTGTTATAAGAGAAGGAAGTACCATTGTAACTGAAAAAACGCCTACTTCAAATGAAGGAACGCCCACCTTACCTGGCTCTGGTAAAATCCAACGGATTATTGTTCGTGGAGAGAATGGACAGATCCTTCCCCTGTCCCCTGCTACCCTTAACATGCTCATCGAATCAGGGGCAGTTCCTCCTGGAGTTCAAATACTACAGGATACCCCCCATAATCCGTAGTTTATCAGGGTCAGTACCCATTGGAATACAGATACTCCAGGAGTCCCTTAGTATTTTATAGTTTATCATGGATAGTATCTCTTGGAGTTCAGATACTCCAGGAGTCCCCTAGTATTTTATAGTTTATCATGGATAGTATCTTGGAGTTCAGATACTCCAGGAGTCCCCTAGTATTTTATAGATTATCAAGGAACGTATCACATGGAGTTCAGATAATTTAGGAGTCCCCTATTTTTCTATAGATTATACTCAAAGAGACCCTCAGCTTTAGTATTTTATATGATTTGTCAGTTTTCTAAAAAAAATCGTGAAGACCCCCCCCCCCCCAAAAAACTTTTAAAATTATAATTTGTCAGCGTACATTCTCTTTTACCCGCTCTGAACAACCCAGTCGATTTCCTTTGAGGTAAAAAGAAACATGAAAAATAGGAAATGCTAGACTTTTTGGGAGAAATATCACAGACGATCGATAGATACCATGGAAAGCTTTCTCAAAATCCGCCAACTCATTCTATCCCTCGGATTCTATTTTATTAGTAATAATGAAGGTCGTTTACAGCATGTATTGTATAATTAGGTAAAAAGAATCAGTTTTGTTCACATAAATTTAATAATAAAATTTTGAGATCTGTGTTTAAATACTTTTGTTACTCTTGTTACAGATATGTTGTAAAATGGTGAGATTTGTAGCAAGTGTATCTGAACGTTCAGTAAAATGTACGGAATGTCAAGGAGTTATTGTACAGGGTGACCTCAGGTACAGCTGGAAATAGTTTTTGTTAAAATATTTAAGGGACTGACTACGAAATACGAGATAGCCCTTCACTGAGAAACTGCTCGAAACTAAAGTAGGACCAATAAAACTACTTCAGGCAATCTTTTGTGTATTGCTGTAAAGGTATTCGATTTACGATTAGCATGAAAAACCTCTTATTAATTGAAATGTGTCTGAGTACATTGCTTGGACCATAAGGTCTTTCTATTACGGGTGTTAGGTCATTTCATAGAAAGACTTTAATAGATAGGACATTTAATAGAAAAAGAAATTTATAGATGGGACATTTCATAAATAGGACATTTCATAAACAGGTCAGACTTTTCAAAGACAGGCAATTTCATAGAAAAAGATTTTTTATAGATAGGTAATTTCAAAGAAAGAAAAGTTTTTTTTAGAGACAATTAAACGTTTTTGGTATGTAAATATGTTTGACAAACAAGAAATCAACAATATATTATTTTACCAATTTAAAGCAAAAATGAGAAAAATATTTGAAGTAAAGATCAGAGAGATCGCAGAAAGAAAAATTTGAAAAATATTATCTGTCTATGATATGTCCTATCTATGAAATATCCCATCTTTGAAAAGTCATTTATTAAATGTCCTTAATATGTCTTTGATATGACTAAATATTAAATGTCCTATCTATGAAATGACCTAACACCCAGTATTGTAGGTCCCACTTTAACATGAACTCGCTTATTTTAAACATTTTTCTAATGATAAACAGTAGATACCTTATGGCCTGAACTAACATGGGATTTAAGGTGAAGACTTCCTGTCGTAAAACCATAGCATCGAGTTATCATTAATAAACTAAGTTAACAATTGGTTTTTGCAAACATCTCAATGAACCTGGGACTGAAATAAAAATTTAATCACAGATTTAATCCATGACTAATGTTTACGGATTTTACCAAATGCCTGGATTTAGAAATTATTGTAGTATACGTAGATAAACTTCATGAAGTTATGATATTGAGGAGTCATAATAGATAAATATAGATAGATTTCCAGCTTGAGAAGTTTATGATTCTGAAAGTTAAACTAGATTTTTCTGGGAAAATGGCTAACATGAATAATTTATCGTTGAGCAGAGAAAGCTTTTAAAGATAACATTGTGAATTAGACTTACCAATCTTTAAATGGAGATTGGAGAGTAAATTTAAATTACGTTTATTTAAACATTTGAATTTTAAAGGATTGGTAAGGGAAGTTCTGTGTTTAAATTCTTCCACGCACCCTGTTTATTCAACAATTTCGCCAGGGCTGGCAGAGGAGCAGTTATTATTAAGGTAATACTCAGAGAACCAGAAAACTTAGAAAAAATACGTATCGTCGATATCTTGCCTTTACTTGCTCAGATTTTTGTAATTAATGATTTTTGTATGTTCTAGATCTGAATCCAATGAATTTGAGCCAGGTCGCAGAACTACCTACCGCCGGTTCAAACCTTAAATCAATGCTTCAAAGTTAAAGATTTATAAGGATTTGAATCCGTGATTCAGGATTTGAACTAGTGGTAGGTAGTTCATTTAATTCGGTCCCAGGGCACTTTTTTTGTTGTAAAAGTTCCGTCTCAAATCACAAATTATTTACAAGAATTCAAGATACGTAGATTTCAAGAGGTGCCATTTCTCTCATGAATCAAACTAAACAAATCTTACTTCTTGAATAACTATTTATTACTAAATATTTTATTACTTGCTTATAAATACCTTTGTCTTCGGGTTGTTTATTGCACATTATAGTATTTAACATTTGAGACTAGGGCGATTTTAAATTGTTGCCATGTCTTTGTCATTTGTTTGACCCCACAAACCCAAACATACTTTATGAAGCCCTAGAAATGAAGGGTCTAAAGCTCTAAATTACTATCATCTTTTAAGGAGTATTTTGCAAAAACCTTCTTAATTTTAGCTTTTTGCATTTTGATTAACAGTGAGTAAGTCTTCTTTCTAAGAATATTTATGTTTGTTTTATATATTCTGTATTAGGGAATTGAACATTTTTTCATCTGCTTGAAAATCAAGGTTTTTTTTTTAAGGTTAGATAGTAGATACTCCAATGTACGGACAATGTCGTCTTCATAACAATGTACACTCAAAATTCTCCGCGGAAAAAATCCTTCCCCTCTCTTTCCAACAACGTTGTCACTTCAGTTTCAGCCCATTAAAGGGAGTGTTGTGAAAAATAAAAGGGGGCTAAAGGCTTACGGCGAAAAATAATCGCTTGTGATCGCTACTAATCTTACTTCTATCTGTTACATCTGTAAGAAGAACATTGTTAAAAATGACTTATACTGAAGAACGTAGAGTCCATACAAATTCAGAAAGTTGCAATGTATGACTCTTATCGTAAAATAATCAATTTAATTTCAAACAAATCATTCAGATATTACAACCTAAAGGCATCGATTATTTTTCAACGCATTTGTATATGGTTAATGTTTCATATTATTTGTTAATTGTTTTATATGCAATGCACTTAAAACGACGTTTTTTCCGCTAGGTGTCTATACCACATTCAAAGCATCGAGAGCAGAGACATCAGGCGGCAAACTATTTTGGCGTTTTAAGTGCATTGTATACAAAACAAATAAAAAATATGAAATATTAACCTTCTGTAAATGCATCGAAAAATAATCGATGACTATAGGTTGTAATATCTGAATGATTTGTTAGTAATTAAATTGTTTGTTTTTTTACGGTCTAAGTCTTTATTATAGAAGCTTGATGAGATAGAGGGTATGGGTAATCTACTTGATGTTCATCAAACTACAATCAAACAACTTTTTGAGAACTATGCAAGGTACACATCGATCCAGCTACGGGGGTGAATATTTTCCCGACAATCTTTTTTCTCTTTTGAATATATTTTTTCTCCCAGAAGATAGATATATGAATCGGGGAAAATGAATAAGTGTTTAGGGGAAAAGTATGAAATAGAATAAAAAAACTTACCTTTTCACGTCCAATTTGTCATCCCCCCCCCCTCCCCCCAGATCTTCAATCTTGTACTGGTTCTGATGGTACAACGATTGGATCAGTGCCATGTTTCCTTCTTATTACCAAATTTCATCTAAATTGTCAGACAATGAGCTATAGATTTCTTACTCTTAAACATTTGCATTATTAGGTTGTTCCACTGTTTTTGCTTGATTAACAAATATTACAGAGGTCAAATACATAAAGTGGAATGAAAAAATGAATATTCGTAGACAAATATTTATGTCTATCTATTCCTTTTTTATTAAGGTCAATGCAGTTTGAACTGTACTCAATTGTCATTTCAAATACTAAAGTAAAGTTTTTTAAGTTTTTTTTATTATTTTATTTACTAAATAAACCCAAATTTAGACAATATTTCCAACCTGCTCAGCTGAATGATCTCGGCATCTCTCAAATTAATCAAGGTTAAATTCAAATAAAAACACCGTTTCTTAGTCGTATTTTAACACTCTTCTTGTTGAACAACTGAAAGGGACTGTTAGCGTAATTTTTATGTTTAAAAGTGCCTAATTCTGATAATCATAAACAATTATATCTAATTCATAATAAAACAGACACAGCTCGTTATGAATCGGGCATTATTATCTTTCCATAGAAGGTTACTTGAAATTACGCTCACAGTCCCTTTAACAACCAACTCATAGAAATATGTTTTTACCATGCACGATTTTGATTTAGTAAACTTGCATCACTTGATCGACCGCATAACATAATTAACCTACTAGGATTTTTATACGAACTAGTTTTTTCCTAATTACTGTGAAAGCCATAAAACAGTGGAAGGATTGTCGTATTCTTCCATTTAATTAAAAATTACCGCTAAGAATATTGTGTAACTTATTTTTTTTTACTTTGCTTTGAACTTTCTCAGTTTAAGAACAAAAACTAATTTAATACAATTAAAAGATGTAAGGAAGTACGACATCGCCAAGAGTATATATTATATTGGATTTTTTATGTGTTTATTTTTAGTATTGCCACTGCCATGTCTGACTGCCGAGTCATCTGCAAAGACCAATTTGTCCAACCTAAACCAAAATTCTAGTTCCACACCATTATCTGCAGGAGCATCAACTGCTGTAGCTAAGGATTCAGCCAACATTGATAAACTTAGAGCTACTGGAACCACCCGAGCAGCTGCAGTTACTGGAATAATGACATGCATTGTATCAGGAGGGCAGAACAATGTAGTAGTACCGGGAGGGCAGAACAAGGTAGTAGTACCAGGAGGGCAGAACAACGTAGTTTTGCCAGGAGTGCAGAACAATATAGTTCTACCAGGAGTGCAGAACAAAAGAGCTGTACAAGGAGTGAAGAACCACGTTGTTGCACCAGGAGGGCAGAATAGTCCAAGAGTTTCAGTTATAGTGCAAGGATGTCAGAACAACCTGGGAGCTTTGTCTTCTGGATCTGTAATTCTTATTTCTAGTGATAGGTATAAATAATTAAAAAATAATATCATTAAATTGTTCATTTAGATTGTTTTTATGTTAACTCTAGAATTTTTTACAGAGCTGAAAACTTTTGTTATGGATACACTTTTATCAGGTTGCTAAATTTCTGAATCCACTTTGGACACTTTTGATTTCTTCTTATTCCTTTCTTTTGGATATCCCTGCTGGATTCCGACCAATAAAAGTTCTCCCATTGATTGCGCTTCAATTATATACTGTCCTGGATATCAATTCAAGATTAAAATAATCGGCAGTTTAATGAAAAGAGGAGATTAAGCATTGATCTCGACATCCACAATACTGAAGTTTTAAGCTTATAATTACTTTGTTTAGTTGAAAAATATAAATTTTTTTTTACAGTGAAGATGAGAAAACTGCACCAAGGGTTGTTCCAATGAAACGGTAAGGATTTTTTTATAACTTCTCTTAACGAAATTTTGATCATGCAAAAATGGTTTTAATGCAATGGACCGATGTCAGGTCAAAAACTATAAACGAAACAAATCATTCAACTCTTTGATATATATATATATATATATATATATCAACAAACCGGTTCTTGTTGTCGTTGTGTTTAAAAGTATATAAAATGAACGAAGGCAGTTCGACTTATCGAGAATTTAAAGTAAAAATATGACAGAAATCTCTACTTGGCTGAATTTAATACCTAACTAATACCACGGTAAACTGCCAGGAGACCAACCTGAAAACAGCTCTGCTATGGCTGCTCTCCTTCCGTTGATAATTAATAGAAATCATATAAATATGTAATTTTTATGCACAACCTGTCATATTTTCAACGGAAAAATAAATTATTAGATTAGATTAGATTAGATTAGAATATAGAAACCTGATAGAATCCTAGAAAATTGTTAAAAAACGGCTGGAATCAAAAACATTATCATATATCATAGGTATTAGCAAAACAAATTTTTGTCATTAATTATGAAATATTAAGCATAGAGAAAAAATTTCCCAGAGTGTGGATGCATCGTCTTTTACAATCTACAGAGCCAAATCAAAAATACACTGTTTGCGGTGAATATAGAACAGACCAACAGACGGACGGAGGACAAAATTTAGAAAGTTTAAAAGTCAAATGTTCAATGATAATTTAAAATATTTCAGGGCTCTCTCTGCCTTATATATGAATCGGGGAAAATGAATAAGTGTTTAGGGGAAAAGTATGAAATAGAATAAAAAAACTTACCTTTTCACGTCCAATTTGTCACCCCCCCCCCCTCCCCCCAGATCTTCAATCTTGTACTGTTGATCTGATCTGATCTGATCTGATCTGATCTGATCTGATCTGATCTGATCTGATCTGATCTGATCTTTGCTTTGTATCCTGTTTTTTTTGGTTTTCTTGAGATTTTTAAAGTTTACGTAGACCTCCATTTTCATCCTTCCGAATTAAATGTGTTGTGTATGCTTAAATGATCCAGTTCATCCTGTATCTCTGTTTAAGGATAAGTAGTGATGGCCTGGATGAATGTTGTGTATGCCTGGATGATCCAGTTCATCCTGTGTCTCTACCCTGCGGGCATACATTTTGCTTTCTATGTGCTAAGGTACTGCTACAATTAACAGGGTTAAGCCATATATATAAAAACAAGTAATCTCTGTCTAGATGTCCGATCATAATTCTTGAACCCCTGGACAGATTTTTCTCAGATTTTAATTTTGGAACACGGTAGAACCATGGAAATGTTTTTTTAGCCTGGTTTAAAATTCTAAGTTAAGTTGGTCGACTTTTATAAGAAAAGTTTATATTTCCAGGCAAGGGTGGGTTACCAAGATAATTTAGATATATTCTCATTCACATTTCTAAGTTTTCTTTAGTTTTAATTAGAAATACTCAGAGGTTTAATTAGGGTTTAGTTACATCTAGAAATATTCAGGGTATTGATACATCTAGAAATATTCAGGGGTTAAGTTACATCTAGAAATATTTAGGCTTTAGTTACATCTTGAAATATTCAGATTTTAGTTACATCTAGTAATATTCAGATTTTAGTTACATCTAGAAATATTCAGATTTTACTTACAACTAGAAATATTCAGATTTTAGTTACATCTAGAAATATTCAGATTTTAGTTACATCTTGAAATATTCAGATTTTAGTTACATCTAGAAATATTCAGATTTTAATTACATCTTGAAATAATCAGATTTTAGTTAGATCTAGAAATATTTAGGCTTTAGTTACATCTAGAAATATTCAGGGTTTGGTGTTAACCGATCGAAGTCAATCACCACTTTGCTCATTGTGCAGAAGACCTTTCTCTCCTGACTACCTGGAATCAGCTAAGGTTAGATTTTTCTTATTCAATCTTATTCATTCGTAACATTTTTATCCTCAGTTAATATTATCTGTGTTAAATTATTTACTTGAGTTTTAAATTGAATATATTTAAAGTTGAATTGTTCAGCTGCATTTAATAATTAAGAATGTGATTTTATAAATGATTTTTTCCCCCAATTTAAAGCACGATGCACAAAATGTTACTAAAATAGTTTTTGGTTTTAACTAAAATTACTCTTTTTCAAGTTTCTGAAAGGTTTATCGTTCACTATAATTAACTACTGATCTTGATTTTAAACATCTAAAATGTTAATTTCCTAATTATGTTTTGGTTGGATGGTTCTGTCACACAAAGAGAAGCATAAACTGAAAATATTTTATGTAAAACTTTTCCCAAGTCGATGATTTTAATCCTTTAAAAAAAAATAAGTAGTCAAATTTGCTCCAAACACTTTTGGAACGCACTGTACATTACAAAAGGATATCCGCTATATTTATCTTTGATCTTGTGTTTAAACAACGAAATATTGGTCTTATACTATATTGAGCTTGTTTTCATATTACTAAAGATTGATCTTCAACTATATTGATCTTGTGATCTTGTATTTACATTACTAAAGATTAATCTGACACTATATTGATCTTGTGATCTTGTATTTACACTACTAAAGATTGATCTGACACTATATTGATCTTGTGATCTTGTTTCTATATTACTAAAGATTGATCTGCCACTATATTGATCTTGTGATCTTGTATCTATATTACTAAAGGTTGATCTGCCACTATATTGATCTTGTGATCTTATCTATATTACTAAAGGTTGATCTGCCACTATATTGATCTTTTGATCTTTTGATGTTGTTTCTATATAACAAAAGGTTGGCACAATACAATATTGATCTTGTGATCTTCTATTTTCAAGGATGAGCGCATTTAATCATCCTTAAAGGGACTATATGCAAGAAATGCGCAAGTCGTTAATAGATAAGCCAAAAATGAAAATGAACAGTTTTTAATTAACAAAAACATAGAGATCTAATTTATACTTGATCAGACAACGCTTTAAAGGTACTATTGCACATTGGGCATTGCCACCCTTGACTTGGAGGGTCACTTAAATACACGCTTACAGTCCCTTTAAATAGGTGTTGGACCAAGTCACTAAGGATCTAAATGAAACACCGCCTTTGATCGCTCAGCAAAACTCATGGCAGTGGTTTTATGAGGTAATTTTTATTGCAAAAACTAGAAGTTCACTTAATCATTTTTCTTATAATATCTTTTTAATTGGAAAAAACTTGGAGTTTGACTTAGTGAAGTAAAGAAAGGGCATTATTTATATAAGAAAGCTCTTCAGCTAGTTTATCATCAATAGTTAATTCTCTAATTTGCTTACTAATTTTAATTTAAAAAAAAATTTTGTCGGAAAATATATTTTTTTTTCAGGGGAGGAAAGGATGGTGGAGGTTTGAGGAAAGAAACTGTGAAGAAATCGAGGAGAATTATGGAAAGGTAAATTTTATTTTTACAAATAATTTTTTCAATCTGCTGTTTGATTTACTTTAAGAGATCAAAACTTGTTTTTTTTTCATTTATGGTGTTCATAAAATATTTCAGTATTTATACTGTACGTACATAACAATAATTATTAAATTAATGTTAAGATAATATTAAAATCTGGATGTGCTTATAAAATACATGATGAGACTTAAGAGACGGCCAGGTGTGTTGCTCTGGCGGTGACAGTCTTGCAGGATACATACATATATTTGTTGTTGAAAAAGCTCTATTTGGATTTTTTTGGTGTTTAACTTTTATTTTCTTTTTATTTCTTTTCCATCTTGTTGGCAATGATATAAAACATTAAATAATCCTATTCTTTTACTAACACTGCATCAGCCTAGGATGATCATTTTAGGTACTTTTGAACTGAAGTTGTTATCAACTGACTGAAAGTTTCTCTGCCTGAATCTTCTGATCCTAAACTTACTAGTTTCTTAATTCAAATTAGAGCTAGGATGTATATGTATAGTATTCACCCGTCTACAAGCCGATGATGAAAATTATTTCTAGGGCAGACTATAAAAGTAGATCTAAAATCAATTGAAATTTATTCAGTCTTTTTTCTTACATTCCTGGTAACCTGGAGCTGCAGGTCTGATTCTATCTTGCTCACTGCTGTAAATGGACCATCAGGTTTCAAATCAAAACACCTGATTTTTTTTCCAGAATATGTTAATATGCAGTCTTATGAGTTATAATCTTAATTTTCAGAAAATGCCACCTAGGGAATTTTCCGTGAATCTATTTTTAAGATATCTCAGAAATCAAGTTCATTTACAGGTCTAAGATCAAACTTCAATTTCGTTTGGAGACTTTAATATGCTTCTTCTGGGGGTTTTTGCGATATTTTTTATCTGTAAATGGCACGGTCACAAAATTTTGAAGCTTTTCATGAACAGTCATTAGACATATTGTAGTAAAAAATCAAAGCCCTAAGTCAACTGCCTGACTGACTAGATAAGGCCTGAAAAAGTCTTTTTGATTAGATTTTTAAGGATTTCACTTCAAAAACCCTTTTTCAGGCAGTACTTAAACAGTCATGCAGTTCACTTATGGTTTTGTTTTTTTGCTAAAACATGTCTTAAGGACAACTTACAAAAGTTGGGGACCCTGCCATTAACAGTTCAAAAAATATTGCAAAAAATACTTGAAACTAAAGATACATTTTTAGACCTGAAAATGCACTTGATTTCTACAATATCTTAAAAATGGATTTACTCAAGAATTCCTAAAATGACATTTTCTGAAAATTGAGTTAATAACTCAGAAGACTGCATATTATTATTAAAATATTCCAAAGAAAAGGTTGTTTTGACCTGAGACCCGATGGTTCATTTACAGCAGTGTACTCGCTAGATCACTAAATGTGCCTTTTAACACGTTTTAAAGTCGCATTCTTTGTGGTTAACCCTGTACTATCTTTATCTAGGGGGTACAGCAGTTTGTGGTTAACCCTGTACTATCTTTATCTAGGGGGTACAGCAGTTTGTGGTTAACCCTGTACTATCTTTATCTAGGGGGTACAGCAGTTTGTGGTTAACCCTGTACTATCTTTATCTAGAGGGTACATCAGTTTGTGGTTAACCCTGTACTATCTTTATCCAGGGGGTACAGCAGTTTGTGGTTAACCCTGTATTATCTTTATCCAGGGGTTTACAGCAGTTTGTGGTTAACCCTGTATACTATCTTTATCTAGGGGGTACAGCAGTTTGTAGTTAACCCTGTACTATCTTTATCCAGGGGTTTACAGCAGTTTGTGGTTAACCCTGTACTATCTTTATGTAGGGGGTACAGCAGTTTGTAGTTAACCCTGTACTATCCTTATCCAGGGGTTTACAGCAGTTTGTGGTTAACCCTGTACTATCTTTATCTAGGGGTACAGCAGTTTGTGGTTAACCCTGTACTATCTTTATCTAGGGGGTACAGCAGTTTGAGACATTGATTTGTGGAAACCTTTACACAATAGATTTCATGAACATGGAACAGTATCAGGTACAGCCACATTTTGCCATTTAATTTGGACAATTGGATTTAGACAGTTGGATTAAGGTGATGGGATTTAGACAATTTGGGTTAGACAATTGGGGTTAGACAATTGGATTTAGACAGTTGGATTTGGACAATTGGATTTGGACAATTGGATTTGGGCAATTAGATTTGGACAATTAGATTTGGACAATTAGATTTGGACAATTAGATTTGGACTTGGACTTGGACTTGGACTTGGACTTGGACTTGGACTTGGACTTGGACTTTCTAATGATAAATATTAACTTCTAGCGTGATTATCCTGGGAGGAAACGGAAGATAAAGCGTGACCTGAGATCAACAACCTGCAAGGAAATCAGAAATATTTAAAGTTCATTTTAAAATCTCAAAATAAAATTCGAAATCAAATTCGCCAAGCATGGAAAGGAACTCTCTTTTTTTAGCTAGGTATGCTTGAGTTTCAATTATTCTGGAGTTAAAAAAAAAAAATGTTGTGCAGTTATTGTTGTAAAAGACATTTATGACTCAGATTTATTCTATATTTTTTCATTTAACTTATTACTATGCCAAAATTCCCTCATTAGATCAGAGGCCCAACTTGGGGAGTGGGGGGGGGGGGACATGAGACTGGAATTTAGAGTGAAAATCTTGGAATTTTTAATATAGCTTAGATAGAGATGAAGTAATTTTCACAATAACTGTCTGTATTTAGGGAGGGTTGGTTTTGCCCCCCCCCCCCTCACAATAATGCCTCTGTATTAGATTAGTTAAAAAATATTTTTAAATTTCTGGTTGTTATTAGGGCACTGCTGGACTACACAAAAGATCAAAGAATTATGATAATTGAAATATCAACTGTACGCTGTGCAGTGCATTTAAAGCTGTACAGTGTTCACTGCACAATGCACATTCATCTATTTATATTACGATTTACGGGTGAATAATATCGAAAATTTATCTATCTGTCGTTACAGCACTTAAAACAGACTTATCTTTAGGGTAAATCCTGATCAAATTTTGATAAGAGCTTAATTATTAAAGCTTAAAGACTCCTTGAAGCCTAATTTAAAACTCATGAAAGCCCAATTAAAGACTAATTAAAGCCTGATAGAAGTATTATTAAAGACTGATTAAAGTCTGTTTGATCGAAATCAAGCTATTTAGCAATTTTCAAATCATTCAACTAAATTGATATTTCATTAAAAATTTCAATAGTTGATGTCTGATATATTTTTTTACATCGTTATCCTTATTTGATTACAGTTCATTATTTCTTTTTTTTACTAATTTGATACAATTTATGTCATTTAAAAATGTGAATATCCAAATTAACATTGTGATTATGCAAGAATAATTATTATATTTTCAGACAAATCAGTTAAATAATCAATTAATAAATGGCGGATATACTTGTGCGCAGGTTTCAGATCATTCAAGAACAGAGGATTCAAACTTTTCATCAACTTGGTAATCATTATTCATTTTAATAATAAAAACGATCACCCATCATTCTGTCGAATCATCAATAGCCATCCCATTTTTAAAGGGGGAGTATGCGTAATTTCAAGTGAGCCTCAATTTATAGAGTGGCAACGATTCACAATTGTGTCTCTAAAAGTTTTGTCTGATCAAGAGAGTTTTCTTTTCTATTGTATCTTTTAAGAAATATTCCTGCTTCACAAACAATATGGACGAAATCGTCATAATTAAACATTGCTAGGAAAACGACAACATCTTCAATAATATTGATCAGATTAATGTTTGAAAGGTACGGTTGCATTGTGAATGGGGCGTGCCCCACTTCTAAATGTAAGGTCACTTGAAGGTACAACCACTGTCCCATATGGCTGTAGGAACGTAGAGCGAGAGAGAGAATATTTCGCGGAATTCAAGTCCTTTTAAATAATCGCCTAGAATATCTCACGTTCACTTTTATTAAGTTTACTTACATGAGAACTTGGCCTTCAGTGTGCTTCTCTAAACAAGGTTGAAATGACATTGGTTGGAATTTGGTTCAATGGTTGTCCTTTGAAAAGTGTCCACTGTTCAGGTTTTAATAAGTTGTCATAACGCGGTCTAGTAATTCGAGAATAATTTTTCGTAGCTTTTCAACATGTTGTATCTTGGATTGTTCTTGATAAGAGTGAACAGTCCCTTAAATACAACGGGATATCAGGAGTCAGTACATCCCGAGCCGTAGCAGAGTAGACACAAGTCTCATGCACATTACCGCTCCGGGACCTGTGCTATACACAGCGCACAGACAGCATACAGAGGGACCCTTTTTGGACGAGCTATACTTGGAAGAAGATGAACCCTGCTTACATCAAGGAAGCTGCTTTAGACGTAGATGAAGTGGATCCTACAAATCTTGCTCCTCTTGTCAGTGGGAATGCTTCCGTTGTCACCGTTCCAGCCTCGGAGGATGAGAACGTAGTGGAGGATCTATGAGAGGACATTGATGAGGATGAGGAGATGCAAGATATCCTGGAGAAGACAAGAAGCTTGAGACCGAAGTCAGAGAACTCCGGAAAGAGATTATGTGCTCCTGTCCTCCATTCCTGAGGACGTTAACTCCCTTCAGTCTGCTGATGTCCCACAAGTTGATGTTTGGGACACAGGGAAGACTTGGGAACAAGAGTACAGGCTGTATCCTGACCCAACTATGAAAGAGGTCAGAGACAGGCTGTCTAATCAGGTTTGGAATCTGCTCCAGATTATGCAGGAGCGGGTTGACCAGCATACCTGTAATAATAAAGATATAAAGTTGATAGACGGACTGAAAGCTATATCAGTCATGCACTTTAGACTTGGTAACCTAACTGAGAAAGTGCTTAAACGTCAAGCTGAGAAACCTTAGGAATAGAAAGGGATCAAAGCTAATAACTGTACTAGTAAATATCTTTATGTGATGTTATATATGCATTTATAAATATGTAAATAAATGTAAATATGTTGTAAGAATGACTTTATTACTTTGGGTGGCAATAATTGCACGTGCATACAATTATATAAGGCTTACTCTGTATGTTGGAGATAGCTGAAGTATAATAATGTCAGGTTGCAAAGATATTGACGGCGCATGAGGGTTAGGCCCGAGTGATAGGAATAACCCGATCTGCAATGTCATCAGGTTACACAGATGATAGATAAAACAAGTAAGATAACTTGAAGTAAAATCTCATCAAAGTGCCAATTTAAGTTTGCTAATTTATTGCATAAGTTTAGTAGTGCGAGAATACTACAAACAGGTGTAGAGTTAATCAGCTTGAAGTGTTTTAATTTGATTTTATGTTATTGTTAATGTTTTTAATTTTGATTTCTTTGATTTTCAAATTGATTGATTCACACATTTTTTAATTGATTTAATCAAATCTCTGATTTCTGCAGATGAAGTTCACAAAGAGTTTCTACTGTTTGCTCCGAATTACGAAGATGGGTTTGATGGATTCAAAAAGAATGTTAGCGAGGTGAGCTTAATTTTGTATTGCAATGCAAAAATACAATTTTTTCAAAATGTGTCTATTTACTGTACTGCGTGTTTCCTAATCATTCTCCTAAATGTAAACGTAATTTTAAGTGGACCAAAATTTATGAAGTGTCTGATTCAGAACGGTCCCCTTTTTTAATAAGATATTGTCGTTTTTCTATTTGAGAACTTGTTAAATTTGACAAATTCCTACATTGTCTGCTGCATACATTTGGAAGTCTTTTTCTTAAAGAAACTACAATGAAAAGTAATCAGTATTAAAAATTTAGAATATTTTTATAATCTTTGATCAGAGAAGAGTTGAAAGAGTATTGTGAATTTGTTATCCCGTATGCCCATCTTTAAAAAGAATGTCAGTTAAAATTACGCCTATAGTCCCTTTATTGGTTCAAAAAGAGAAATATTTCAGGTGACAGACAAGTTCAAAGATATATCTAAAGAAATTATTGAAATCAAGAAAAAACTGGACACCCACCATTCAGATACTAACCTTGGAAACCTGATCGGCAGAGTGCAGGTACAGATTATAGAAATTAGTTGGTTGGTTGGTTGGTAAGTTCATTGGTTCATGGATTGGTTCATAGATTGGTTCATTGATTGACTGAGGTTTTGAATCAGCATTTTATTCTAATAATTTCAAGGAACTGGAAGAAAAGAAACTTCAAACTGTAGTTGATCTTCAGCTAGCGGTCCAGCAGGTCAGTTAGGAATAATAATTTAACTGAATTTTAAAATAATCATATTTTACATTAAGGCTTTGGATAATCCTGGAGATGATCTTTGTGAAAAAAATGCCCGGCTCATTAGGTAAAAAGATATTAACTGCATGGAGAATAATTTGCAGTGTTTTAAAATTAAAGATTTTGTTTATGGGCTCAGGGGGCAAAAAAAAGAGGTTCTTTTTACAGAAATACAGAATTTTCATAAAATTTAATTTGTTATTTCAAAATTGAATTTAACATCTAATTATCAGCAAACTATATTTTTATATATATGCAAATGCAAGGCCCTCAACTTAATGAGTTGGTTGAGCTCTCTGGTCCCTATTTCATTCCCCAATTGTCAGGGTTTGATGGAGCAGTGGTTAGCGTGTATGATTCGTAATCTAAGGAAAGCTATCTTAAAGATAGAAGGCAATATGTCATGGTTAATGATGTTTTATCCAGTTTTTTTACAACCTTGAATATTTCTGTTCCCCAGGGATCAATTTAAGGACCGCGACTTTTCTTGATTTTTATAAATGATATGTTTAAAAGCAATTTCCTGTTGAACTTTCTCTTTGCTGACTATACAACTGCTTTAAAAAAAGTATTATAGAACTTGGAAACTTTGTAAACCTTGAGGTTCAGGAACTGGGAATGATTCTGAGAGCCGATAAACTTGCAATTAATACAACCCTACCAAGACCTAAGCAAAAAAAAAGTTGAGGACTTCTAGTTTATTTTTAATTGCAATGATTTGAATTCTTTTCCCTATTGAAAGGATTAATAACAGTTCAAGGGTTCCGGCTTTTAAAATGATTGGCGTTTTTCTTGATGAAAACCTTAATTTTGAGTATCATATTAAACAAACTAGAAACAAGATCTCTAAGGCTCTATTCCCGATTAGTAAAGCTAAGCATGTATTGTCGTCTTCTGCCTTAAAGTCTCTCTATTATGCTCTAGTTCATCCACTTTTTCTATACTGCCTTCATATCTATTCATCTGCCTCATTAAAATCTTTAAACTCATTATTCTTTTTGCAAAGAAAGTGTGTAAGAATTATCTCAAAATCTAAATTCAACGCTCATACTGAGCCATTGTTTTACTCTTCTCAGATATTACCCATTCATGATTTAATCCTTCAGCAGAAACTTCTGTCAATGCATTCAATTGATTAAACATTATAGTCCAGTGTCTTTTGTAATTTTTTTTGTAAAAAACTCTGATTGACTGAAAATTTGTATACTTTGAGAAACTTATGATTATTAGATTATATATATATATATATATATAATACATATGTATTTATATTTGATGGTTATCATATTGCTACAGCTGAAGTTTGAAGAGGGTCAACCATGACCAAAAAAAATTTAACTTGAAACTGCACTATTTTTAGGGTAGGTCTAACAAAGTTGTGTGAGGATATCAATGAGTTATTAACTGAGATTAGATATGAAGCTGTTGACATAGATCCACCAGCATAGAACATATTTTCAACATCTGGAACTGTTGACATAGATCAACCAGCATAGAACATATTTTCTACATCTGGAACCGTTGACATAGATCAAGCAGCATTGAACATATTTTTTTCATCTGGAACTATTGTCATATATTCACCAGCATAGAACATTTTTTTAATGATGGGACTAAAGCGTTAAACACCCCTGGAACCGTTGACATAGATCAAGCAGCATAGAACATATTTTTTTCATCTGGAACTATTGTCATAAATTCACCAGCATAGAACATTTTGTTAATGATGGGACTAAAGCGTTTAACACCCCTGTAATCAAGAATACAACATTTGTAAATTATTAAACAAACAATGTGATTAAATACCGTTTTTAGTTTATATTCAAAATACAAACATCAAGTACTCTTTGTGTACCACAGTTTTCGTTGGTAAATACCAATAAATTGTTTCAGATCAAACTAAAATGTAAGAAAAGACCGTGGTACTGAAGACCAAAAGGAAGACCAGATTTGTTGAATTTAACATGGCGGATAAAAGTAACAGATCAGCTGATTGCTGATTATAACATGGCGGATAAAAGTAACAGATCAGCTGATTGCTGAACAAAACATGGCGGATAAAAGTAACATATCAGCTGATTGCTTAATTTAACATCGGATAAAAGTAACAGATCAACTGATTGCTGAATATATCATGGAGGATAACACTAGCAGATCAGATAATGCGTCTGATCTGAATGATATGGAGAGAACAAAAGCAAAATGGTTGACAGAACAGGAGTTTATAAAGGTTGGACATATGAAACTGAATTTTTAACGGTTCGTATTTTAAAAGTAAATTTAAAGCAGGAAATTCTATTGTTAATCCTCTCCAAACAAAAGCCAAAATTCTCTGTTACAAGGAATTCCGATAAACCAGTCTAATTATATTATAGAAATATAAACGAATTATGTTCGATTAAAGAGATCCACTATTTAAAGAGGTCGAACCCAAATACCAAAGGTACTCTTTTAAATTTAATCTGAACAATGACGTGGAAGATTTCGTCGTTTTTCTAGTTTGATAAGTGTCACAAAATTAAGCCCTTTTGTTCCTTTAAGCAAAAATGCGCAAGAATTTTGTTGAGAAAAACCCCAATTTAAAGTAATTAAAATTCAAAAAGAGAAACCATGATAGCATGTTCAATCTTTGATCAGATAAAGTTTAGAAGGGTACCGTTGTGAATTGGAATAAATTAAAGGATTACTGGAGGCTGTACGAATACAGTATTAGAATATCAAAGCTTTCCTGCTACAGTAGTTATACAGAAAAATATTTATATTTTATTTGATTTAATTTGATGTCTTTTTTACAATGGGACCATTTAAACCTTAATCTACACAACAATGAGAAATTGTAATTTTATTAAGAACCGCCATTTATTTTAAATAATTAGTTCTAGACAGAAAAAGAGGAATAATTCATATCACACGAATGTTTAAGATGAAAATGAATTCTTAGTTAACAAAATATTCTCCAATTATTTTTTAATTTATTGTTTTTAAAAATGTGAATAAGAAAAATTACTTCTATCTAGTCGAAAGTCGTTACTCTGGATGACAGGGATTGGGATTCTAGAATGGAAACTATATTAGTTGGAGGTCTTGACATTTCATTCATAGGTAAAAATATTAAATTAAAGGAAAATTCTCGATTTTAAAAAGGGATACATATCAATTTTTGGGAAAGAATCGTTGGGAATGTGATAAGCAATATTTAACAAATCTATAAGTTTTTCGGTAGATTTTTATTATATTAAAAGTTTTTAATTTTTAACTGGATTCACATAAAAATGGTATTATTCTGGATCAACATCATGCATTAATCTTTTGATGTTTATTTATTTATTTATTTATTTGTTTGTTTATTATTCATTTACTTACTTATTTATTTATTCATTTATTTATTAACCTTAACACAACAAAACTAATCTTTAGTTTACGATCAGCTAAGAATTTAAAGTTAAACTTTTGAATCTTGATAATAAGTAAAAATACCATTCTAGAATTCCATATTTATAATAGTTGGTGATGACGTAAATGCCTGTGCTTGTTATGTTGTTGTAAACAAGAAACTGGAAGTAGTTTATCAGAAAACCAAAATGGTTCAGGAAAGTTCATCATCCGATTTAGAACTTAATTTAAGATGCCTTTAATTGAGGGCAAGAAACTAGGAAATTTTTAACCTTCTTGCATCTTATTTTTGACCGAGATTAGAATATTTGGGTAAAGTTGCATCGTATACGTCTATAGGCAATATCTTCTCTAGTGAACTTTTGACCTGCATAAAGGTACTTTTTTGGACTTAGGAAAAAACAAACTAATGCAATTTGTATAGGTGGGTCTGTTAAATCGTCTGTTTCAACCAGCCCTGATGTATTTTTTACCCATCTGGAAGCAATCGAAAATTTGATAAATATTGAGTTTCCAGGTGTTTCATGGCAAAGCACTGGCTCATTTATAACATAATTTTTACAAAATTGTTTTGTTTATTATTGTTTTTTTTGTTGGTTCTTTTTGATATTTTATATTTTGAATTTTTTTCTCAGATTATATATTCCATATGAAGTATGAGACACGTAAAACCTAGGATGATCATTTTAGGAAAGTATTGAGAGTCTTCTGAGTGTTTCTTTGATTGAGCCATTCGTTAGCTATGATAAGCCGGGAGGTGCCGACCATAGCACTAACGATCGGGATGTGCATCTTCGAGCAAACTCTGTCCTTTTTACAGGATTGAATCCTGGGTACTTTTACGTTAAGTAAAAGGTTTTTCAAAAAATATTCCTACCATACTGCAATATCCGACATCTGTCTTTTTATTTTTGTTAAGGGTAAGGTTAAGTTAAGACAATTTCTGGGCCAAGTGCTGCCTACGAATAAAACAGGCTAGGTGGCGGAGTGTCGCGGCTAGGGGGCCTGTCCTACTAGCCAATGCAATAACCACATAGTAGGTCAGAAATGTAGATAGTGGATGTGCGAAGGTCGAAAGGTATACAATCTAATATTTGTCTCGATTATTCATAGCTTCAACCATAATTAGATCATAAGATTCGGGTCACATGTATTCTCAGTTTGATTTTTGGTAAATAAAAATGATAAATTTGTGATTAGATGACCGCTCCTTATATACCTGGATTCCTGGCCTTTAGAGAAGCAAACTTTCTCTGTGATTTAGGTGAATAGTAAAATAGAAAGTAGAAAGACGGAATTAATTATAATTTTAGTTCAGGAACAGGAATTAGAAAATCCGGAAGTGAGTCCTGATTTACTGATGTTAGATGGGAATGGAATATTGCATCCGAACCGGGCAGGAATTGCTTCACACCTAGGAATAGGATTATTTCAATTATTCAATTAGATGTTTTTACAGATTGTCTTTTTCATTATCGTTATGTTAGTATTGGAGTGAAGGAAAAACTGCAAAAAATAAACGTTCAAATTTTTTTCGTGATAGTTTTTAAAATGAAATAATTTTCGAAAGAAAAATATTTTTAGGTGTACTCTTAGGGAAACCTTGCATTGGTGTAGCAAAGGAACAGATAAATATATAGTTAATATTGGGAATAAGTTAATTTCAGTTACATGATTTTTCAATTTCAAAATTGTTAAAATATGTCAGATGGCGCCAACAATTGCAATTTGCAAAAAATTCGTTTCCGCACCAAAAATACACAAAAGAACAAAAATAAATTTAAGCCTAATTGGAGTTGATGAAAAAATCAAATGCATTTTTTTTCACAAAAATCTGGCCCTATGAAAAAAATAAAATTTCCCGATATCCCAAAAAACGTTTTGAAAAAAAACTTCATTTATCAATTAACTACACAAAAAATTGAATTAAAGAAACTATTTCCAAGTACCCAAATTATATGTTCATGGCGCTTTGTATTGTGGCTTAAAGGTTGAGCATTTTCTCCCTGTAAAATATAAAAAATGACAAAAAAGTTCGCGGATTTCATAATTTTTTTCAATGGAAAAAAATAACGAAAATCAAATTTGTTTTGTAGACAAATTTTCGAAATTCTGAGCATCCCTGGGGGTTATGTAAATTGCCTCAAAAATGTTGGGCCTGATCTTTCGGTCGTTCATACACAAACAAACAGACAGACCGACAGACAAGCAAAGTATAAAAATAGATTACTCAGCTTGAATGTTGTATTTTTTTCTCATAAATGTTTAAATCTGTAAACTATAGAACCTTCATAAACTACCAGAGCTGGAGCATGTGACCAATGAAACATTAGCAAAGAAACTTAACAAAAAGGTGACGTATCCAATTGTTTGTCCCTAGCTGAAAACTTTAGAATTGTAGATTAAGACATGGAGATCAATGCTTGATATATATAACTCAACCAAATGAGTTTGAAGAAACCGGAACAGCCAATGAGAGAAGCTAGGAAATTTCAAATTTTACGCCCCATTTAATGATTGGACTCTCATTTGTCAAACCAAGGACGGATATACAAAAAGAAAGAAAACAGCGGATTAAAGAGGAAAATAAAAGTGTCCACATTGGATATTTAGATAATATAATCAGGATTAGTATCTAATTCTTAAGTTTTCAGCTAAGGATTTATTAAAAGATATATTTTAAAAACAAATACTTATTTCTAAGAGTTTTCAACTTGAACGATTTTGATCCCAAAGCCGCAGTGTTCAACCCGGGAATTGTCTTAGTCTTACCTTTCTGACATGCCGGGAGATGGGTACCTTATTCTCATATTAGAATCAAATTGATAGCATTCAATCTGATTAAAATTATTTTTTTATTGATACATAACAAACACAGCACAAATAATATTCATAAATACATAACATTGCTCTTGGGGGGGGGGGGGGGGCATCTCTAAAAAATAAATGTGGAACTACTTTTTTAACACTACAGAGGTTTGGTCCATCACCATCACAAACATTTGGGTAAAGGAAGCTTAAAATAAATTATATATTGAGATTCTTAACAGTTAAAGATATAATAAACATTTATCCAATTTTGTTGTGTGTATATACAAGAGAAAAATGTTCAAGATTGCTTAGTGAATTCAGCAGAGATTTGAAAAACTTGATTTTCTTTTTAGGCCCTACATGAAATATTTTCCACTGTCTGTTACTGAATCTGTTACTGTACCATCATAGGTTAACACCAAATGCTTATTTTTTTAGATCAAGTCCAAAAACCCTGAAGACCCTATTTTAGACTAGTAAGTGTAACCTCCCCCCTAGATGATACACCATGTACTATTTTACTATTTACAATTTACAATTTACAAAGGAGTTTACAATTTACGATTTAAAAATTATTTCAGTCAATATTATAATATTCTCATTGTAAAGTTATGCATTTACAGTGTACAATTTACAGTTTACAAATTAGTTAAGTCAATAATATAATAATGCAATTATACACTTATTCATTTACAATTTACAAATTAGTTTAGTCAATATTAAAATATTTCCATTATATGTTATGCGCTTACAATTTACAATCCACAATCCACAATTTACAATTTACATTTCACAATTTACATTTCACAATTTAAAATTTACAAATTAGTTTAGTAGATATTAAAATATTTTCATTATATGTTATGCATTTACAATTCACAAATTACAATTTACAGTTATAGAGTATACAGAGTATACAGTTTACAGTTTTTAAATTTTGGTACTATCCGAGTGAATACTTCTGTTTCAGCCAATACGATGATTTGCTCAAATTTTTGCAGTCAAGCTCAAACAAATACCTTAGGATCTTTTATCTCAATTTTTAGAACAAAACATATTCTGTACACAATTTGGTGTCATAAAATGTCAAATAGCCCTTTTGGGGATTTTTAAAAATGGTGCCTGCTCATGACCTAAAAAGTCAGAATTTAAAATTTGAGAAGAATCTATTTTTTGTCAAAGGTTGTTTAAAAAATTGAACTTTGAATCGGTGATTCAAGGTTTGAGCCAGTGAGCACTTAAGAAGTAGTTGAATTTGGGGCGGCAGAATATGTAGTTCAACAATCTCTCTCCAATTCATTTAATTTTGACACTTGTTTGTTAACAGCAGCAATTACAAGCATAATTTATGTTGAAGAAAAGATAAATGTTTTTTCTATTTGTAGTGATTATTTTTCCTTGGTTCTCTCAAATGTTGCTATGACATGTATAAAAGACGTTTTTCGTAATTATCCTGAAGCTTATCATGTATAATTATAAGGTTCTTTCAGCTATATATGCCAATTTTACTATTCAATCCATGATAACAAGCAACAAGCTTATTTTAATCACTGAAGTTGGCACATATCTCAAACATTTTTAAAATCTAGATATTTATTTACGTATCATGGTTATTATAGTTTACAAGATTAATTGTACAAAAATATCAACATATATTAAACAATTGTGTTACGATAATAATGTGTACATATATTTAAATTTGATGAATCATACGGATACATTTTATCATTTTCATTTTTTCCATTAATTGGAAATTCGGATTTGTCCTGCAAGACAAACAGAATGAGGAATGTAGAGAATAAATTGCTTTTATTTAGTCTTTGACTAGGATTTATTTTTAAAATTCATCTGCATAATATTGGAGCATTTAATGAGAACAATCTGATGGGCATGCATTAAAAAGTTTTTATGCAACAATGGTATAATGTCAAGGAAAGTAATATGGGAAACAAACTACGATTGTACTGACGGTGAACATTGAAAGTTCGTCGTCAGTCTTACACTAGTTGAACTATATCGTCTTGATGCTAAATAGCAGACGTAATTGTGTAAAACAATATATTTGGGATACATACTGGCGAGGAACATTGATGGTTCCTTCCTGCATGTTCTTTTCTTTATGTAGTTAATAATATACACGGTCTACGTGGCCATAGCAGGCACCGAAATTTAGAAGTGTTAAATTTGAAAAAGTTTGCTGTAGAAACGTTTAATTTCAAATGGAACAAGGACGCATTAAACTTAAGGATTAGACTCATGTAGAACATTGGTTCTACATTACTGACTAGAACTTTGGAAAGAGATTCATTTCTCTTAAATAGTCAAGGTATAGCCAAATGATGCACAGTTATATTGTGCAGGGGTTTAGAGATATTGATGTAGCGTATTTGTCTCGTCTTCTTGAGACATCATGATTTCCAGGCGATGAGGTTTAACGGTTCAGGAGACGTTTCTGCTTCCACAGACTGAATCAGTAAAAAAGAGCATTAGTTTATTGTGAAATAAGATTCAAGGCTTGGGAAAAGATTCAGATTTTAAACCGGAGTCCTCATAATTTTATGGATTGGTAGAGATTTATTTAGTAAGACATTTAAAATATAGAGACTCGGCTTTACTGAGAGTTTTTATTCCTGTATTCTTTAATTAACCTTACGGACACAAAAAAAATCTCATTTTTGTACGAGTTGGTATTACATGCTTGCAGTAGCAAGGTTTTATGTCCGAAAGATTAAATTAAAGGGTAGCAGGTGAAGTGAAAATCTTAAACCTTAGAAGACTGACATTCCATTCTCAACGTTTAAATTTTGTTAAAAATGAGTTTTAAAAATGAGTGCCTTAGTTTTCGTGCAAGAAGGTTTTGACTTTAGTTCTTGCTTGCAGTTGCATAGTTTTATGTCCGAAGTATTAATTTAAGGGTTAAGAGGTGACAAGAAAGTTTTTAAACTTAGACAACTGATTTTGCATGCTCAAGGTTTATAATTTTATTTAGAAATGTGATCTAATATCGTGTACATTAGGTTTCGACCTTAACATTCCAAAAAAGATCCATGTTCACGCTCCTGCTATCTGTGTATAGAAGGTTAAAAAATCATTGGTAATGAAGGAAATCTGCCACTCATCACGGGACTTATGCAAAGGGTATTTAGTTTAAAGTTGGAAATTTTAAGTACATTTAGTTACTTGTCCATAAACTTAAAGAATTTTTAATTTGAGGAAAGAAATTCTTGATTCCAAAGATGATACTGTAGATTCCAAAGATGATACTGTAGATTCCAAAGATGATACTGTAGATTCCAAAGGTGATACTGTAGATTCCAAAGATGATACTGTAGATTCCAATGATGATACTGTAGATTCCAAAGATGATACTGTAAATTCTCGATCAAATATGTATTTTTGTCTCAGGGAGATATCTACATGTTGAGCTCAGTGGAGGGTGAGATACTAGGCGCTGCGGTTAGAACAGGAGAAACCTGTGTGAACCCTGTATTCGTATCGGTAGGGTCAGGAATATCCCTAGACTCTGCCGTTAAACTCACTCTAACCCTATCCAAGTACAGGTATAGTACTGCATATATTAAATACGGCTTGCTCCTTATTTTTTCTACATAAATCATTTACTCCCCAGTAAATTTAAATTTTTATCTGTCTGTGAGGAATGTGTACAATTTTGTAATTTCCTTCCCTGAATTAGGGAAAGTTCAAAATTTGAGAGGAAAATATACGTTTTTTAGGTACAAATTACCATAAAGAGCAGGGGAAAAATGCCAGTGGATATCCGATTTGTTCCAAAGCATCAAAAATCAATTTCAATTTGGTGAAAATTATCGATTTAGAATGAATTTATTATTAAATTGTTTAGAATTCCTGAGCCCACAAGACAAGCGGATATGATTTCAAGGTAGATTTTTAAAAATAAACGGCAAAACAATTAGTTAAAATCAGTAAAATAAAAGTGGTTGATAGAAAAAAAATTAAGTATTTTCTTGTTATTTTATCAAGTTTAAAAATAAATTCATAAATAAATAAAAGTCGCTACAAATACGTTAACTTTTGACACGAGTTTTTTTTTATAATCAGGCCGACCAATTGATAAATCATATAAATAATTCTATCATATTTGTTTAAAGAGAGTTTCTTCGAGTACACTATCCAACAGAACGACAGCTACAGCCAACCAAGAAACACAAAGAGGTTAAGTTTGAAATATTAACACTGTCTCCAACAAGTACAAATAAGATCTATTTTTAGGGAGGCCGGAAATCGACGAAGCGTGGATCAACAAACGAGTAAAACACCAGAAAAATCATTTAGTCTGAAGTTTAAGAATATAAAAGTTGTTAAAATGTTTTTTCTTAGGCCTAGCGCTAGATATCAGAATTAGTAAACATAAATTATTTAATTTGATATTTATTGAAAACAAATTGTAATTGATAAATGGATATTAACTATATTGTTATTTATAAGTTAAACTTGCATGATTCACACAAAAAGTAACAGAATCGAATATTTTCAGAGGATAATGGATGAAAATATTAAAAATATTGAGGATATTACAAAAACTAAGAAGTCTGTTGAAGACAAAGTTGAGAAACTAGAGAAGAAGATCAAGCTTCCGCAAGAGAAGAAGAAGAAGATTAAGAGTGTAAACCATGTTCTTCAGCCTCTTGATCCTCTACCCCTCCTGGAGTATGATCAGCCTCATCTTAGAGAAGAACTTGTCAAACTTCTAGGTGAGGGAAGTTCTTAACTTGTGGGGAATCTTGATAACTCTCAGGAAATAGAAATAAAATGCCAGCTCTGAACTTGAATGGATTAAAGACTATTATGAATGAAATATTTTGAAGATCAAGGAATTATTTTAAACTTCGAATTCTGTTGGATGAAATAATCAAAGTTTGAAATATCAAAAAGACTTTTTTATTGAAAAAATTACTCTTAATTGATAAAGATTAATTATGCGATTAGCAATCCTTGGATGTTAGGTATTCTAAAGTGGGGCATGGCTCAAATTTGGCCGTGTGGCTGGGCGCTTCGGAAATGCAAAGTAAAAAAAAAAATTTATCGCAAATGCAAAGTAAAAAAAAAACTATCGCAAATGCAAAGAAAAAAAAATAAATTTATCGGAAATGCAAAGTAAAAAAGTATATTTATCTTTTAAACAGAAGGCCAGGGGCTGAAAAACCAGGAATGGGGAGTACTTGATACTCCAATCCACTACTGGAGTCCTAGACCATCCCTACAACTTATGATTTGATTTGATTTGATTTGCACTCAAAAAAACATTTTTTGGGAAAAATTTTTTTTTTAAATGTTAAAGATTAATTGGTTGCAATATCAAATTCGTCCATCAGGGTGGGCTTCTCTTGAAGATAGAATGAGTCTTATTCCGTTGATTCAATTCTTCCCAGCTTTATTATATTTATTTTTACAAAAATGTTAAATATTAGGAATAACCTGTATAAAGAAGAAGAGTTTGAATTCCAAAATAGAATTATCAAAGCAGCTGAGTCGGGCAGAACGAAGACGACTTCTCAGAGAAAACAGAGACTTCAGAAGAACCATTCTGAGCAAGTAACGTTTTATTGTTAAACTTTTTAAAGGGACTGTACCCTGCATGTATAGAGTATGATCTATACACAAAGAATTTCGAAAAAGTTCTGAAAATCTTCTTCATTGTACCTGCAATACATTATCCACTGTTATTGAGAATACACAATTGAAAATGATCAACTATAAGTTAGAAAATTAAAGATATCTGGTTTACACAGGTTTAAAGAGTGCCCTTTAATATTTTCGAATACATATCTTTTTGTTTAAATACCAGCTACATATTTTTTAATTTTTAAAAACAACTTATACTTTAATGTCTTAGGGAACCCGGTATGAGAATAAACCTAAGAAAATATCTTCTAATAGGATTAAATTCAGTTCAGCAAGCTTTACAAGAAGATAGACTTCAGTAAGCATTTTTTTTAACCCTATAATCCTAGTTTCTAAAACTAGATAGTATCCTAGCCAAAAAAATCGCATTGTGCATATCAGATCAAAAATATTTTTACGTGATAGGATTTTACATAAGACTTTAGTATGGATTTTAGTTAAAAAAATTTCTTTTAGAACTCTTGCTAAAGAACAAAACAAACATATATTTTCTTGAAATTCAGTATTCTAACAATTTTTCTTTTGATCATGTATAAATGATGGATTAGGCAACACCAATACTAAAAGTTAAAAATTTGAAACTTCTTTATTTTGAGATCTAACGTTTTGGCTGAATAACCTTGGACCAAATAAAATGAGAAGCGTTGATCGACGCTGAAGTGGGTTAACAGTTTCTTTTATGCTTAAACCGGCGCACAAGAGAAGTGGTTGAAATCCTTTTAACTGTCATTTATATTCAGTTTCTGTTTCCTTGATCCAGTTTTCCGAGAAATCTAATCCTTTATCCCTATTTCAGGTTCTGTTTCCTTGATCCAGTTTTTCCAAGAAACTTGATCTTTGATTCCTATTTCAGGTTGGGTTTCCTTGATCCAGTTTCTCCAATAACCTGATCTTTGATTCCTATTTCCGGTTCTGTTTCATTGATCCAGTTTCTCCTAAAAACTGATCTTTGATCTTTTTCAGGTTGGTTTCCTTGATCCAGTTTCCCAAAGAAACCTGGTCTCTGATCCCTTTTTCAGGTTTTTTCTGTTTCATTGATCCGTTTCTCCAAGGACCTAACCCTATTTCAGGTTCTGTTTCATTGATCCAGTTTCTCCAAAAACTGATCCCTAAACCTTTTCAGGTTCTGTTTCTTTGATCCAGTTTCCCAAAGAAACCTAGACTCTAATCCCTCTATCAGGTTTTTTTTCTGTTTGATCCAGTTCAGAACCTAAACCTTAATCTCTATTCAGGTTCTGCTTCCTTGATCCAGTTTCTCCAAGGAACCTGAACCTTAATCTCTATTTCAGGTTCTGCTTCCTTGATCCAGTTTCCCCAAGGAACCTGAACCTTAATCTCTATTTCAGGTTCTGCTTCCTTGATCCATTTTCTCCAAGGAACTTGATCCTTAATTCCTATTTCAGGTTCTGTTTCCTTGATCCAGTATCTCCTAAGAACTTGATTATTAATCTCCTTCCTCAGATGCGGAGCAGAGGAATTCCTGTTCTAGGGATTCAGCAACTTAAAGATCTAACAAAAACTCATATTGGATTCAAAGGTAGATCATTCTATTATCTAGTACAGAAAACCTTTTCATATTGAAAACCTAAAAAGAATAGAGAGTTGGGTTTTCCAACGATCTAAAGTATTTTATCAAAGTAAATCCCTTATTTTGAATTAAAATCATTTAATGTATTTTTAACCCGCCCTGCTTCTTTAACGCTTTTTATGCTAAAACTCAGTGCCAGTGGTAAATTTTCTATCCATATTATTATACATTTTTTTCAGCGATGATTGTCGGAGTTTCATCAAACAAAGAGGAGGATTTAATGCCTCTCGTGAATGCAGGTTACAAAAAAAAATTGTATTTTTTTTTAAATTATTAATCATGTTATTAAAGATACTGTAATTTCAAGGGACCATCTAAATAGTTAGAAGCCAGAGACCCTTCATACATAAACCTTCATATCAGGAATAATCAGCAAATTATCACCGTTTTTCTAATTGTAAATGCAGGGTCACTTGAAATTAAGTTGATAGTCCTTTTAACTCAATTTAACAGTATTTATTATTTAGTGTTAACAGCTGTAGATGATACCAAGAGAATTGCGAAACCTGAACCAATAACTGAAGAGGCTCCTGAGAATAAAAATAAAATTGATCAATCTGAACTCTCCGAAGAAATGAATATATCAACTAGAGATCCCATGCTTGTACAGAATATCATATCTTGATGATGATATTTATATCAAATCACTAATTGTACTTAAGTACATTTTTTACAGACGATAGAGAAAAATGGGTGAACTGCTGAATTTATCAGATGAAATTTTAGTTCACATCCTGGCGTATTTGTGTAGTGTAGACCTTATTCAGCTGTACAAAGGAAATCAGTAAACATATGCTATTCCTCATTAATTCGGTTTGATCGATAATCAAACCATTTTGAGGCATTTTAGTGGACAAAAGCTTTTATAGTTTTTCTTAGTGAGTCCCAGATATATGATTACATAGCAAGAGTTTTATATAATGTCGTATTCTCAACATATTTAAGATCAAATGCCGCGGAAAAACGAGTTTACTATATCGATTGCTGCCCTGCCTATTTCAGGGCTATTAATTTACCTTGAATTAAAAATAAAAAGCAGTTTCTTAAGAATTATCAAAAAACGTATGACTATAATGATATTTGGATATATTTTCATTAATCGTGGAACATCTCATTTCAGCAGACCAATGATGAAGCATAACAGCTGTCATAAATTTTGAATAAATTTCAAGACGACATTTTATGCGCTCTTGCTATGTATTCTTATATGTGAGTTTGGCTGTACCTTGGCTTGTACGTCAGAGGAAGTTATTACATTTTTGGGAGGGATGCGGTATTTAACACACTATTTGAGATTAATTTTAACTAGCCACCTGAAAAGTGTGTTATGTATCATGTCTAAGGATGGCTTAGTGGAAATGACAAGGAAAGCCCCCCCCCCCCCCACCCTTGTTATTTTTATAGAAAAACTTGCTTTAAATCTAATTCTGAATTTGTTCAGTTTAACTTGATTTAATTGTGCAGTGAATAAACGGATATGGAATTTATCTCGAGATAAAACCCTGAGTAGAAGGTTAAACTTCAGGTAAATTTCATTAGTTAACAAAAAAGCTACTCTGCAACCGAGAATTTATCTAATTTTAACCAAGTTTAACGATAGAATTTAAAATGAATTAACTTATTTTTGTCTTTTCGATAAACTATGGCATTATCAGTCGTTTCGTCCTGTAATAGATACCAACAGGATCATATCTATGGCAGAATGATGGTTGCGGATAATTTTGAATCCTATTCTAAAATTAAGACTCTTTCGGTTGGGTTTTCTCCCAAAACTAGGTTTTTGGTTTGGTAGAGGAGTTTGCGGTGTTTACTATTAACCCAGTTAAAGGGACTGTTTGTAATTTCATGTGACCCTCTGCAATGTCCGATTTACAACGGTACCCTTGAGACCTTAATCTGAATGAAGATAACGTTGTTTTTCTGACTTAAAAAGTGTTCATTTCTAATAATTGCTCCATTGCATCTTAAAAGCCAAAAATGCCCATGTGACATTTCATTTTCGCTGATAAACCACAAATGAAGAAAAAACAGTTTTTTATCCTAAGGCCCAATTCCCTATATCTTTGCAACCTAACGGTGTAAAACCTATTAAAAAGAAAAAACGTGGATATCTAATTCATTCTTAACCAGACAAGGCTTTTAAGGGTACTTTAGTAAATCGGGCATGGAGGAGCACTTAAAACTACGGTCCCTTTAAACACAGTCATTAAAAATATGCGGATCCATAAGGCATCTAGGGATTTGGATTCAAGTGAAAGAATATCAAATAAAACAGAAATAGAAAAGGAAAAATTGCGCATTAAGATCAGAAAAATAAAAAACGTTAAAAGAAAAAAAATCGAAAAATGGTAGTAAAATAAGGTAGCTAAAGAAACATGCATTGACTGATAACGGATCCATTTGCATCAAAGTATATCCCAATCCCATGAGTACTGGGTATTTATTAGGTGTCAGGTCATTTCTTAGATGAACATTTCATATATAACAAAATCGTTGATAGGAAATTTTAAACACAGGACTTTTCATAGAAAAATATATTCATAGATAGAACATAGGACATTTCATAGACAGAGTAGATTTTTCAGATAAGAATTTTTATAGATAGGTAAATTCAAAGACACAAGCACTTTTTTCAGATACAGTTTTGGATTTGTAAAAAATGTGATCAGTTTGACTAACAAAAAATCAACAATATGATATATTATCAGTTAAAAAGCAAAAATACAAAAAATATGTCAAGTAAAATGAGAGAGATTGCAAAAAAACAGAGTATGGTTTATTTTATAAGATTATTTGGAATAAAAAGATGAATTTTTCTTTGAAAAATATTATCTGTCTATGAAATGACCTATCAATGAATTGTTCTGTATATGAAATGTCCTGTCTTGTCTATTAAATGTCCTGTTTTGTCTATGAAATGTTCGTCTTGTCTATGAAATGTCCTGTCTTGTCTATAAAAATGACCCAACACTCTGGACTAACCTTAATCATTGCATGGTTCTATTGAGGGGGGGAAGGCAAGCCGCAACCATATAGCCTCCATCCCGCAATTGCTTACAAACATAGACTTGCGGCAACGCGCTCAGCTGTAGCGCTTTCTTAGCCGCACCTATATATCTTATTTATTTTGTCTAGCATGCTTATTGAAATAGTATTTGCATGTAAGATTCTTGTAAATCATTTTTTTAAACTTTAAATGTTTAAAAACAGGCCTCAAAACGTAATCAGTATGTATAATACGTCTTTTTGTCGTCACAAAATCTTTAGGTTTCGCCCTACATACACCCCCTCTCCAAACAGCCCTTATTGTTCAGATTTATTTTAGAAGAGAGGCAAGGTTTGATCTGAAAGATTTTAAGAAGTACCTTTCTAACCCAGGTTAAACCAGAAAAAGACGCTCAATTTAATTTTTTACATTTTTTAATAGATATTCATTATTGATGCAGGTTAAATAAAGATCATTATTAAACTAGATAAGAGTATTACAAGTTAAGTTTTGATTTCTCATCTTTTTAAATCGTAATATGTAGGTATTCATGCAGTTAATTATCTCTCCTCAAAGAGTGCCTACAAGAAAAATAGTATTTTTCTCAATTTTAATGGTATAAAATGGTGGACTAAATTTTTGAATTCCCAAGACAATTAGATGATAGTTCCCATTTCTTCCCTTAATTCCCATGTTAATTGTTTTTTTGCTTAGTTATAATTTTGTGAAGTCTGGAAAATAAAACCTTATCAAAAAAGATTTAAGGGTTAGATACCATTGTAAATAAAAACGACCTTATTTAACAATGGACACTCTATATCCTCATATGGCTCCACAGCTTATTTTTAAGAATAATATTGCTGCTAACTAAATATAAAGGACTCCTAAAGTTGAAAACTCGAATTAGAATTGCATTTTTTCGCTTCATACAATTAATATTGCATAAAAGACCTGTTGGAGTGCATCCAGAATATCTAACTTCTAATATAACCTTGCGATGAATTGAGCATTCTGGTTTCCCTCAGTTTTTGAGAATATTGAGGCTTTGAACTTGAATTCTATTTACTGGATACCAGCTCGGGAATTCAGGTATTTAAAGGGTCTGTAATTTTGTAATTTTAAGTGATTTCAATCTTCATTTGAAGAGGAGCAAACCTTTAACCCTTTATTTGATCTAGAAAGTAGAAGATATCGTCATTTTTCTAGATTGAAAAACCATAACAATTTCATCCCATTGTTTCGTCCGAAGAAATGTGCAATTCACTTTTATAAAGAAACCACAATTTGTAAGTGAATTTTCAAAAAGATGATTATGGATAAATCACTCATTCTTGATCAGACAAAGCTTTAAAGTGTGGTGTTGTAAATTGGACCTCTCACGTTTTGTTTACCGAAGAGCCACTGGAAATTAAGGCTACAGTCCCTTTATTTTCATTTAATAAATTTAATAAATGTGTAAAACAAAAAAAATATAGTTTTTTTCGTATTTCGTATAATTGTTTTTTCCCAAATCTGTTAATATCTCATTTAAAGGGGTAACCAGTTGTTTCAGTCAGTAGAAGAAACGTTTTTTACAATTATTTAATAACCCGGACAAACCATGTAAAAAAGATATTTTATATACAAACATGCTATTTAGGAACATATTTCTTAAAAGAAATTATCAATGAAAAACATAGTGGAACCGTAGAATTTCCTAAAAATGTTGTCTTCACAATTAATTTAAAGAACATTTTTGCTGAAAAAATTAGCATAAACCTGCAAGATTTAAAAATGAATTTTATTTTAAATTATATAATTTCATTATTTTTTTCAACCTGTTTGTATACATGTTAATAGTTTGCATAATGGTTTTTGTTGCATGTTTTGTCCATGTTGATGAAGAATTGTAAAAAAAACGTTTCTTCGTTGACTGAAACAACAGATGAAATATTACAAATGACTTAACGCTCTTATTAAAAAATTGTACACCGTACAAAAGTCTCATTTTGATACCTAATCCTAAATTATTTCTCTACAATACTGCACTTTCAGCTCAGCTACCATGTCTAGCCGTGGTCCCTCTTTAAGTAGAAAACTAAATTTAATCTTTTAGATCGTTAAATTTAATGAGTTATAAGTCGTCATTGAAGTACCATCATTTGTGGGTAACCCTGTATTAAAACCTAGGATTTGTGAACTTTATTTTGTAAATATGTTTTTAGGTTCTTGATAAAATGTAAGAAGTTGAAATGTTTACATATTGCTGACACGAAACTATTAAGCCAGGATGTTCTAGCGTTCTTGGCAGAATTACCTCTTCTAGGAAATTTGGCTTTTTCATTTTTTTAAATCAAATCAAACCCAGAGATCTAGACATTTATGATAATAAAGCATACTTTTTTATTCTTAGTTGACTTTGACGTATCACAACTCATTGATCTTTGATTTTTTTTTTTTTTTTTTTTGTAGCCATAGACTACATTTTTGAAATACGACACGCTCGTTTCTTGCTTCAAAACAAGTAATTGTTAAAATTCTGAAATATATTTGTGTGAGTGCGTTTACTTTTTATTTAACTGTGCTACCTAACCAACTTTAAACTTGTAAACATAGGAATCGTGTTTTTTGTTTTTTGTATATTTTTTCATTTTTTAACATGGATATGGTTATGGACTCTCATCCATCAATTTGATTTTTCTTCAACATTTTTTGGACTGAAAGTTTTAATTTATGTTTTAAATCAGTCTAGACAAAATGTATAATTGATTTGTTTTCCTTTTTATCTAATTTTTAATTGTTTCCCCGCTATAAACTAATTAAGGACTGATTTAAAGAGAATATTTCCTTTTCTTGGAATCTTGCAACTCCAATCCGCAGTAGCTTCCCTGGGATCAAAACCGCTAACATTCACTTCATCTGCACAAAAGACACAAGAGGAAGTCCGAGTCTAAAAGGTTATGAATTATTAAAAATAAAATAATAATAATAAAATGATACAAAAATTTAGTTTTTAATTTTTGGTAACCAAATTACATTCTCATTTTATACAGTTTAACCCGAAACTTCGAAGAAATCGATAAGATTTATAATATGTCGTCTTGACAATTTTTCAATGGGATTTATACTTTTCTGCATAAATCTCATTAATTGGAAAAATTAATTAATACCCATGAAATATGTGGGAACAGCTTTTTTAGAGCTCTATATAATTATTCAATTAAAAACTAAATACCTCAAGCATTCTATTATTAATAGGTTTAGAAAACGACATTTCATAATTAGTCTTTATGTGACTCCAAAGTTCTGTGTTAAACTGTAGTTCTGAAGTTCTAGTTATGCCAACTTATAACATCTAAAGCTACATGTTTTTTTTATATATTCAAGGTCAAAACTTGTTGTGCGGAGTACGGTTAATCTTGAACTCTTGATTTCGATATCTAATGTGGAGACTTAAATTTGAGGATAAATGCTTGATTAAAGTTATATCTGGATTGTGAAGAGGACTAAATAAATAGAGATCAATGCTTAATCCCGAGATTCCTAATCCAAAAGTCTGACATTTGTAAATATTAGATTGGTTTCCTGCACTGCAGTGTGCCCGGGTATATGTTGAAAAGATTACCTCTAACAGCTTCAATCTTCCAGGCTTCCCTAAACTTGCAGGTAACCCGCACAACAAGAATTATACTATGTTATTGCACAGTGAGATCCACAAACCCATGGAATAGGAAGACGATATTTAATCAATTTTAAATAAACGATAATTTTGAGAACGAACGATATAATTTTTTTGAACGATTGAAAAAAAAAGAACAAAATGGGTCGTTCACGAACTATGAACGAACAAAAATGAAAAAAGCCGAACTTGCCCATCTCTATATGGCAGACCGCCATGGACTTAACTACCACTAATGAATTTACACTGAGCTTATCAATGGGTTAATCCATTTCAACGTAAATGGACGGGAGCTCAATCCCAAAGAAAAGGGTTGACTACGATTATTATTTTTACTAATATTATTATTATAACATATGATTTAAATTTAGTTTGCTTCGACAGCATTACAGAGTGCATAGTGGAGTCCAATGAGGAGAGTGTAATAAGTTTACCTGATCTGATAAACAAGGACAAGGATGAGATAAATGTGAATAGCATGAATCCTTCTCCCTCCGATGTATCCTCCGCTAAAAGGCTGAATGTGTGGCCTCAACAGGAGGTGTTTAACTTTGTTCTCAGTGATCTTCTCAGCCAAGAGTTTACGAGGCTAACCTCATTTAGGTAGAATTTTTTAAACATTTTACTTGAACTTCTCAAAACTTAAATGTAATATTTAAAGTGGTTTCATTTTTTTTTTACTTGGAACTTAGAAATTTACTAAACTTAAACAATAAACATTGATATAGGCTTTAATGTTTATTTTTGTTTCTTTTTCTATTTTGTCATGAAATTTTACGAAGTTACAAATTGTTTTCAGCTTTTGTATTGTATTTGAAACTGTTTATTTCAGTATTCATGTTTTGTGCTGTTATTTAAGTATCTCGTTGCTAGAATACATGTTACAGCATTTTCTTTTCAAATAAAATTCAAATTTAACTGATAGGTTTAATATCTAATCTATATTTATGTGTTTAAAGTTAAATTTCTTAGTTGCCCTTATTAAATTGTGTTTCAATTACCTTGATTTAACGTGTTTTCGTTTTTTTTTTACTTTTCCTAGAGTTGTCAAATTTTTGCGCGAAACTTAAAGTAAAATTCTAGATTCTAGCACTACACTCTCTACTCTCCCTTTCTGGGAAAATTATTCTTTGGAAATTTAATAACTTCTTATTGGAGGAAAAATATCAATTTCTGTAACGTTCTAAAAATTAAAGAAAAGTTCGTTAAGGTGTGATGTGATTAGCTTGACAACATTAGATGGCGGAATTCAACTTTTTCAAGATTTTATTCTTCAAGTCAAGAACACATTGACGGAGGTGAGACTGTATCAGGTATGAAGAAAGGGACTAGGACTGGATCAGTTATGGGTCCAGGGACTAGGATCTGTATAAGGTATGTGGACTAGAGACTGTATCAGGTATTAAGAAAAGGGACTAGGACTGGATCAGTTATGGGTCCAGGGACTAGGATCTGTATAAGGTATGTGGACTAGAGACTGTATCAGGTATTAAGAAAAGGGACTAGGACTGGATCAGTTATGGGTCCAGGGACTAGGATCTGTATAAGGTATGTGGACTAGAGACTGTATCAGGTATTAAGAAAAGGGACTAGGACTGGATCAGTTATGGGTCCAGGGACTAGGATCTGTATAAGGTATGTGGACTAGAGACTGTATCAGGTACGAGAACTAGAGGCTGCATAAGATATGGGGACTAGAGACTGTATCAGGTATGAGGACTAGGAACTATGGACTGTAACAGGTATATTTATTTTAAATATGTCACCTTTATTATAGTGATACTAAAGTTGTGCAGTTTTATAATGTGTTGCACTAGGCCTCCACGGAGCTTCAAGCCCCTCTTTTTTGGGAATAATTTAAGCTGTTCAATGTCACTGACCTGTATTTTTTGTTTCTTCGCAGATTTTTATTTTTTATCCGTAAATTTCTGAAATTTTTCAACAGCTGAAATTTTTTTGACCGGTTATAACACTTCCTTGTGATCATGTGAGGTCCTACAAAAATTTTACATTTACTTGTGGGGCTGCTTTGGAGTTTATTGGATACAAACAATCCAATAGACAAACCAAACATATGAAGACACAGATTTATAATAATATCACGTATTCAGTTTCCCTTAGAGGGGTGATTGAAGGAATTAATTGGGGAGGGGGGGGGGGGGCATTTATGTACATCATTGGTATAAGCAAGCAAATATCGCTAACATTAAGATAATCATACTCTTTGAGCAACTTCAATAATCCCTTCACATTTTAAAGGGAGTTTGAGCGTGATTCAAAGTTTTAAAAATCCGGTAATTATTTTCTGTTCTACTGTGTAAGTCACTTTCGTAGAGAAATCACAAATAAAAATCATAAACTTTTCAAAATGATAAACATTGATATCTAATTTGTAATTATCAAACAAAGCTTTTACTATGTCAGGCTGAAAAGCCTTCACCTAGAAGGGATTGTGATGGCATACCCATTGTAGGTCAAGGAGCTGTTGGTCGCATCCCTTGCTGTATGATATGACTAGGTTAATGTTGTGAATCGTGCATTACCATCTTTGGAGAATCACTTTAACTATTCTTAAAGTTCCTTTAAACATATTATATTTACAATGGTTTATCATTTAAAATCAATCGAATTTATCTAGATTACCAGCGCCACCTGTAGTAGTGAGGTGTTGGAAAAATCAGATCAAATCCTTAATTCTCTTCCTTCCCTTAGTGCTCTTACTCTGCTTTACCTTAGGAAATCAAATTCATTTCACACGGATTTAAAACTATTAGGGTCGGAATTTTTTAATCTTACCCGTATCTGAAGCTAGATACAATAGGAGTTTAAATCCTAAGAGGTTCAATTGTTGATAACTGTCAGCTGTTGATAGGAAACTGTATCCGCCCCAGATTGATCTCGTAGTTGCTACGGCATAGATTCAATTTTCTAACCTTGACCATTGAGAGACGGGAGAGATTGATCTTAACTGCGGTTTCCAGCAAAAAGGAAAAATCGTTTTGCGAAAAAAAAATTTCGCGACCATTTCTTACATTTTATTATTTCGTTCGCTCACGAAAATGCAAGAATTTTCGTTTTTTTTTTAGCTAAATTTCCCCTCAATCTGTTTCGCAAAAAAATGCGAAATTTAACGAAATGCGACCAAAAATTTTCGCATTTTTTCGCGAAACGTTTCGTTCGCTGGAAACTTTAATCTTACCTCATTAGAAAGGAGTTTATTTCAAAATCAATTGAAAATGGTTGAATGAATGCATGGGTATGTATTGTATCTGTTTAGAAGAATTTAAAAAGAAATTAATTGAAAATGGTTGAAGGAATGTATGGGTATGTAATGTATCTGTTTAGAAGAATTTAAAAAGAAATTAATTGAAAATGGTTGATGGAATGTATGGGTATGTACTATGTAATGTATCTGTTTAGAAGAATTTAAAAAGAAATTAATTGAAAATGGTTGAAGGAATGTATGGGTATGTACTATGTAATATATCTGTTTAGAAGAATTAAAAAGAAATTAATTGAAAATGGTTGAAGGAATGTATGGGTATGTAATGTATCTGTTTAGAAGAATTCAAAAAGAAATTAATTGAAAATGGTTGAAGGAATGTGAAAATTCCTGTGGGGAAGAAGCTGTTTGAGAAACTGTTTACTGGATGCCAACAGCTGGAAAACTTGATTCTAGAAGAAGTAAATTATTAGAAATCTATAAATAAAAAAATTGTTAAATCGTTCAGAGTTACAGTGACACTCAAAAAACTCTGGAACAGGAATCTGACATTAAATCAATCTTATATGTATTTGATGCTGTTTAAAAGAAAAAAATTGAACCAGTTGCTCGAAAATCAATTCATTAAGTGAGATTGGTCTGTTTACCCTGCACAATTCCTGTGTTTCAGTTCATTGGACTTTTAAAATTAGAAATTAAGTCTAAAAGTTGTCATCCTATTCAAAAGTTTTTTTGGTTCACACTTTATATTGTGAAGAAAAAAGCATGTAATAATAGTTTTTAAATCCTTAAATATATGAATCTGCCAATAAAAGGCTTGTTATTTTAAGGTCACTTGTCTGACCCCTTAACAGACTTCTTGTTGTTAGGTCCTATTTTGACCCCTTAAAGACTTCTTGTTGTCACTTGTTAGGTCCCTTGTTTGACCCCTAAACGGCTTGTTGTTTGTTAGGTCCATAGTATGACCCCTAAAGACTTTTTGTTGTTACTTGTCAGGTCCCTATTTTGACCCCTAAATGGATTGTTGTTGTAAGGTCCCTAGTATGACCCTTTAAAAACTTTTTGTTGTTACTTGTCAGGTCCCTAGTCTGACCCCTAAGTATCAACTTCTACAAGAATTGTCTACACAGTTACATACATCCAACCTTAGGAACATATATATATAAATCTATCCTTGCAAAATTGCTGTGTTTTATGTTTTTTGGACTGTTCAAAGTCATAACGTGAAGTCTAAAAGCCGTCTTCCTTTTCCCAATTTTTCTGGATCTCACTGTATCCAATCTAGAAATGGTGTTCATTATATATATATGAGTGACCTCCCAGACATTTCTGGTTTGGGATGAAGAGTTGGATAACCACGGACCGGCAGCTAATACCGGCATTAAAATCCTGTTCTTCTCTTCAATCCTGTATTCTAGTAGATAACTCCAGAGCTATTCCCAGGTCCACTGTCAGGGGTGTATATTTTCCATTAAAATTCAATCTCCCTTTAAGAAACATTTTTTCCCCCAGAATTGATATGTTTTAAGGGGGTTTCACGCTGATTTTGGAAAAATAAATGATTTTTTGGGTAAAAGTATCAAAGAGAATTTTTTAAAAAAATGTCCTCTTAATATCCCATTTTTATTTTTTTCTGAAAATATACACCCCTGTCCACAATTTAAAACAAATTTTTAACATATTTTCACCTGACCCACCATTTAAAGAGAGGTATACCCGGCTCATAATAACATTATGAAAACCTTTATCTGAGCATAAAGGATGAAAATTAGTTCTATCAGTTGTAATTTCTCTACATATTGACCCTCCTTGTAAAGTAGAGACAAGCAAGAAAAATGACGAAATCTAGCCGTAGCTAAGAAAAGTTTATTAAGGTTAACGTTGTAAATTATGCATGCAAATTATAACTCTTTAAACGGTGGCTCAATCAAGAAGTTGAAATATCGTCAACAGTCCCTTTAAGCACGATTTTACTTACTGTGAGAATATATTTTTATAGAATATTTTTGTTTTAATTTATTTCATGATTAAATCTGAATGTATTATTTTAGGAAGTTGGATATAAGCAGATTAGATAATATTGTGACTGGGTGTAAAGCTTTGGAGTTTTTATATCTTGAAACCCCAGCTATTACACTCGCGGATTCTAAACTGCTCAAGGAAAATTTCAAACTTCATGAACAATACCATTAAATTCATTTTCTATTTATGATTTGTCCTCATTCAAACTTCATGAACAATCCCATTAAATTCATTTTCTATTTATGATTTGTCCTCATTTAAACTTCATGAACAATCCCATTAAACTCATTATCTCTATTTATGATTTGTCCCCATTCAAACTTCATGAACAATCTCATTAAACTCATCTTTTTATGATTTGTCCTCATTCAAACTTCATGAACAATCCCATTAAACTCATCTATTTATGATCTGTCCCCATTCAAACTTCATGAACAATCCCATTAAACTCATTATCTCTATTCATGATTTTATAATCTAATTAAACTTAATCCTCTCTTAAATAAACTAAACCTAAATCATACAGTGATTACAAGAAATCTCTGAAATAGGAAGACGACTTTTAGAATTAACTTTAAGACCCACAATTTTGCAAATCGATTTCACTCAATATGTGTTTTTATATAAGTGTTTAGTAAAACTATTTGCTTTGTAACAACAACTATTTCCACTATGTCTTCTTTCTATTTAATCTTTTTCTAGTTTTTAATAATATTAGTTTTTAATAAAATTTGTTTTGTTCTGTTTTTTATTTAAAATTTAAAATTGAAATGGTTAGAGTCGGTTAAACCAGACTAGGAAGGAAAGACCGTGGTTTGTTTGCTGTGTAGGACAAGACTCTAAAATACGAGGGAACAAAAATATAAATGTTTAAGTCCTTCTCTGACTGCAGTTGTTGTATGATAAACGTACTTATAAGGATTTGGCAAAGAAAAAAAACACATTTACAGTTGCTGGGAACCAAGAATTAATGAAAAAAGAACCCGTAAATTCCATATAGTCGTCTTGAAGTCTTATCCTTATCTTTTGTGGGTTGCCCAATAATCTATCCATTCTGGATCGTAATGGGTATCAAGTATTAAAAAAGGTTAATAAACATTTTCCGCTGCCCGTTTTTGTCCTAATAAGCATAAAGCTAAGAAAGCTCTATTTATTTAACTAATTCTAGATGAAGGGCCCGCCGTGGCCCGTGGAATTTAAATAAACATGGGAATTGGGAAACGACTTGAAAGTCGTCTTTAATTTCTGATACTTAATGCACGACAAAGAAAGTATAAAAACAAGGCTGTCCGTCTTACGAGGTTTTTATAAAGTGGTCTACCTTTTTCGTGTCTTAAACATTTACGAAGATATCAGATTTTAAGACAGTTTTGATTTATTAGATAAATTGAAATGTGATACAAATTTTGCAATATCTAATATATATGTAATATACAAAACTGGTAGACCTCATTTTGAAAATCTCAAAACCAGGCGTTATCGATATTAGAAGTGTATTGTGTAAACTGGAATACTGCAATTATTGTGTTCATTAAAAAATACCACATGGATCGTTATTTAATTCCCATGTTTATTGTACATTGAAATTGAAAATGAATCGAAATGGAAAGTAGCCTTCATTGTATTTTATAATCGCCTTTCACTGTACTTGCCTTCAGATGTTATTTTCTTATTTTTTGTTCAGAGGATCCCGATATTCCAGTTTGTTTTAAGAAACTAATCCAGCATTCCTGCAGTACATTTATTTAAACAATAATATTCCTGAAGTACATGTATCTAAGCAATATTGTTCCTGCAGTACATTTATCTAGACACTAATATTCCTGCAGTACATTTATTTAAACAATAATATTCCTGCAGTACATTTATTTAAACAATAATATTCCTGAAGTACATGTATCTTAGCAATATTGTTCCTGCAGTACATTTATCTAGACACTAATATTCCTGCAGTACATTTATTTAAACAATAATATTCCTGAAGTACATGTATCTAAGCAATATTGTTCCTGCAGTACATTTATCTAGACACTAATATTCCTGCAGTACATTTATCTAAACAATAATATTCCTGAAGTACATGTATCTAAGCAATATTGTTCCTGCAGTACATGTCTCTAAACACTAATATTCCTGCAGTACATGTTTCTAAACAATAATATTCCTGCAGTACATGTATCTAAACAATAATATTCCTGCAGTACATGTATCTAAACAATAATATTCCTGCAGTACATGTATCTAAATGATAAAAATTTGGCAACTAAAAATCTTTATAACATAAGTTTATAATTTGAATTTAAAATGTTTCTTCATGTGTTAATTTTTTATTAATTTTTTAAATGAGGTTGCAGCATTCAGGTGATATTGCCTGGTTCCCCCCCCCCACTCGGGAGAGTGCTAAAGTGTGTTAAAAACTTAAAATGAGTTTATACGAATATTTTGCATTTAATGGGTTAATGCAAGAATTTGCAAGATTTCTCCTGTCAAGTGTCAAGTTTAAGACAAACCCTTGATATGTTAAAATATTTTAACATGAAAACAATTTTAATGAAAAATTTTGGTAGTTTTCCATTCTTTTAGCAGTTCAACTAGTTCTTAGTCCACTACTGAGACATTTTATATTTTATTATTTTACTATACTACATAGTCTTAACTTCACTTTAATAATGCACTCAAACTATATTTAGAAAACAAAGACAAATTTTAATTAATTAGGTTTTATTTCCTATCAAGCCTATTTTAAACTACAAGTTTACAAGTTAACAAAAGCTTGAAAGCTTGGTGGAAATTAGATTTAAGCATAAATTCCTGTTCATTGTAATAATATATACGACAACGACTGTAGTTAAGTGCTTCAGTTAATTTGTATACAATACACATCATCCCAATTATCTTTTATCGTTTTAAAATTATTATTAAAAGATTACGTTTAAATAAACAACTTCCAGGCTGCTTCTAGAACACGCTAGGATTGGCGAGTGGTGTGGCTTGAACAAGCTAAGTTTAGTTAAAATTGTGATGCTTACCAAGCTTTTAAACAGCTTGGGTACACTTAAACATGGACGCAAAGTGACGCTGTCAAATAACTGATACTCTTACTGGCTCAGTAACATCTCGCCATATAACAAAAACTTAGCTTTATATAATTTTTTAAATTAAATTGTAGTGTAAATGAAATTATACTAGAAAATCCACGAATCAAAAACCAAAATCCGCGAATACAGTAACTCCAACAATGTTGGGAGTACTGCACGCATCTTTAACTCAGCGGGGGAAACCATTTTTGGTTGACATAAACAACTTCTCCTGCAGTAAATTTAAATCCTAAGTTTTATATGAGCTGAACAATGTTTCATAATTTTATATAAGTACATATATTTACTTATAAACTACTACTTTCTACTAAATAAAATTTATTATTTTTTTGTTTTTATATGACGAGTTGTTGTTTTATCTCGAAATGTTATATAGCATGTTGTTATAAAGCGAAATGTTACTGAGAGCCCTCTTACTTTTAAACTTCTAATTTGAAAAGGCTTGTTAGACATTAAAATTTAAACAGAAAAGTCGTCTTCAGTGTATTGACATACACGCCGACGACTGTAGACAACGCTGGATACCCAACATTGTATTGCTTGAATTTGATAAACCATTTTGTCAGAGTGTTTTTGTTGGATTATGGGGGGGGGGGGTTCAAGGCCAATTGTGTGGATAAAGATTAGAAACAAGATTTCTTATCACTAAAAACTTTAAGATGAGATAAAAACCTTTCTAAAACTTTAAATACCCAGAGAGAAATCGTATCGTAAAACGTTATGCATCTAGCAATAGTAAAACCAGGGACTGAAAAACATGTTAGTATAATTGAACATTTTGACTTTATTACAGGGTTACCCACGAAGGATGAGACTTCACAAGACGACTCTGTCCTAAATTTTTATTGTCTGTTTTCTATATTCAGAATTCCCTGCAACTGTGAACTTTTTAAATTCTTTGGAAAGTCTTTCAAATAACCCGTAAAAATACAATATTTTAGGCGCAAAACATACAGGGTGTCCCACGAAACATGACATTTAAAAAATCGTTATTTTTAGTTAAAACATCCTTTTGATTCATTATCTTTTACTTTGAAATCAATTTTGATATAATATGACTCCCATATAATATTTTTATTGATCTTTGGTACCAAACAACTCAACAAATTATGGAAAAAGACATTCTAAACTAGTTACCAACTGTCATGTTTCGTGGGACACCCTGTAATTTAACCTTTAAATTGTTACATATTTAGAGTTTCAGGTCGTCTTTACAGTCTCATCCTTTGTGTGTTTATTTTTATTTTTTACATTTGACATTTTAACTAATTAATATTTATAATGAAAAATATGACCATGAATGTAAAAACATCCTGATCCTTGATAACCCTGCATGTTTTTCAATTATTTATTTTAGATTATATTTAGAGAGACTAGGCTTTTAGGGCACTTCGCGCCCATCTTCTATTTAAATTGTGAACATGTTCTTTTTGTTTACATTTTAAAACAAAGAAGAAAGAAATTTTGCGGATTTTTTAAAAAAATTTGCGGATTTTCAAGAATTTAAATTTTTTTACAAAATTAAAAACCTTTAAAACACATTTTTTTAAATTTTTATCATTCATAAACCTTCCCTGTGGTCACGTGATGTCCCACAAAAAAATTGGGCCCGATCGGTTCAGCCGTTTTGACGTTTATTGGATACAAACAGTTAAGCTAAATATCATATATAGATGATCAGGATAAAAACCTAAAAATTAGGATGAACTCTAATATGATCGGAACAGGAGAAAACAATCCTAGAAACCTACCATTACACGCTAAACACGGAGTTAATAAAATATCATTTTAAGATCGAATCACAGCTTCACAAGGAACTTTCTTTTCTTATACAACAGTTCCTATACAGGAGATTAGAAACCAAAAGAAGAAAGATTAAGCATCAAGTTCAGGATTACCCTCAATATGGCCTTTATGCCGACCAAAAACTTGAAATATGAAAATGGAATTTAATATAGTATAAAATTGAAATGATATATTCAATGATTTGCGATAAGAGATAAACCAGTTTACAATGGCTGGGAATGATAAATATATAAAAAATACTGAAGAAAATTCTTACAATCGTCTCTGAAGTCTCATTCTTTGTGGTTACCCCTGTATGTTAAAGTTGGTGTTAAGCGTGATAAAAACTGAAAAAAGTTGCGTTTGCCACTGACAGACACAGCTATAGGTTTGAGAAAGTTTGACAAGAAAGATATAAAAACCTTCTAAGATTGTAATCTCGGGTGTAAAGGAAAGTGAATCTGGTCCAGTTTATTACCAGGGGCATGATGCCGGGAGGGAATAATATAAAAATGTTTATAAATTGAATTTGTTAATCTCCTAAAATTTGTTCTTGTTTCAATAAAGATTGTTCGGCGTAAATTCTAAATTAAAATGATGTATTAATTCGGCAATTACAAAACAAATGCTGGTTCCTCAAGACACAAGATGGTTTTGGTTGCTCCTGGTTGTGTGCAAGTACTCACTCAGTAGTATTCTGGACCTAGAGTTGAGAACATCCAAACCTTTTCCATCAATCTAGAATATTTATATTTATTAAAGGGAGTGTTCGCGAAAGATCTAATTTCAAACAAATCATCCAGATATTACAACCTATAGTCATCGATTATTTTTCGCCACATTTGTATACAGTTGATTTTTCATAATATGTTTTGATTGTTATAAAAACATTTGTTCATGTTTGGAGGATTAAGACGACATTTTCATATTTTCCAGGAAAGTTCGAAAACAAGTTGTAAGCTAAATATTTTTTTAAAACAAAATTAAAACTAGTTTGAAATGTCAAATATATTCGAATGTGTCGAAAGATAATCAATGACTATAGGTTGTAATATATGAATGATTACTTGAAATTAAATTGATTTTTTACGGTCTATAAGTCGTATGTTGCAATTTTCTCAATTTGTATGGACGCTAAGTTATGCGTTATGAGACGTCTTTAACAATTTCGTTGCAAAGTTGTTGTTTAGTATTTTGTTAATTTATATAGATTACTGTAATAACTGCTGGATTTTTAAAGATAAAACAATTATTTATTGCCAAGCATATATATACTAGTCTTCTGACGGAGGATAGATGATAATTATTTATTGTTATCACTAAAATATATTTATCTAATATTCATTTCTGAATGCAGAATTGATGAAGAAAAAAAATTTATTGGTTTCACGGTGGTCGGCGGTGATATCAATACAATTAAGACTTTTTTATCTATAATGCTTTGATTCCTAACAAGGTTATTTAATTACTAGTTTACATATTAAGACGGAGGATAAAGGAAAGGTACTTATTGTTATCACTAGTATACAGATTTTTTCTAATATTTGTTTAAAAATGAAGGATGGATGCAAATTTTTATGTATTTACGGTGGTTGGCTATTATATCAATAAAATTAAGACTACCTTTATCAATAATGCTTTGATTTCTAATTAATTAATTACCAGTTGACAAGTAAACACAGATTTTGATTATGTTTCTCTGCTGTTTGAAAGATTGCTAGAAAAAAAATTGAATTAGAAAATCGTCTTCATTGTATTGATATATACGACGACGACTTTTGAATTTAAAAACTTTTTCAGGGAAAAACTTTTGCTTGGCAGAGGGATAGATAACCAATAAAGCATCTTTCAAGATGTTGAAAATATTCTTACTCTTCAGGTTAGTTCAAGGTTATATAGTGTTTCCCTGAAAATGGTTTCAATAATAATTCCAGAAAATCTGCAGAAAATCTTTGTGAATAATGAGAAAATAGAAATTAATAATTTAACAAGATTACTTATTTTCGATGATATAATTAATTTTATTTTCACAGCCTGTTCTTAGACAACTAATTAGTTTACTGTAGAATTTTGTTTACATTTTTTGTCGTCGTTATTTAATAACTAAAAACTGGTTCTGAAACGTATCCACCCAAAAGTACGATTTTTAACGTCGACTTTGCGCTCAAACTCAGGATTTACAGATCTTTTAAAAGTTTAATAGGTATCAAATGAATCCTAAAGAATTTGTCCACAACACTGCATATTTAGTTCACCTACCTTACATAGCCGATCTGTACCTTTAAGTGTACTGGGAGTATCGGGATCCTATATTTCAGTGTACTAGCTGTATCTATATCCTATATTTTAGTATACTGGCTGTATCTGTATCTTATATTTCAGTGTACTAGCTGTATCTGTATCCTACATTTCAGTGTATTGGCTGTATCTGTATCCTATATTTGAGCGTACTGGCCGTATCTGGAATCTGGATCCTATATTTTAGTGTACTAGCTGTATCTGTATCCCATATTTCAGTGTACTAGCTGTATCTGTATCCTACAATTTATTGTACTGGCTGTATCTGTATCCTATATTTCAGTTTACTGGCTGTATCAATATCCTATATTTCAGTGTACTAGCTGTATCTGTATCCTACAATTCAGAGTATTGGCTGTATATGTATTCCATATTTCAGTTTACTGGCTGTATCAATATTCCATATTTCAGTGTACTAGCTGTATCTGTATCCTATATTTTAGTGTACTGGCTGTATATGTATCCTATACTTTCGTGTACTAGCTGTATCTGTATCCTATATTTCAGTGTACTAGCTGTTTCTGTATCCTATATTCCAGTGTACTACCTGTATCTGTATCCTATATTTCAGTGTACTGGATGCATCTGCATCGTATTTCAGTGTACTGGGTGTATCAATATCATATATTTCAGTGTACTAGCTGTATCTGTAACCTATATTTCAGTGTAGTATCTGTATCTGTATCCTACATTTTAGTGAACTAGCTGTCTTTGTATCCTATATTTCAGTGTACTGGGTGTATCAATATTCTATATTTCAGTGTACTGGCTGTATCTGTATCCTATATTTCAGTGTACTAGATGTATCTGTATCCTATATTTCAGTGTACTATCTGTATTCTGTATCCTATATTTCAGTGTACTGGATGCATCTGTATCCTATATTTCAGTGTACTGATTGTATCAGTATCCTATATTTCAGTGTACTGGATGTATCTGTATCCCATGTTTCAGTGTACTAGCTGTTTCTGTATCCTATATTTCAGTGTACTGGATGTATCTGTATCCTATATTTCAGTGTACTGGATGTATCTGTATCCCATATTTCAGTGTACTGGATGTATCTGTATCCTATATTTCAGTGTACTAGCTGTATCTGTTTCCTATATTTCAGTGTACTGGCTGTATCTGTATCCTATGTTTCAGTGTATTAGCTGTATCTGTATCCTATATTTCAGTGTACTGGATGTATCTGTATCCTATATTTCAGTGTACTGGATGTATCTGTATCCTATATTTCAGTGTACTGGATGTATCTATATCCTATATTTCAGTGTACTATCTGTATTCTGTATCCTATATTTCAGTGTACTGGATGCATCTGTATCCTATATTTCAGTGTACTGATTGCATCTGTATCCTATATTTCAGTGTACTGGATGTATCTGTATCCTATATTTCAGTGTACTGGATGTATCTGTATCCTATATTTCAGTGTACTGGATGTATCTATATCCTTGGATCTGGATGAAATTGGAAGAACTTTAGAACAATACTGGAGACTAAGAACTTTAGGACAGGTATTAAATCCCTGTTTGTCTGTACATATAGTACTGTTGACTTTAAAAGTCAATATGATAAAATAAAAGGAGATCTACATGGATATTTCTAACATTTATTTAATAAAACGGATGTTTTGAAATAGTTTCCCAAGTGGCATTAAACTTGGTTGGTTTAGAAATTAATAAAGAAACTATAGACGAATATCAATTGGAGGTGTTTGTAGAACTACATGATGGTGGTGCAGATCATCAATCTTGACGGCAGGCTTACTCACAACTAGGCTTAGTCTAAGGGAGAGAGATATCGGACTTATCCTGTATACAGGATAATGGAAGGAAGTCTGGTTCCGCCCGGATCTCTGGAACATTGCGGAGCGAACTATTGTTACCTTCTCCTGTGGGAGGGAGAGATTGCGGACTTATCCTGTATACAGGATAATGGAAGGAAGTCTGGTTCCGCCCGGATCTCTGGAACTTTGTGGAGCGCGGAGCTAGGTGTAAGCAGTGTCTTCTGTTGTTGGTTCTGTATCTGAATCATCATCATGGAGGAGCCAGGGTTGAGACGGAGTTGTTAATGTCTTGAGTGTTCATGGCTGACTGCCGGGGCTGGGATCTGTATAAGGGGGGGGGGGGGGAAGAAGGGGGGTTTGACATGTGGGCACTACGTGGAGGAAATAGATCTTGAGTACGCAAACATCTAGAGAAAAGGCTACGGCAATTTGAGTCGGAAAAATTGTCTTCCTTATATTTCGAATTAATTTTAACAAGTACATACTTTTTATTTGGGTCCTACACAATAAAAATTACTTTACCGCACAGTAGGGCTGGACTCGTTAAAAAAAAAATTTAAGCTGTTTGTTAACGGTTAGTTAAAACTTTTTAAAAAATCTGCTCTGTTAGCCGCTCGGTCTTTAGCTAAGAACTGAACTTTCCGTTCGTTAACGGTAATTTCCTTTCTTTCTTCAAGTTTCCGTTCGTTAACGGTAATTTCCTTTCTTTCTTCAAGTTTCCGTTTGTTAACGGTATTTTCCTTTCTTTCTTCAAGTTTCCGTTCGTTAAAGGCAATTTCCTTTCCTTCTTCAAGTTTCCGTTTGTTAACGGTATTTTCCTTTCTTTCTTCAAGTTTCCGTTCGTTAACGGTATTTTCCTTTCTTTCTTCAAGTTCCCGTTCGTTAACGGTATTTTCCTTTCTTTCTTCAAGTTTCAGTTGGAAGATACTTTAGAAATCGTTAGCGTTGTCAGCCGCTCACAAGCCGTTAACAATTATTTTATATAAAAATAGCTGAAAAATTTAAAAACATTAAAACACGAATAAAAAAATCTAAATACATAAAAGTGGAAAATGCAGGGTTATTGATAAAGGATGAGACTCTAATAACGACCTGAAACTCTTTAAATAATAAATATGATGTAATCAAGGTTGAATTTAGACTAGATTTATTTACACCAAATAAAGTTGTTAAAATTATCTGGTAAAGATATAAACAAGTGTGTGCATCTACAGGGTACAAGGACTTCAAAAAAAAACTATTCCGCATAGGCGTTTCTGAAGTCGAATTTTTTGTGGATATCTGTACGTTTCCCCTGGAGCTCATGGCCGTAAAAAATATCGTCCTGGAAAATTGTAAAAAGAAGTTTCGTATAAAATCAAGTTTTGGTTACCTGTAATGACGAGATATAAACCTTGAAATATATGACGATTTCCCTTTTTGGGGAAAATATTACAAATTTAGAGGGACCGATGACCAAAAAGTTTGAATGTTGCAGATAATAAATAATGTATTTACCTATTTCAGAATGATGTTGATAGTGTTGATTACTCGGAATACCTTGGCAACTCTTTTACAAGGTACACTTCATGCAATTTTAGGGAATTCCTCAAATGTCGTCTTTGAGAGGCTGAAATTTATAAATTACAGAGAAATTTGTAATTAAACCATATTTAGATGGTTCCTCTTCTTCCTCCAAAATACAATTAAGTATTTTCATTTTTTTCAAGTGCATTTTAAATTACATAGAATGTTTATTTGAACCTGAAGCTGTAGACATTGACCCCATTCGAAGGGCTTTTTATGAATTTCTAACTCCAGGGAGCGAACGTTTTTTAACCGTGCTTTTGTTCCAAAGTGTTTTGAGTAATTTTTGTTGGTGACAAAAAATAATTTATCATTTATTTCAAAATGAACAAAACTTTACACATTATCATTTTTGATAGAACTAAAACTGGGAGAGGTTATTTATTTCAGGGTGATTTGTAATAGAATTTCTGAGATACTGAAATTTGCCTTAACTGTTAAAATGAAAAGTATACCGACCCCGACTTTGATTTACAGATGCAAACTTATAAAAAAATAACTTTGTTGGTTTGGGCCAGATGTAACACTTCTTGTCAGATTTGGATCAAATCACAGTTTGGAATTTTCTTCCCCTGAATTTTATCTGATTCTGGTTAGGATTGGTTCTGAACTAGAAGAAGATAATCTGGTTGATCTTCCAGGCCCTCTGATGGAGCTTCAAAAGGAGATTTTACAGGTTTTTGCCAAATACTCTTTTAAAACTAAAACTATAGGAACGCCGGCTTGCTCTAGGGCTACAAAGTGGGTTTTTAAGAAAAAACCAAGGGAAAAGACCTAACGACAACGTGGCTCCGGTCTGAAAAGTTGGTGCACATTTTTATGGCTGTTTGGATCTCTTTGGGGCGATAATTTTCACGTGGACGCTTAGGGTGGGATATATTAAGAGATGACAAGATATGACACGTTAAACTAAAGAAAATTTACACATGGAAGTTTAGGGTGGGATATATTAAGAGATGACAAGATATGACACGTTAAACTAAAGTAAATTTACACATGGACGCTTAGGGTAGAATATATTAAGAGATTTCAAGATATGACACGTTAAACCAAAGTAAATTTACACATGGAAGTTTAGGGTGGGATATATTAAGAGATGACAAGATATGACACGTTAAACTAAAGTAAATTTACACATGGAAGTTAAGGGTAGGATATATTAAGAGATGATAAGATATGACACGTTAAACTAAAGTAAATTTACACATGGAAGTTTAAGGTGGAATATATTAAGAAATGACAAGATATGGCACGTTAAACTAAAGTAAATTTACACATGGACGTTCGGGTGGGATATATTAAGAGATGACAAGATATGACACGTAAAACTAAAGTAAATTTACACATGGAAGTTTAGGGTGGGATATATTAAGAGATGACAAGATATGACACGTTAAACCAAAGTAAATTTACACATGGAAGTTTAGGGTGGGATATATTAAGAGATGACAAGATATGACACGTTAAACCAAAGTAAATTTACACATGGAAGTTTAGGGTGGGATATATTAAGAGATGACAAGATATGACACGTTAAAATAAAGTAAATTTACACATGGAAGTTTAGGGTGGGATATATTAAGAGATGACACGTTAAACTAAAGTAAATTTACACATGGAAGTTACACATGGAAGTTTAGGGTGGGATATATTAAGAGATGACAAGATATGACACGTTAAAATAAAGTAAATTTACACATGGAAGTTTAGGGTGGGATATATTAAGAGATGACACGTTAAACTAAAGTAAATTTACACATGGAAGTTAAGGGTGGGATATATTAAGAGATGACAAGATATGACACGTTAAACTAAAGTAAATTTACACATGGACGCTTAGGGTAGAATATATTAAGAGACACGTCAAACCAAAGTAAATTTACACATGGAAGTTTAGGGTGGGATATATTAAGAGATGATAAGATATGACACGTTAAACTTAAGTAAATTTACACATGGACGCTTAGGGTAGAATACATTAAGAGATTGCAAGATATGACACGTTAAACTAAAGTAAATTTACACACGGAAGTTTAGGGTGGGATATATTAAGAGATGACACGTTAAACTAAAGTATATTTACACATGGAATTTTAGGGTGGGATATATTAAGAGATGACAAGATATGACACGTTAAACTAAAGTAAATTTACACATGGACGCTTAGGGTTGAATATATTAAGAGATTGCAAGATATGACACGTTAAACTAAAGTAAATTTACACATGGAAGTTTAGGGTGGGATATATTAAGAGATGACAAGATATGACACGTTAAACTAAAGTAAATTTACACATGGACGCTTAGGGTTGAATATATTAAGAGATTGCAAGATATGACACGTTAAACTAAAGTAAATTTACACACGGAAGTTTAGGGTGGTATATATTAAGAGATGACACGTTAAACTAAAGTAAATTTACACATGGAAGTTTAGTGTGGGATATATTAAGAGATGACAAGATATGACACGTTAAACTAAAGTAAATTTACATATGGACGCTTAGGGTAGAATATATTAAGAGATTTCAAGATATGACACGTTAAACTAAAGTAAATTTACACATGGAAGTTTAGGGTGGGATAAATTAAGAGATGATAAGATATGACACGTTAAACTAAAGTAAATTTAAATCAAATATTTTACAGTAAAAAATTATCACGCAACCTCTTGTACAGATCCATATACACAATTCATGAGACTTCGCAGACAACTCTACAGAATTTGATTATTCTTTTTTCTTGCAGTTATTCATTTCTTTGTCAAACAAAATAACCATTAAACACTATTTTAAAGGCTGGACTCTAAATGAATATTCTAAATCCTTGTATTAATAGATTTGCAGGTAGTCATTCAAGTTTTAACCTTGCGAGTAACCCTGTAAAGGCCGACATGTAATTTTTTTATTTCATTTTTTACAAATAAAATTATGAATATTATGCAGTGGTCGAACCTACCCTACTCCTATAACCTAAAATGATAATACTAAAAGATCGTGCTCAAATCGTCATTTATTTAAAGTTATGTTTGAACTTTTTAACTTATAAAACATTTATTCATAGTTTACAATAAAAGAAAGATGAATCTTGCGAATTTTTTCTTCAGTTTCTTCATTATTAAAGGAAATTTTGAAAAAACAATATTCAGAAAACTTTCGGAGGTGATTAAAAGCCAAGAGAAGCTGTCAATTAAAACAGATTCTCTTTGATTACTTGTAAACTTGTAATTTGAAAAAAGCTTGTAAACAATTAAAACCTGAATAAAAAAGTCGTCTTAATTGTATTAATATAATCGCATGAGATTTATTTAAATACGTAAATTTTACTCTTGTTGTCCGGAAGTTTATGCGTATGATTGATATTTGGTTTGTGGTGTATAAAACCGGGGGGTAGAGAGAGAAGTATTAAACTTTATCGTCTAATTAAAAATATCAAATTACTCTGAACAATAATACTCTTAAACCCAGTTTAATTGCATGAATTAAAGGCCTCAGAAGATGAAATGAGCCTTTTAGTAGCAATTGAAAACATTCATTTCGATTTAAGTTCAAATTCTTGTGTAGAGTTTTTCACTTTACACAATATACAGGGTTACCTTAAAGGATGAGACTGTAAAGACGACCTAAAACTGTTTAAATATGACGATTTCAAGGTTAAATAAAGTTCTTGTATGGCCTATCTGAAGATTTGACAAAGTAAGAAGCAAGGTTCTGTTGCAGGAATCTGAATGTAAGGAACAAACTATGTAAATTCCGTACAGTCGTCTTTGAAGTCTCATCCTTTGTGGGTAAACCTGTATATGAATTTTGGTTCGAATTCTATGTTTTGTTATTGCTAGGACAATCAACATTTTTCAATGAAGACATTCAGTACCCACCCTAGGCTAAGCCTTCGGCGCGTACTGCAGTGATCTGCAGTACACTGACCGAAGATGTTGTGGGCTTTAGTGGAGAGTGACCCTTTAATAATTTTACTTCTAGTTGCCAAGACAGGTTGTAACAGAGTTAGATCTTGAGGTTGAAGTTGATCCTGTATCAGGTATTATTATTATTATTATCATTAGTCCTGGTATTTCTCCGACTACCCTCCAGAGGACTTTTATGATTGTCTTTTCCTTTTCTTCTCTTGTTCAGATTATGAAAAACCAGGTCTTTGCACGAAACTTTAGAAATTTGCACAAAATTATGCAGGAATACGGTTTAGAAAATGTAAAGGGAAAATTCATCCAAAAAGAAATTTCAACATAAATAAGTATATTTATTTAAGATTTAAAGAAAACTATAAAATTTAAAATATATTTTACAAGCTGTCAAATTTTTAAGATTTGAGAAAAGCAGATTTTTATTTTTCTAATTTCTAGGATGGCCTGAAAATAAAGATGCCTGTTCTAATTTGTTTAATTATTGTTTTACATACATTAATAAAACATCATCATCATCATCTGAAAAAAATACGTTCTCCACCACTAAGGTTAGATAAAAACAATCAATAAGGGTAGAGTCAAGGAAGGGTGCTGATGATTGATTATATTTAACTGTGATTTTATAGGGCTGCTGAGAAACTGGATCTATTCTAAAAAAAGTGATTTTTCATTCACAAGCTAGTCATATCTGCTATCCCCATGTAAACTCCAATCTTTCTATACAGTGAAACCCTTAATAACGAATACATCTAAAGAATTGATCAAATGTCGTATTCTTCACTTTCTGATAATGGAATGTTGCAGATATTTAGTTTTTTAATTAAATGATTATATGGAACTCTTTAAAACTGTTCCCGTATATTCATGGCTATTTATTTATTTTCGCAAATACAGAAATTTACGAAATATAGTATAAAACTCATTGAAAAATTGTCAAAACGACATTTGATAAATTCTTCCGATGTATTTGTTATTGAGGGTTTCACTGTACAATATTTGAGATTGAATTGAAAAAAAACTAGTTTGCACAGTAAAATGTGTAAACAAACCCTGTCAATGTCTCCTTGTAGTTTTATATCTCTTGGCCAATATGGAAAACAAGATTATTAGTTTGTTTTTAGATTCCAGGATCTGCTGTGTTTGTTACTGGTAAACCCAGCACCTCTTCAACATCATCTGCAACATCATCAACAACTACAGGGTCCACTTCAACATCAGGGAGCACTTCTACTCAATCTACAACTTCAGTTACTGCTCAAGCTTCATCAACTGGTTCTACAACAGCATCAACAAGCACTACTACTACAGTGGCTACTGCTGTAACTGGAACTTCTGAGTTAACAACTTCTGCTGCTGTAGCTACTACTCAAGAAGCTATCACTGATGAAGTTACAACTGCGGTATCTGAAACTTCTGAAACAACGGGGGAAGCTGAAACTTCTCAAACTACTGAGGAAGCTGAGACTTCTCAAACTACTGACCAAGCTGAAATTTCTGAAACCACTGACGTAGTTGAAACTTCTGAAACTACTGGCGAAGATGAAACTTCTGAAACGACTACCCAATTTGTTGAAATTATTGAAATTTCCACTGCTGTAGCTACTACAGAAGAAGAAAATGCAATAACCACTAATTCTAATAAATTAGAATGGATTGATGGAGGTGTAACAACCCCGGAACCTGCTCCCGTGGATCCTGTATTTCCTATCACTATCGTTGAGATCGGCGGTGAAGGCCCTGAAATTCCTTCCCCTCCTGTTGGGGCTGAAGTAGAGAGTGCTAATATTGTTGGATTGCTACCATTACCTACTCCTCCCACCACCTCTCCTCCTACTTCTCCATCTACAACTGTGTCTTCAACACCAGCCCCACCTTCACCTCCTTCTATTGTTCCAACATTCAGTCCAGCTCCGCCAGGGTCCACCACCACAACAACTACTACAACAACAACTACAACAGCTTTGACTACTTCACCTCCGCTTGTTCAAAGACAGTAAGTTCTCTATAAGTAACCATAGCTTTGTTATCTGTCCCCGTTTTCTTCTATGTTAATCAAAAAAAACCTTTTAGCCTATGCTATCATTCAATATGCTCTTAATTTTGGAATTGGAATATCAAAATGATATTTGAAAATAATTTCTTCTCAGCACAGGTTTTTTTTTACATTGATCTTTTACATTGATTTTTGAAGTTATACTTCTCTTCATTTTAGGGAATTAGGTTCCTGCGATGATCTCCAAACTCTAGATGGGAAGTTCAATACAAAACATAATGTTTCCAAAATGAAATAAAATCTAAAACTAAACGGAACAGTAAGCGTAATATCAAGTGACTCTGCATGTACCGATGGCAATGCCCAATTCACAACGGTACCCTTGAAATTATGCTTGCTGTTCCTTTAGTTAGGTTTGTGTAATAATACCTTTAATATATTTTAATTATATATATATAGATATAGATATATCTTTTAATTGAACCCGCGGTGTCTATAGGAAAGACTGAGAGTGGGGTTTACAGCATCTTTGTGGCGGGCAAGACTATCCAAGTCTACTGTGATATGGAAAAAGGTGAACAAACCCTTTAATGAAAAAACCTAAATTGCGAATCTTTTTGAATATATCAATCTTAGCTGACGCAATTTTTAAAGTTATTTTCGATAAATAATTTGATAGAGAATTATCATTTTATACCGTAGATATAACAGGTTTCATAGAGCATTAAAAGTTGCGTATTTTTGTGTTTTTTAATTGCGTTTTCAATCTTAAAAATTAATGGTTAACCAATTAAAGATGGCGGCGGCTGGACAGTGGTCCAGAGAAGGGGGGATAATGGAAATCCTGAAGATTATTTCTACAGAAACTGGACCGAATACAAGTTTGGATTCGGAGATCTTACACAGGTTATTTCTATACAGAGAGTTCCACTAAACTTAGCAATTAAAAGACGACTTTTAAAGATTTTTCTCTTTTCTTCGAGACTACTATTGACAAAGTTTGTAACAAAAAGTATACATTGAGAACCAGAAAACTGTGGAATAGGAAGACGACATTAAAGCAATAATTAAGTGTATTTCATGTTGTTACATTGCAAATAGTTTAACTAGTAACTTATTAAATCAATTATAAAGAGAAATGGGTCTGTTTACACTGCACAATTTCTGTGTCTCATATTTATTGGACTATTTCAAGTCATAACTTTAATCTAAAATTTGTCTTTCTATTCCACAGTTTTCTGGTTCTTCCAAAAGAAAGTAAAACATTTATTTTTTATTTTTTGAAAACCTCAATAATATTAAAACTTTAAAAAAGCCTAAAAAGCAGATATTATTTTTGAAATGCCAAGGCTATGGTTATTTCTGTTCATTATTAAGTTCTCGCGGGAATGTATGACGACGTGTCCTTCTCTGCAAATGAAGAAATTCTCATATTTAGTTTGACACCCTGTATTTTAATAAAGGAAAATAATAAAATAACGTATTTCATTAAACTTATCTTAAACATAAACATAATTAATTTTCAAATATAGTTTTTACGCATGCATGTTTGAAATAGTTCTAAAAATTGTAAACCTAAATTTTATTTAGGATCATTGGGTCGGATTACACTATTGGAACAACATTACACTCTCAAAGGTATTTCTTACTGTACATGTACAGAGCTGTACAGTGTTCATAGTAACCCTTAAAATTGTTCAGAGCTGTACACTGTACACAGTAACAATCCAAACTGTACATTGTACATAGTATTTTTTTAAACTGTACAAAGCTGTACAGTGTACATAGAAACCCTTCAAACTGCACAGTTTAATTAGTAACCTTTCACACTGTACATGAACTGTACAGTGTACATAGTTTAACCCAACCCTTTTAAGTGAACAGAGCTCAACAGTGTGCATAGTAACCCTTCAAACTGTACAGAGTTGTACACTTTACACTTTATAGTGTACATAGTAACCCTGCAAACTGTACAGTAAGCAAACATGTACATAAAATTGTACAATGAGAGGAGATGCACACTTGTGTACAATGAATAGAGCCGTAAACTGTAAAAAGTTACACTGTAATAGAAAAAAGTACGTAGTACACTTTACGGAGTTAACTGTTTAAATATGTACATTGTACATTGATATGATATTATTAATATGTACAATGTACATTGATATGATAATATTAAAATGTACATTGTACATATTAATGATACCAACGAAAACCAAAAGAGTGCACAAAGATTTTTAATAATGAATTATTTTTAGAGTCAGCAGCTGTTGATTACACTCAAGGATTTTGACGATAATTCTACTGAAATTATTGTTAATAAACTTATCATTGGCGTAGAGAACTTCAAGTAAGTATTAAAAAATATGTTTTAAATTAAGAGTGCCATCGACAATTCGCAACAGTAATATAAATAATTTTTTCAATTCTTATGTTTAATGGGTCACACTGTATTTGAATTTGTCCTAGGTACCGTGTTATATTTGATACAGCTGATGGAGAGTTCGCTGACAGTTTCCCAAGAAAAGGAACTAAGTTTAGTACAATAGATAATGATAACGATGCTTGGAAAAACAACTGTGCAGACAGGTTAGTACAGTTATAGTACACTGTACACTGTACAGTTATAGTACACTGTACAGTTACACATAAAGGAGGTGGTTGGTCTCTGAACATGGGTATTTTGTTCTACTAATCACTTTCCTAGACTGTATGTTTACTTAATCGGCAGGTTTAGTACACAGATAATTTAGACGGGTAAAGAAACATTTTTTAATAACACGCTTTTATTAAAAAATAAGATTTTAAGTTAAAAGGCTGTAAAATTCGGCATACATTCAATAAAAATGTTTTTAATTGCAATCATTAAAGGATTTCCACTTAGCTTTATATGGTTAAGTACGGTCATAGTCCGCATGTTACCGTACATTTTGTGTACACTATGGTTAAGTACGGTTATAGTCAACATGTTACCGCACAGTTTGTGTACACTATGGTTAAGTACGGTCATAGCCCGCATGTTACCGTACAGTTTGTGTACACTATGGTTAAGTACGGTCACAGTCCGCATGTTACCGTACATTTTGTGTACACTATGGTTAAGTACGGTTATAGTCAACATGTTACCGTACATTTTGGGTACAATATGGTTAAGTACGGTTATAGTCAATATGTTACCGTATAGTTTGTGTACAATATGGTTATGTACGGTTATAGTCAACATGTTACCGTACATTTTATGCACAATATGGTTAAGTACGGTTATAGTCAACATGTTACCGTATAGTTTGTGTACACTATGGTTAAGTACGGTTATAGTCAACATGTTACCGTACAGTTTGTGTACACTATAGTTAAGTACGGTTATAGTCAACATGTTACCGTACAGTTTGTGTACACTATGGTTAAGTACGGTTATATTCAACATGTTACCGTACAGTTTGTGTACATTAGTTAAACACGGTTATAGTCAACATGTTACCGCACAGTTTGTGTACACTATGGTTAAGTACGGTTATATTCAACATGTTACCGTACAGTTTGTGTACGCTAGTTAAGTACGGTTATAGTCAACATGTTACCACACAGTTTGAATTTACAAGACATATTTTAGTAAAATAAAGAAATATATTTTCTCTCGATTGACGATATCTCATTTTTAATTTTAATTTGTTAAAAATGGACCTTGCTCGGGCATGTGTTTTTTCCTTCTAACAATTCAAGTCCATTTAAAGGTTTTGATAACAAACAGACAACCAGCCAGACAAACAATAGAAAATATATTTAAAGTTAAAAAGATCAATATATCGTGAATATACTGGGTCTATATCTGCACAGGTGGATTCACAGCTGTACATTGATTTCAATTATACATTTTACAGATTATATATATATATATACAATTTTAAAAACCTAGGCTATACGCATTATGCATATTTCTATTAAAACCCACTCCAAAAAAATTTGCTTTCAGCTATAAATCTTTCTAATTATAAATAATAAAAATTTTAACTATTTTAGTATTTTTGAATTATTATGTATTTTGGGGAAACATGCGTTAAGAGATTCTTGTAATTTTTAATATTTTAGAAGGTTCAAAGGTGCCTTGGTTCAGTGCTTCCTTTGATATTAAATATTTTAGAATCAAGGGTGCGTGGAGGTTAAGTGCTTCCTTTGATATTAAATATTTTAGATTCAAAGGTGCCCGGTGACAAAGTGCTTCCTTTAATATTAAATATTTTAGATTCGAGGGTGCCTGGTGGTGTAGTGCTTTCTTTAATATTAAATATTTTAGATTCAAGGGTGCCTGATGGTACAATGCTTCCTTTAATATTATATATTTTAGATTCGAGGGTGCCTGGTGGTGTAGTGCTTCCTTTAATATTAAATATTTTAGATTCAAGGGGGCCTGATGGTTCAGTGCTTCCTTTAATATTATATATTTTAGATTCAAGGGTGCCTGGAGGTTCAGTGCTTCCTTTAATATTAAATGTTTTAGATTTAAGGTGCTGGTGGTACAGTGCTTCCTTTAATATTAAATATTTTAGGTTCAAGGGTAAAGTGCTTCCTATATTATTAAATATTTTAGATTCAATTGGGGGCCTTGTGGTACAATGTTTCCTATAATATCAAATATTTTAGATTTAAAGGTGCCTGGTGGTACAGTGCTTCCTATAATATTAAATATTTTAGATTCAATTGGGGGCCTTGTGGTACAATGCTTCCTTTAATATTAAATATTTTAGATTCGAGGGTGCCTGGTGGTACAGTGCTTCCTATAATATTTAATATTTTAGATTCAATTTGGGGCCTTGTGGTACAATGCTTCCTTTAATTAAAAATATTTTAGGTTCGAGGATGCCTGGTGGTAAAGTGCTTCATTTAATATTAAATATTCTAGATTTAACGGGGACTGATGGTACAGTGCTTCCTTTAAAATTAAATACTTTAGATTATAGGGGGCCTGGTGGTTCAGTGCTTCCTTTAATATTAAATACTTTAGATTCAAAGGTGCCTGGTGGTACAGTGCTTGCCATAATTCAAATCTGAATGGCTTATATCTTAGGAAAAGAAAATTTTTAAATTTAGCTCAAAGATTTTACAAAAATAATTATTTATTATTTTCACAATTTTCATTGATCTAATTCGAACATTTGTAAAGTAGGAATGGATAAACGTTGTTTATGATGAGGAAGCTTGTGATACAAATGTTTTCTTTAACCAATTTGGCCTGAAAAACATTTCTAACCTTTTTCTGAAAAATATTTCATTAAAATTTTCTGCGTTTAGAGGCGAACATGAAACCTTTGGAAATGGTGTGAATTGGTATGATTGGAAGGTAAAGGTTTAGTTTAGTTGTTGACTGTTGTTATGTTGTACATAGGGTTTCAAGCAAAATTGGGAAATCGTTTCGCGAAAATTTTAGCTTTTTACACGAAATTTCGCGTTAATCTGTTTCGCAAAAAAAAAGTTCTCACAAATGTCTGCATCGTTTTCGCTTCCTTTCGTAAAAGTTTTGTTAGCTGGAAACCCTAGGCTTGTACGTTACAACCTTTTAGCTCTTGCTACACCACCACGCAATTGTACTGCATAATAGTCTGTGCACAAGCGGCACTCGGTAATACAGGGTTACCCACAAAAATTGAGATTTCAAATAAGATTTTACGGAATTTGTACTTTCCATTTTGTTTTATTCATGATTTCCTGTAAACTTTTTTCTTTCTTTGACAAATCATTACACAACACAACACATTCAAAAACTGCATTTAAGGCAGTAAATTTACCCTGGAATCCTCACCTTACTAATCTTACTTCTATCTGTTGCGTCTATAAAGAGAAAATTGTTAAAGTCGTCTCATAACGAATAACTTAGCGCCCATACAAATTCAGAAAATTGCAACATACAACTTAGTCCGTCAAAAATCAATTTAATTTCAAACAAATCATTTAGATATTACAACCTATAAGTCATCGATTATCTTTCGCCACATTTGTATATAGTTTATATTTTGAAATATTTCATTTTTTTAGAAAACGTTTTAACGGATTTCGAAAAATGTGAGTGGTACGCGGCATTCTTAGGTAGTTGCGCAAGCGACAAGAGAAATAATCAAATTCAAAACAAATTAATTAAAAAATATTATAAAATATAAACTATATACAAATGTGGCGAAAGATAATCGATGACTATAGGTTGTAATATCTGAATGATTTGTTTGAAATTAAATTGATTTTTTACGGTCTAACCGTCTAAGTCGTATGTTGCAATTTTCGGAATTTGTATGGGGGCTAAGTTATTCGGTATGAGACGTCTTTACCAATTTTCTCCTTATAGACGCAACAGATAGAAGTAAGATTAGTAGCGATCAAAAGCGCTTTTTTATCGCATTAAGCATATACCCCCTTTCATTTTTCGCGAACACTCCCTTTAAAATGAAACTTAAAGCAAACCAAATCAATTCCATTTCGTTGGCTAAACATTTTTGTAAATAAAAGATAAAAGGAAATAAAAGAAACTTTTGAGAAATTATATTTTAACGATGTCTAAACTTAAAAATTTCGAAATTAAAATCTACACAATTGTCCCCTCCCCCCCGTTGAATAAATGTACTGCACTGTTTATTTACTGTACTGTACTGTCAGGGTTATCATTATTCCCTCAAGTTTACTGAAATGAAGATTCGACCAATGAACAAAGCGTACACGCTTCCGCCATTCGTTGCAGGTAATATAATTTTTACATTTTTTTAAGTTTTAAAAATTTATAATGTTTTTTTCTCTAGGACCAAAACCCCCACCCCCTCCACCCAGTGACACCGTGGAGCAATGAAAAAAAGAAAAAATTGTATTTGCAAAGTGTTATTTATTCAATTTGTATTTTGTACCAGGAATCTCGAAATAAAGTATTTTACTACATTTTGACAATTTTTATCCATTGCTCATTGTACTGCGTCTGCAACCTGGCTTTTAGCAAGGTAAGAGAATTTTGTACCTCTGAATCAAAGAGAATAGAATATATATTAGAGTGGAATTTAGAAAATCCCTCGGTTTGAATTTTGTTAGTCCCTTTCAGTCTGAAAGGGAGTTCAAAGTGTACAAATCATGTAAATGTTCACAAATTATATGCAGTAGAGTACATTAATATGCAGTATGTTCCCTAAGCCCGAAATTTAAAAGAGTATCGTAGAACGAAACTCCCGAGTTTCCTTTTTGGGGTCTTAAAATTTGTGTAGATTTTTATTAAAGAGATTTATAAAAATGGAGTATATGGAGAAATTTATTAAAAGAATATTTCATAACAAAATATTAATATCCACTAAGCAGCCTAACCCCATTCTTGAAACCCGGGTTTCAAAACTGGTTTTCATAACAATACCCGGTCTTAAGTTTTGGGCTCTAGACTTTCCATTTCAATTTCGAATTTTTTAAAGCTGTTAAATAAACTTTATAGAATTAATTAGGTGAATAAAAAACATCATTTGATTTATAGTTATAGTGAAAGGCCTATTTCATAATTTGGTTTTCTTTTATTATTAATTTAAGATTTTCTATAAAATTATGTTCCAGGGCCCAAAAGGTTATATAGCACAAATATGTGAAGTACACCTGCAGTATGGAAACAGTACAACAAAATGGTCGTTTTACACTTTTTTCAAGTAAATTCCACTCTAAAATATATTCTATTCTATTTGCTCAGAATACACCAAATTATTTAATTCACAATGAACTCAGTTCCGGTGGCTGTACGAATGAATTCTATACAGTAGTTTTTGTCAACAAACGATACGAAACTAATCTTGAACTTGAACCGAAACATGAAATTAAACTCTGTATTTCAACGTAGGGAATAAATGGACCAAAAACAGATATACAAGAAATATATATATAATTAGATCTGAATTTAAAAGAATAGAGCCCCCCCCCCCCTCCTCTAACTGCCCTTTTTTCCAGTCGAAACTGTAGATATTGTTTTGACATTAGTCTAATTAGATTGTTTGTAAACAGTCTGCTAAACCAGTTTTTAGCCACCGAAACCGAGTTCATTGGGTATTCCAGAAATTTTTCTTACAGTAAATAATTTCTCTTATGGCCTCGCGCCTCTTCTGGTCATAAGTTAAGTTCTTAAAGGGTGTGTAAGCGTAATTTCAAGTGACCCTCCATGCAAAGATGACAATGCCCGATTCACAAAGGTACCCTTGAAACCTTATTTGATCAATAATGTAGAAGTGTTTAATTTGATAGTGTGTACTTCTTTTACGTTTTACTGCAGTTGAACTGCGTAAGTCGCTTAGTAGTGAATTCACAATTGAAAATAATCAGTTTTCAAAAAACAATGTTTAGCTTTCTTCATCAGACAAAGCTTCTAGGGTAGGCTTGTAAATTGGACATTGCGATTTGTTTATGCAGTAAAACTGTGACTACAGTTTCTTTCCATGCTACCATTTCTTCTTCGAACATCTTAAAATTAATAATATTTTTGGTTCAAATGTTAATTGGAAACAAACAAACAAACATATATACATAGAATATATATTAGAGGGGAATTTAAAGAATCTCTCGGTATGATTTTTTTCAGTCCCTTTCAGCCTGAAAGGGAGTTCAAAGTGTACAAATCATGTAAATGTTCACAAATTATTTGGAGTAGAGTGCATTAATACAGTATGTTCCCTAGACTATTAATTTCAATTTCGATTTTTTTAAACTGTTAAATAAACTTAATAATGAATTAGGTGAATAAAAAACATCATTTGATTTATAGTTAAAACGGAAAATCATCGTTTGTAAAGTGGAAGGCATAGAGTCTATGTGAAATGATCATTGGTCAGTTATGAAACCAGTCTATTTCATAATTTGGTTTTCTTTTAACAATAATTTTAGATTTTCTATAAAATGATATTCCAGGGCCCAAC